CTCCTCCCCTGTATCCCCTCCCCAGCTGCCAAGAACAGGCCGGCTCCAAGTCTTTCCTTTCGTCCCCCGCCGCCATATATTCAATCATTCCACCACTCATCTCACCTTGACCAACCCCTCCCACAACACTTACTACGCACTCTGCCCCGCCGCACTGCTCCAACTTCTTTTGACTCCATCGCATTCTTCACCAACCTTCCACCAACTCTACCACTCATCTCGCCTCTTGCTTGTTCACCACCAACAAACAACATCGGCAAACAACACCCCAAGGCACCCACCACCACCAACCTCAACACCCTCGTTACACTAACCGCCTTCCTTCCCCTTTCGGCGTTACACTGTAATTTTCCCACATCCCACCGACGCGCCGATCCTCCGTCACTCGCGCTGGATATCGCAAGCTCCCCAGCTCTTATAATACACCCCTCGATTCAAGAAATCAACACATAAACTTACCACCATGGCGTCCCCCGTGAGTGTTTGTCTTCTTTTGTCCGCCGCCTGCTGCGGAGCGCCGGAAAGGGGATCTGGATCTGGTTCTTGGCTGTTTTACGCTTTGCCACCGCAACATTGAAACGCAAGGGAATGAGAAGCTGACGAGATCTCAGGCTGTCCCAGGACTCTTCTTCTGCTTCGCCTGCATGGTGCTGCTCCTCTTCGCCTCGGTGTCGCCGCCGGCGTGGAATGCCGTCAACTTCCTCAAGGCGGGAACTGGCTCCGGCGAGACCGTCTACGGTGTCTTCGGCCAGTGTGTGAAGGGCGGATCGTGCTCGCACCGCAATGTGTGCTACAACCTGAACGCCCTCGGAGCTGAGTGAGTCACCTCTTATCGTCTGCACGGACGTTTCGCTGACCCTATCACAGTGTCGTCCTCGACTCCAAGATCCTCCACAACCTCTCGTGTACCCTCATCCTGCACCCGATCACCGGCGCCCTTGCGCTCCTCGCTATGCTCATGGGTCTGATTGCCGTCTGCGCCGCGTCCCGCTTCGCTACCATCCTCATGGGTCTGCTCGCCATCCTCGGCTCCATCGTTGGTCTTGTCATCTTCGTCATCGACATGGTTCTCTGGAACGTTCTCAAGAACCGTCTCACAAACAACAACTACGAGGCCAAGCTCGGAAACGCCAATTGGCTCACGCTTGGTGGTGTCGTCGCTCTCCTACTCGCCGCCTGCACGTCGATGTGCGGCGCCTGCGGCCGTTTCGCGACGGGCCGCATGGCCGGTGAGAAGTACTAAGTTACGAGTCAGCGAGCAGTGATCGAAGCGATCTGCGCGCCGTGAGCTGCAGATTATTCACTTCGTGATCCTGTCCTGAATCCTATCTTGTGCATCAGAAGTAGAGGCGCAGCGGAAGTGCGCAACCCCCTCCATCCACCATCTTATAAACTACGCCAATAACAACCAACTACAGATAATCTTTTTCTTCTCTAATTCACGCGCTTGCCTGTCAAGCTGTTTGTAGGACGAACCGAACACCTAGATGGCCCAGCGGGTCGATGCATGCGCTGGGCTCGAAGGTGCGATGCAGTCTGAATTTCGATACATAGCGGGGGCAGTGATCGTAGCGAGCGCAGCGAGCAGAGAGCACAGCCATAACAGAGAGCATCGGCAGCGCAGTGGACAAGCTGTGCTCCCCAGCAACTCCAAGCCTCTCCCAAGCCTCCAATCCATGTAATCTCAGTCCAGCACAGCCAAAAGCGGCGCATACCAAGACCATTACAGAGCCATGGAAGAGGCTAGGCAAAGTCAGTCCTAGCAAAGGCGGCGACTTACGTCAGTGCTGGGGGTTGCTTGGCTCCAAAAAAGATCAACCCCGGTCCTAGCCCGTTTCTTGAGGGCGATGACATCAGTCCTGACTGCTCTCGAACCACCGAAATCTAGGGTGCTTGCCCCCTCGGCCCCTCGGCCCCTCGTCACTTTCGCTCACCTCGCCATGCCTGGGCCGGACAACTGGAAGAGAGCCGGATGGGTATGGACGTATGGGGGGGAGCACTGACGTCCATCATCGTTATTAGACACCGAGGCATGCGTCCCCTCCGGCGCTCCGGCGCCTCGTGCCGATCGCGATTGCGAGAGAGACAACGTCACCCCGTCATTCCTCCCTGCTCTCACTGGGCTTTTGCTGGGCTCCTCATCCTCGCTCATCACCCTTGGCTCACCGAGAGTCTGTGCTCCGATCTTCCGACCTGAGCGCCAGAGCAGGAAAGCGCACAGCAGGACTCCACCGACCCACTGCAGCGCTACGTACGCTCTGTCATCGGATCGGATGCATGTGGCGTTTATACTGGTACAGATTACAATGCTGGTTGGTTGGTAGGTTGCTAATGCTGGGTCGTGACGTTGTATGATGTATGCGGGGTTGGGCTCGGTTGGGCTCCGGATTATGACGGCAAGGTAGCGCACAAGTCTGCACGCGAGGACATGGACGAGCTCACTCGCTTGCCCTTGCTCGCTACGAGGCGTACTCCGGCTCGCTCCTAATGTCTACTAAGGTCGGCTCAGAACGTAATGGCTGCTCGTCCTCGCTCTCAGACGCCGAAGCGAGGTACATGTCGAGGTGCTGGTGAATGATGCCCGAGACGCGGTACTTGTCGAGCCTGCCGTTGATCTCTGAGCGCTGCTTGTCAGCTCCCCCGCAACTTGTCCAGCTTACCAAAGCGAAATACGCTCCGCGCGTGACCATGCCGAAGACCTCCTTGAAGTCGTCGTGCGAGCGCGAGCAGCCGCGCGACTCCATCGCCTGCATCGCACGCTTGCGGATCATCTGCCGTTAGCTCGAGAACAGAAACCAAGCTCACGTTCTTGTTATCCGCTGCACGTTGGGACAGAGGCTTGTCTCCAGTCTGTGACGGCGCGACACTGGGCGCTCGACCGAAGATAGCCTCAGGATCCTCGGCCACACCGCTGCTCGGCTCAGGCACAATCTTGCCGGCTTTACGGCGCCGTCGATCGTCGTCCTCAGGTCGCCGGGGCCGTTTCTCCCCTCTTCGCCCGGGTGACCGCCCGTTCGGCACGGGAAAGGCTGGAAGAACTGGCGACACACTTGGTGGTGCAGATTGCGGCGGAGCAGCACCTAACGAAGCCACACTCGCGGCGCGCGACAAGCTGCGCCGATTTGGGAACGGCGGCGGAGGCTTCTTAGGCGGGTTCGCGGGGAAATAGCGAGGTGCTAGAGTCAGCCCAACGGTCATTGACTAAGCTTACCGCGTGGTAACGGCTCTCCGGGGCGAATCTTCTTCTCAGCCGGAGGAGGCGCGACGCGTCGACGCCCCACGCACAGTCGCAGGCTCTCGCCATCTCGCTGTCCGTAGAGAATGATAGTGGTAGCGTCTGCGGTTAGTTTTCGGTGAAGCAGCTGGTAACTCACCGACGCCGGCATCACCTAGGCCAACCACTAGGCCCGAAACAGTTCGGCCTCCGACGAGCGGGGAGCGGGAGAAGTGGCTTTCGACGTAGGCGGCGAGGAGAGGTGACGTGATGGACCTGCCGTCAGCTATGAGCGAGCGAAGCACCAGCAAACCTACACTTGCACGCTGTCGCCGCTATCCAGCTCCTCATCCTCCAGAAGTGTCAAGCCGCGGACCTGCAGGAACTTGCGTCCGCGCAAGCTCTCGAGCGACAAGCTGAGGTCCGCGTCGGAGGGAAGGTTCGGGCTGTTATTCGCAGCCGCGAACGCCGCTGCCGAAGCTGCTCCCGCGTTGGGGAAGGGCGAAACACCATTACCGGGATTCACGCGCGCGAGGAACGTTATTCCTGTCGTCAGCTTGCACGTTAAACCGTCAGCTCACCATCGAGGCGCCACCCGTCTGGGCCAACCTCAAGACCACCGCGCCACAGCAGGCGCCAGCCCCGCTTCGCTGCCGGTGTGCGCGGACTCAGCGTATCGGCTGGGCGTGGTGACCGTATCGGCGAGTGCGCAGTCGGAGGAAGGAGGGATGAGCGCTTGAAGCTCGCGCATGCGTCCGAGGTCGTGCGCGCGAAGGGGTTGCGCTTCGGCGTCGCTGGTGGTGGTGGTGCGGGAAAGTTGGAATGTGAGGAGAAAGGCGGTACCGATTTCAGAGGACGCAGCGGCGAGGTGTGGACCTTGACTGGTGATGAAGCAGCAGGGGCAGTAGCTTCCTTCGAGGAAGGCGCCGGGGAAGGGTCGAGCCGTTCGTCGGAGGTCACGCCCAGCGTCGCGGCCATACTTGACGCGTCTTGCCGCCGTTGGGGACGACAGGCAGCGTCAAGCCCGGAGAAGCAGAGGAAGAGGGTAGAGAGAAGAAGCTCAGCCTGAACGTCCTCCTTTTGTTGTGTTCGGGTCGTGTGCTGTTGTTGATGGTGAAGGCTGGAAAGTTAATGAGCAAAACAACATTAGCGCGTCATTCCGCGACCAGCTGCCAGATTCAGACGCGTACCAGTCATGTTGACGGTGGCGTGAAGCGTGGCTTTGGTTCCGTCCAGCGAGCATCGACCTTCCCTGCAGCCTTGATGCATGCATGGTCTTCCTTCCTCTCCGTGACCATTGCAGGCCTGAGCGCATGCATGGTCCGCCTCGACTCGTCCACTTAGAGGTGCAGCGATGGAAATTGCACCGGCTGATCGCCCGTCTTATCAGTAAGAGCCTTTGCCCAGGATGCCGGCATTTCCTGTGGCAACGATGCAGTCTGAGAGACCGAACTGTCCTAAAATGATACATACAAAGAGCTCGCTATCGCACTTCCTCCTTTACTCAAAGCTAAGGGCTAGCACGCGGGGGCACAACGCCCGGCAGGTCCCAAGCGGGAATCATCTTCTTGCCAACGTAGTGCGCCTTGAACGCAGCCCAGTACGCGTCCATGCCGTCGACGAGGCCGAGCTTCCTCGGCGTCCATCCCGTCAGGGCGTGGGCGAGGGTCGGGCGAAGCTGCGTCGTAGAAGCCCAGGCGGCCTCGGCCGAGATCTCTCCTGGCGCACGGAGCCTGTACTCGCTCGCTCCAGATACGCGAATGACGGCGTCAAGCACATCTGTCCAGCGCTCGCTCTGCGGGTTGGCGGCAGCCAGGGCGACGCCCTTCAGCGCCGGCGCCCGCTCCGCCGCGCGCACAACGAGCTCGGCGAGGTCGTCCTGGTGAACCATCAGAACGCGGGTTTCGGGGAAGCCAACGGTGTCGAAAGCTCCACCATTCTTCGAGGCGTCATACGCCGGAGCGAAGAGGTAAGGTTCCAGAGTCGAGCCCGAGCGGCCATACAGAATACCGGCGCGGATGACGATGCCGTTCACAGCGTTACCTGCGGTTAGCTAAAACTCACTCATCCGCAGCTGACAGCCTTGTCATTCCCAAGCACATCCACTACTGTGCTGTAGAACAGCAGCGTAGGGAGCGGCGTGAGAAAGTGAAGAGGACACCACGACACTCACTGCTAAGCACCTGGTTCTCGAGCTGGGCGCGCCAAGCCTCCTGTCCCGTCGGCGCCGTGGTCTCAGAGACCCATCCCTCAATACCAGCACCCTTGGCCTGGAGGTCGGCGAGCGTGCCGATGTAGATGTAAGTCTTGCGCGTACCGGGAGACGAGGATGACAGCGCCTCAGCCGCGTGAAGTGTGCCCTCGGGGGCGTCGCCGTCAGACGTGCGGATAGTGTCGACGACTGCAGTTAGCTCGGCCATCGTAAGTTAGCTGGTAGCGGTAGATTGGGCCAGGAATGAGTGAGGAACAGAGGGTAGCAATCTGGACGAAAGCTAACTCGCAGCTGTTCCGCATCTCTGTACGTCCAACGCCGCGACATGTTTACTCACTGACATCGCAGTCCTGGGCGATTTTGGACCAGTGCGCCGCGCCGTGGCCCGGTGTCGGGGGCGTGATGACGGGAATGATCTCGTGGATCTCGAGCTTGCGAGCGGACTTGGCATCGCGCGTCGTACCGTAGACGATGTGACCAGCTCGCGAGAACGCGAGGGCAGTCGGAAGGCCAATGAAGCCTGGGCAAGTTAGCTGAAAGCCGCAAATACATCAGCTGTTGGTCACAGCCGGAGACGAGGGCCCGCGGAGGGAGTGGAAGAAGGAGCTCACCTGAAGCGCCGAGGACGAGGACCTTCATTGTCTAGTTGCTGTCAAAGCTGTCTGTGCTGTGAAGTAATGTAATGTTGCTGTGGGGAAGATTGTGACGTGTGGAAGAGCAGACGGCGGTCAGTGCGAAGATCCATTATATGCGGCCTGAGAGCGCGGTACGCCCGCCTACAGAGAAGGCTTGGGACGTGTGTCTGTGTGCCTTTCGTTCTTCCTCGACTCTCGCGCAGACAGCATCGCGATACCCGGCCGGTTGTCCCCTCTCGCCTCTCGCCCCGCACCGAGGACGATGAATGGTCCAGAACGCCTGCAGCAGAGCGCCAGGACGCCGCCGACTCTAGGGGCCTGCCTGCGCCTGGTTGCGCCGCTTGCGTTCTGGGGGAGCATCTGACTTTGTGGCTTGCGCGCGGTGGGAAGTGTGTCAGAGGATCAGAGGGGAGGTAACCGGACACCTCCGTTCGCGGTGCTCGGAGGCGCTCGCACATCGGACTGCGGGGTCCAATTGGCGTTTGGCTCTTGGCACAGCCGCCTCTCTTTCCCTCCATGACGTTGGATCAACCGAGATATGCATGAGCATGCTCCGGGCCAGGCGACGATCTTCCCCGCATTGCAACGAGGGCCGTAACGAAGATCTGCATCTGTCACCACTTGCTGCTGATTACAGATATCAGCAGTGGTTATTAGACGGCGATCTGTAAACCTGGTCGCGAATTGCCGGCGGCATCGGGCCGGCCCGGCTTCGTCGGACTCGTCCGCCAACCCAATCTGCTCTCTATCCCCGTACCTTCTGCTGCGCGGCGTACGGCCGTGCAAGCAGTCCAGATTCGTCCAGACTCTATCACATGCACAACGTAGCGTACTATACATTCATTTCCAGGGGTATAGGACCTCTCCTTGGCTTTCGTCTGTGCGGCCGCGCTACAGTGGGTCGTTGGACCCACGTTTGCGCTGGCTTCGCTTACCATCCGGACGACTGTTGCGCATCCTGCGATCGGTCCGGCTTCCTGTACTCGACCTTGTCGACCTTGACCTGATTGTCAGCTTGACGCGAAGCGTAAGAAGCTCACCTCTCCGTCGACCAGTTGGTAGACATAGGTCACGATGACAGGCCCCTGGATGTCCATGAGCGCGAACGACGGCGTCGAGTCACTGCTGTCAGCTCTTCCGCGTGCGTAATACAGCTTACCCATACACTCCGCTCCACGCGCCAGTTGCCGAGCCAGGATTCACGAAGAAGCGGCCGTCAAACTCGAATGCTTCGAATCTGGGTCAGGTTAGTACATGGCTCGACAAGCCTCCAGCGCAATTGCCTATTCTTCACCACTGCAGTTCCACACCCGCCGTGGGCAATAGCGCTGGGAAGCAGAGACGTAGCAGCAGCAAATAGAGCTGCACTCACCGATGTGTCCCTCCCGTGACCAGCACATCGACGTCCATCTGCCGCGCAAGTGCGGCGAGCATCTCCCCGTCGCCGGCCGGCACAACCTGCTGCCCATGAGCAACACCTATCCGGAGCGACTGATGCGGGATCGTGAGAGAGAGCGGGTAGTGCGAGTTCTGCTGTTAGCTAACATCTCCTTCCTACTAGCTGCTGAATGCTGCCGCCATAACCACCGAGACAATTGAACAGAGAGTCGATATCTTGATCGAGCCCTTTCTCTCCTCTCAATTGCGCAAGAGACGGCAGGCCCGTAGATATCGGACACTGCACCTTGCTGTTGCTGCTTCATGGTGCTGTCACCGTTGCATCGACACTCACCTCGTCGAACTCGCCTCGGACGATGTGCACCTCCGGCGCAATCGTTCGCAAGTAATCATAAGTCTCCTTATCGCAGACATTGCCAGTGCAGAGGATCTGGCCGATCTTTCCGGGAACCTGGTCATCAGCTCACAGCTCGCGAATGTACAGCGCAAACATCCTTCCCCTGCTCCTACGGTGGCTCGTCCAACGGCGCAGGCGGCACCGACTGCTACGAGACAGTGCCAGGACCAAGGGGACGGAGGCAAAGCCGAGAGGAACGTACCAGGAGCTTCTTGAACTTGGCGGGCAGGTCGTGGGTCAGTGTCGGGATGTGGAGGTCCCCAATGACGAGGACGAGGACCATGGCGGGCGAAGCGGGATGGATGGAGGAAGGATCGAGGTTGAGGTTGAGTTGCGCGCGACACGGTTGTGTCATCGCGTGCCTGAATTCGGGGATCTGGGCGGCAACGGAAGCAGGTGGCGGCTTGGCCCGTCTTCCTCCACCAAAGGCTCTGCGGATGCAACGAGGAAGCGAGACGATGCAATGCATATTGATGTGTTTGTTATGTTATCTAGTATTGATCTAGGAGCGCGCGGTGAGAACGTCTGCGCCGTCCTCCGTGATGAGGATTTGGTGCTCGAACTGGGCAGAGCGGGCTCCAGTCTGAAGTCAGCTAACGGGCAGCCACTTGCGAGCTTACCTCCGTCGATACCGTCCAGCCGTCATCCCAAAGAGTGCCCCGGCTGCGGCTACCCTGCACAAGCGCCGGTTCAATGGTGAAGCAGTCTCCAGGTTTCATAGTCCCGTACTCCGTGTTGCCTGGCTGTCAGTTACGAATCGATCAGCTGGAACTCACGGTAGTGGATAATGTAAGGGTGTTGATGGAAGCGCTTGCCGATACCGTGTCCACAGAACTGCTCGTTCACACTGAATCCGTGCCTCTTGGCAAACTCCCTGTCCGTCAGCGTCTTCTGAGCAGCAGGAAGCTCACTCGATGGTCTTGCCAATCACGTTGAAACGCTCGCCCGGCCGACAAGCGCGGATGGCTAGGTCGAGCGCCTCCTCCGTCGCCGCGACGAGCTCGCGTCCCGGCTTGTCTGTGTTGGGCAGGAGGAAGGTAGCGGACGTGTCACCGTGGAAGCCATCGAGGTATATCGTCAGGTCGAGGTTGATGATGTCCTCGGGTTCCAGTGCTCGGCTTTCATCAGCATTGATAGCCTAGGTTAACAAGGACCTACCCGTCCGGAATTCCATCTGCGCGTCAGCTGAAATTGTCACGGTTTGCGATGCGGTATGCAGACTCACGCGCAATGACGTTATTGACGGAGGTCGTTATGCTCTTGGGGAAGTGCGCATAACCCAGCGGAGATGGGTACGCCCAGCGCGAGGTAATGAGATGGTGCGCGATGCTGTCAAGCTCTTCCGTCGTGATGCCAGGCTGAGCGTCAGCTTGTAGCCTCGGAAGGCTGATGTCACGGCGGAAGCAGTCGCGGACTTACTCTGACGTGCTTCTCCATCTCAGCCAGAATATCGGCGACGGTCCTGGCAGCTCGGCGCACGCGGTGTTCGTCATCAGTGCCGAGCTTGATGGGGCCACCTTCTTCCTCCTCTTTGGGCTCCGTGTGCTCCCATATCGGGTGCGTGAAGAAGTTGTCCGGCACGTAAGCGGGCCGCTCAATCTGATCTGGCACAGACAGGGGCTCCGGATAGACCGCCATGGCCGATGCCGGGTCGAGCGGCGTGTAGTTGCCCCACACAGCCGAGGCCGGTGCAGGGTGGCTAGGTCCACCGCTGACGAAGCGCTTCAGCAGTCGCGGAACATTCTGTCGCAGTCTTGAGCTAGCGGAGAGCATAACAAAAATGGTTGCCTTTGGGTGTGAAGACGGAGGAAGGCGAGGAAGGCAAGATGACGGTCACCTCCACCATGGAAAAGCCAAGGTCATGATGACGGAGACGCAAGCGGTGGAGGCCGTGGTTGGCCAATTATGCTCTGGAGCTCTGGAAAGGAGGCAAAGGATCATAGGGGCGCCGGATTAGTTCGAATTAGACCTGAGAATGTGATTGCTCTCGTGAGCTTGATGTGCAAGTAGGAAGGACGGATGCAGGGCCCCAGGGTATCCGCGGTATGCGACCGGAACCCAACCAGTCAGCGGGGTCTTCTCTGCGTCCTCTCCCCTGCACACCGAATTGCAGATTGGAACATGGCGCTCATGCTATGTCACCCAGCTGACGCGCTGACATCCACCTGATCCGGACTGGCCCCGACGCGGGAGAACTTGATTAGCGGAATCAAACCCAGCGAAAATCATATATTCGAGCAAATCTAATCAGACCCTTGCCAATAGTGTGTCCTGGGTCGTCGCGTAATTTGCCGGCGCTATCGCCCCCGGAGAGTCAGCGTACGAGCAGAGAGAGAAGAGAACAGACTTTTGTATCATCCTCGCGCCGCCCAGCCAAGAACCCAGAACCAAGCAGGTGCACAATCCAAGCTTTGCTCGACGCGCACAACGCAAGCACCCAGCAGTCCGCACTCCAACCTCCGCTGTCGCGCCGACGCAGACACGCAGCCAAAGACTACTACGGGCCGATTTCGGTTTCCCAGTCGCATCTGCATCATCGCTGACACCACAAAGTGCTGTCTCGCACTAGTCTTGCATACCGTCAACTACTCAAGCCACCACAAAGCGCATACACAACACGCACGCACGGCAATACACTGGCGCGCTAGCACACTACCGGCCAGCCCCGCGCCCACCCCCGCGCGCATCACACACACTTTTGCGACCGACCTCACTCGCACTTCGGCGACACGACAGTTTTCAGCACTTCCCGCCGCCGGCGCAGACTCTTGTGCTGCACCGACCCTACCATGACCATGGACCCTCCGTCGGGTCCTGTCGGCGAGCCCTCCACGGCCTCAGCGACGACCGCGAGCGCCTCGCCCCGAACCGACAGCCCTGCAACACCAGTAACTCCCACCGAGGACGGCGACATGATCGAAATTCCTTCCTATGGTGCGTAAACTCGGTGGCAAAGGCTCCGCACCTTGCCGCAGGCCAGATCTCATTCATCAAGGGAGGACAATGCACACAAAGTTGCTGGGTCTGACCGCCTTGAGTCATGCTTGCGTGTGTGCGCCGGATGAAGCAGTACGGATCTGCAAGCAGCGGTGTCCTGCAATAGTTCTTCCTGGAGCAACGAGCTAACAGACAGGCCTCGAGTACTGGGAGTATCGACGCGCTGCCTTCCTCGCCGGCAAGCCCTTCCCCGCACCCGGAAGTCCTGCAACGGACTTACCCGAGTCGTACACGGTCCCGGTGCCATCGCCGCCAGCCCCGAGCGTGCTCTACTGTCCCCCGAGAGGCAGTTCGATTGAGCGGCTCGAGGCGCTTCTTTCGACCTTTGGAGCGGAGGAGAGCGACGTCGCCTGGAACAGCGGGGTTGGCGGTGTCTCCAGGAAGCTGAGTGGAGGAAAACAGCTCGCCAAGGGCCTCAGGCTAGGATTAGTGGTGAGTACGCATGCGTCGGGCGGCGTAGTGGAGCTAGTCCGCTGTCGGAGTGTCAAGGCGGAGGTGCCCGAACGATAGGCGGCGACGCAGAAGACGCTGGAGAACTCTTGGTGAACATGAGCTGACGCACATCACCTTGTCTGATCGCCGCGACGTTGTTCTTGACCTGCTTCCACCCCTTGTCTCGACATGTTCTCGACTCTTGTCTCTTGAACGGCTATCGAATCTCGACCTGGATCATCGCTTATCGTTGCTCCACACCCTCAGATCAAGATCCTTCGCGCCGGTTGGCTCCGCGACGGCACTTGGCCCCTCGACCCGAAGACACTTCGCGCTCTCCCGCCTCCCGACTCGCCTCCCCCGGCGCCTGGACCGGACCCCTACGCTCCTCCCCCGACAGGACCGGCAGTGGCGACGTACACGCCGCACTCGCACGTATTCCAGCTGCAGCAGCTGAAGCACTCCCAGCAGCAATGGGAGCGCCGGGCGAGCGGCGGCCCAGGCGCGCATCTGGGGCACAAGCCGCTGACCTCGAGCGCCGTGCTGGGCATCACGGGCGTGAGCGCGCCGGGGACCCTCGAGCTGCCGCGATCCGGTCTTCTCGGACTTGGAAACAGCCCCCTGCCGTCTCCTGGCGGAGGGGCTGTCAGCGCGGAACGGCAGCTGCGGCCCATTCCCAATAGAGCTGGGAATGAGTAGGTGTCGCACACAACCTTGGATCGGATCGCAGGACGGAGTAGATGGGGCTTGTACAGTAGCATGACCAGGATTCATCGATACCAACCAGACAACCAGGATCAGGACTCGCATCAGGACATCAGGACTCAGCACTCAGAATCAGAACCAGGACTCCAGGACTCATCAATGTAGGACGGCACACCAAAATAAAAGGTCAGCAATCTCTCAGCATCGTGGAAAAACGTTAGAACCGGCAGGGCAACCAGTGTTTGTGAACAGTATCGCTCGACTTTCGACTTTGGCACGGTACACAGTAGAAACTATTGGCTCTCATAATCCATTTCGTTCTGTGTGTACGAATGTAGTTGGCTGGACTCGGATGGCGCTTCCATCTCTTCCTTTGTCTCGTTTTGCTCGTTATCTCATCTCATCTTATCATACAGGGTCCGGAATGCATGCATATTCGTCTCGCTTAGCTTGTAGTCGTCGCCAAGCTGAGGCTCGCTTGTGATGAAGGGTGGTTGTCTACTAAAATGTTAGGTTCTTATGTTTCTATCTATCTGAAATGCTATCGTTGTTCAGTGCCGCTGCTCCACTCTCCTCTCTCCGACATGACACCAAGGGCATCGCCGACTCTTACTTGATGTCGACGACCCCACTCTGCTGAATCGCCCTGAACACCTCGCCCTCGCCTGCGGGCGTATTGCAGAACGCCAGCACAAACTTGGGCAGGAACTCCTCCGCGATCGAGGAGAAGTAGAACTCGTGCGTCGCATTGTGCGCGCTCTCGAGGTTGTGTGCGAGCTCGTGCGCCAGACTGAAGAACCAGCTGATCGCTGCGTCCTGCACCCGTCCACCGGTGACGGCGGCGTCGTGCCAGGCGTCGTAGAACCGCGCGTTGCAGAACACGGCGCCGCCCCGGTTGAACGCGATGAGCGGGCCGGAGCGGTCCCAGAACACGTTGAAGACGCTGTTCTCCACGCCGTACACGCGCGCAAGGGGCTTGAGAACGTGATCGGTGAAACGCTGGGAGACGTCGAGCTCGTGAGGCGAGAGACTGTGCTCGTCGGTGGGCAGCCAGAGCTTGACTCCGTCTGCACCCTCGCGCAAGAGCTTAATGTTCGCCTCGGCGCCGCTGTCGCAGTACGCCTGCTGGCTCTCTGCGACGTCGCGCACGCTCCGCTTGCTAGACTGGACCGTGCCGCTCGACTCGGGACGCGAGGCTGCGACGGCACTCTGCACCACGTTCCGGATGGCCGAGACGTCGGTCGGACGAGCGGTGTGCTTCTCGCTGCCCTCGCCACCGACACGGCCAGGGCCGCCAGAACCACTTCCGCTCGCGCCGACGGGGGAGGGCATGCCGCCGCCCATACCCCCGAACGCACCAGGCATGCTAGGCCCGCCAGAGCCGGACGTGCGGCGAACAAGGCCACTGTCGCGGCCGATCTTGCGCAGCGTGTCGAAGAAGCCGCCACCTCTACCACCCTGTGCAATCGCCTGCAGGCGCTCGGTCGCCTCGGCCGGCATCTTCGGTTCCTCCGGCTGCTGGTGCTGCGCCTTAACGTCGCGCGCGGCAGCAGGAACCATAGCGCCGCCAGCAGCACCGGCGGCGCTCGATCCAGCGTTAGCGGGGTGTGAGTCCTTAGCTGCAGCAGCCGCTGCAGCCGCAGCAGCCTCACGCTCCTTCGCCTCCTCTGCCTGGAGGCGCAAGCGCTCCTCCTTCTGCGCGTTGAGAATGCGGTCGACGTTGTACCCGCGCTTCTTGAGGGAGAGCAGAGATGTCGCGAGAATCGAGTCGAGCACCAGCGCATCCTCCGCCCGGTGGCTCTTGAACAGCACCTGGCAGAGCGCGGCAGCAATGTCGTACGTGTCCTCGGGGGCAGTGACGGAAACCGTCAGAACGATACCAGAGCGGGAGCGAGTCGCCTGGGCGTACAACGTTTCAACGTGCTGTCGCACTCCCGTGGGGGAACGCAGCGTGTATCGTGCCTTGATGTCCCGAGCCTCGACTACCTGGAAGTGGTCGCCCTTCGCCAGGTAGTCAGCCTTGAAGAGCGCATCCTTGCGGCCCGTGTGACCAAGGAAGATTGTTAAGCGCTCAAGGACGTGCTGTCGCAGGGTCGCGGCCGGCACAGACGGAGGACGCTGCCCCGCAGTCACGTACTCGAGCTGCACGCGTGTGGACAGAGGCTGGGCGCCCAGCGAGCGGTAGAAGCTCTCCAGCAGGTGCTCCTCCGGGGCAGCGTAGACCTGGTCGCCGAAGAACTGATAATACTGCGCATTGTCGATAAGAACAACCTGGCGTTAGTCAAGCGGTGCGCTCTGGGACACTTACGTCTTTAGCTTGGCACAAGACCCACTCGCGATCAAACTCGCCTTCGACCGTCTTGCCAGTGATCTTGCTCTTCTTCGGAACCAGTTGGGATCCAAGGACGAACGCTTTACTCTTCATCTCAGTCAGGAGCTGAGAGTCAAAGGTAGGCAGGTTTGCCGCAAGCAACCTCAGCTGATCGAGATACCTGTTGTCAGTTACGATGACTGCATATGACCTACTTCTCGGGTGAGCCGGCCTGTCGAAGCATGCGGTCAGGTTCACGAAGAAGGAGGCGAGCGATATCTGACGTTAGCTACATTGAGATGCTGAAAGGCTTACCCTTGTGAGAAGGCTCAGACCGCACACCACACTGCGTGAGGAAGAGATTGGCGCGAGGTCCGAAGTCAACGAAGGTGAACGCGTTGGCATACAGCGACCCAACCTCTGCCTTGGAGGCCAGATACACCTCGTCCAGGCGGGCGAGACGGGTCTTCTCGCCGTCTTTCACTGGGATGAACGCTTTCCTCGCCAGAGGTGCCAGAGCTCCGACACTAGCAGAGCCCACACGTGTACCGAGATACTGAATGTTAGCGGCTTTTCGGGATCTCGCGACTTACCTCAAAGATCTTCCTAGCCTCGTTCACGTCGTACACGGGTTCTTTCAGGAACGCGGATACGAGCATACCCATAGACGGGTCGGAGTCGATGCCAAGCTTGGCGGCAACGTCCGGGTTGGAGATAGGAGGGCGGGCTACGGAGAAGCCAAGGATCGTGCAGTCCTTGTTGGTAAAGACCTCTCCGGGACGGGCCATGATCTGCGCGCCATTGTTGGCAATGGCGGGGAGGAAGGGGATGGAGGCAAACTTAGCAGGGCTGAAGCCGGCGTAGTGCGTGCCGATGTTGTCCAGGAGGTACCTCAGGGCGCGCTCATTGTAGGGTGCCGGTCCAGCAGCAATACGAAGCAGAGCCTCCGCTTGAGGAAATCTCCTCAGACCGAGGTCGAACAGCATGCGGGCCTCGTCAGAGCTAGAGCGCCACTTCACGTCTCCCCAGTCCAGGAGCGGAAGACCGAGCTCCCGCATAGAATCTAGCGGCTCGTACAGGTCACTCGGCATCTTCCTAACAGTTGCCGGCTTCTCAGCTCCAGTTTTGGCCGGCTGTTCCAGAGGGAAGGCGGCGGTGTGACGGAGTTTGTTGATCTCCTCAGTGGTAAGGTTATCCTTCACGGAAACGAGGTACTTCATGAGATCATGACAGGTCCACTCGCCGCCACCAATCAAACGCGTGAAGACGAGTTGCAAGTCAACCGTGCGGCGCACGCCGATCGCGAGCAACATCTTCTCGAGCCCACCGCGAATCGCAGTTGTCTTCGGGAGAGCGATGGTCGGCAGATCGTCGAATAGAAGGTTCTTCTCAAAGTAAGCCTCCCCAGGTACCTTGAAGCCAGCCTTGGTTGGAATCAAAGGAATGCTCTTCAGTTCGGCGACAATTGCCTGGTGCTGCGTGGCACTGATCGATTGCCACGCGCGCCCGAGCATGGTGAGCACACGCTCAGCGAAGGCAGCCGACAAGCGCACATCTGTCTCTGGATCCGAGCCGGACCTCCCAGACATCGGCGGGTTCACCAGGAAGTGAACGTAGTGAGCCAGAGTGAGCTCCTGCCATCCAAAAATGCGAGTGATGTGTTGACCCTTGAGATCCTTGGTTACCGAATACGGGAGAGTATCCGGCGGAAGCGGCATGTCGGTCGGGATAGACGACGCCTGCGGGTTGACGTAAGTCTTGACTGCTGACAGTGGGACGACCTTCGACGAGTCGGTAATCAGGACAGCCGCATCGAGCAGATGATTGCGAGCCTGTACCTCATACCCGTCGGTAGCCGCGATTTGCTGCCACCACTTCAGACAGGCGATCATCTCCTTCTCCGTCAGCGGCCGCTCCCCGAGCTGCTTGACAATGTCCTCGAAAGTGATGTCATGAAGCAGACCTCGCTCTCTGAGCCTCGCGACTGCCTTGGGGGCATCCGTCAAAGTCGCCGGCGTGACCACGGGAAGGTCTGGCGCGAATTCCAGCAGCTGATCGTTCGGCATTCTAATCTTGTCGACGGCCAAGATACCGGCAGTTGAAACCAGCGGCATGGTCTTGTTAGAGCGAGAGCAACTGAAGAAAGCCCTTTCCATTTCCTGCCCCACAGCCGCGGAAGGCGTAGTGGCGCGGAATGAGAAAAAGCGAAGAGCATACAAGCCGCGAGCCAAAATTGCGGTACGCGCGGCTGTCTCAGTTGGTGTCGTCTTCACCCACGCCTGCATGCACTCGATGAGCTCGAGCTCATAAATAAGGCGGGCAAGATATCCTCCAACCCAGAGCAGCTCGCGGTTCCACTGGGAGACGTGACGGTCCACCAAATCGATCGACTCTCGCTCGACGGTGGGAATAAATCGAGCTGCCAGATGACCGCCGATACCGGTTGTCTGACCTGTCGGTTGACCGATGAACACACGGGCTGACTTCTCGCCATCGAGCGGAGGGCAAAGTCCAGAGAAGACCGTTGTGGCCGCCTTACTGTGCGAAGACTTGCTGTCCAGGATGTTCTCAGATTCGTCCGCGCGCGAAAACACTAGACTGGCGGGCATGCGAGAGGGGGCCGCCTTCTTCGTAGCACGCTCGAGTTCCTTGGCGTAGTTTGAGGTCACGGAGACTTTGACGTCGGCGTGGAACGTGTTGATCTGCCGAGACATGACGTCCACCTCCGTTAGGTCTTGCACTGGCGGAGTAGCAACAGGCTCCGGAGTCGGTGTAGGAGATGGCTCCTTCGCCCTTCCAAAAAAGCTGGCAAGGAAGCCACCAGCGGCTTTCACCGGTCGGGCGATAGCGGGAGGCAGGGGTGGCGGTGTGACCCCAGTTTCTGTTTGTCAGTAAGCATCACCGGGAGGACAACGTACGTGAAAGCCATTGCATGACGCGAGCGGTGATGACCATGCTCGTCGACTCCACACCCTGGACCCTCATCATTCCCATCTGACTGGTCGTGTTAAGCCCAGTACGGGACACCTTGTGCTGGCCAGTCACGTCCTTGCGCACTTCGAGGACCTTGGTGTCATCGACCAACATGTCAATCTTCGTGATTGTGCGCATGAAGGTGAGACTTGTCACTAGAAAGCGGGCAAAATCTAAGGGCCCCTCGAGTGGCGCTGGATCACGTAGTTCCATGGAAAAAGTCGTCCAAGGGTGGCCCGTCAACGATGGCTCAACCGTTGCTCCGCTCGAGGCTGGCGGGAGGTCACCAGAGCGGGCCAGCAACTGATCCTTCCCGTCCTTCCAGTAAAAGCCCATCCATTTGCTGCCGGACTCAACGAATGGGTTATCGCACACACTCCAAAGGGAGTAGAAGCCTACGCCAAACCTTTGGGGTTAACAATGTCCACTTTGGGCACTCACGCTCCGATCTTCTCTTCGTCCGGATTGCCCTCGGCGATCTTCTTGAGACGGTGCCAGTCCTCTGGCCGGAAAGGGATACCGTCGTTGCAAACGACGTACCGTACAATCTGCGGGTCAGCCAAACCTTGTGGAGCCTTCCACCTAGGGCGCACTCACATTGTCGCGCTTGGCATCAGGCAGCGGCGTCTGCTCTCCTCGCTCGTGCGCTTCTATTCCAGGCTGCGTGTAGAACTTGACCAGAACGTGTTGAGCCTGCTGCGTCAGCGCATGTTCCCATCGCTAACGAATGGCAACTCACTCCCGCATCGTCAGCATTCTGCAGAAGTTCACGGAAAACTGGAGGGTTAGTAATCGACCTTGGGACGGGCGTGCGCGGTGTGCTCACTGGTGTGTTCTCCAGAGTAACGAGCGAGGATTTCTGAACGTTAGCTCTCCATCTGACATCGGTGACTCACTGTCAATGAGAGCTCTTTGGTTGACCTCGACTGTTTCATCCTTGCCGCTGCTCCAAAGAGCGTCTCTGTTGGACATGGCGAAGAATGACGATGATGACCGGAGTTGCTGCAATTGACGAAGGGGTGGGGTATATATGAGTGTAGGTAGAGAGAGAATGCAGTGTCGAGCTGCTGGGTCGTATCGAGCGGACGTGTCTAGGGAACGGGATCACGAAACATGAGCGACGGCAAAGGTAATACGAGAATTAATTGCGAAACAGAAAGAGAGAGGAGCTCTCGAAATCCGCAGGAGAACAAGGAACCCGCTGCGGTAAGCGTTGCCACCCAACTTGCAGACGTGCAGACACCGTGCACTGACATACATCTCAGGACTAAGGTACAAACAACTCGCGTGTCCGTCTCATGGAGAGCACGTGACCAAAACCCGGGTTCGAATCATCGCTGTTCCGGGTCGCGGTACTGCCCCTCTCGGCTCATCCTACTCCTCAACTGCTCCCACGCCGCTGGCAACTGGTCTCGGGAGATGCAGAAGCCCTTAGCGAACGGGCCCAAACGCTTCACAAAGGCCTTGTCCGTCTCGTTGTGGAGGTTTTCCGGAATGAGAGCTACGTTCTTCACCCACTTGTTTGCCTCCCGATCAAACTCGTTGAACGATCGGAGTTTGAAGGCAAGTGCTGCACCATCAGCTAATCGCCCCCAGCACAAGGAGAACTCACTTCTATCCTCGTACGTCTGCATGCACTTGAACGTTACATCCCGACCTTTCTGCGTCTTCTTCACCGAAACACCGAGAATTGCGAGGCCGCTAAGGTCCTCGTACAGTCCCAGGCTCAGAGCGTCCTTTTCGCTGTCTTCCGCGGGCGGCGGAGCGGCGGGAGCAGGCGCCTTCGAAGCCGCTTCTTGCAGCTGTTGGGTGTGCTGGATCTCAGCTTCGAGGTCAACTTTCAGCGTCGCAACTGTCTCGTTAGCTGACTGCACACCGGGTGCGCCATACCTTGTTCATCCCTCTCCTTCACGACCTTGCGAAGCTTGTAGACTTCTTCCCGCAAGTCCTTAACCCCTTTTCCATCGATTTTGGAGTCCAATGACGGCGCGGCGGCCGCTGCTTCCAGGCGATCGTGCGCCTTCCCTAGAGCTTCCCGCTGCTCTTTCACGAGCTTCTCCAGTTCCGAAATCTTCGAAACACGCTTCTCGTCCAGAGCAGTCGCCGTCTCAATCATTTTCGCTTGCACTGTAGGTTATCAGAATAATTCTTGCCAAACTGCGATGCAACAACTCACGCTTCGCTCGCTCATCCGCCTCTTTCTTGTATCTCTCGAAGATGATTTCTTGTTCAGTCTGTCGTAGCCGTGACAGTTCCTCTAGTTGCTTGGCAAACGCGTCTCTCTCTTTCTTTAGTCTGTCTCGCTCTGCTGAAACCTGTCGTCAGACCCTATCGCCTGTCACTGTTGCTCACGGCCGCGAGTCCACCCTGTTCGCCGTTGCCATCGCCTTTCGAGGATTTGAGAGGCTTGCTTACTTTCCGTTTCGAAGACTCTTCGGAAGCTACTGTCAGCTGCTGTATCTTTACCAAACGACGTACTACTGCCGGCATCGTCGATGGCAGGGTCGGTCTTAGGTGGAGCGTTCTCTTTGCCTCGTTTCGCAACTTTGGTGCCTGACATGGTCGTGTGGAAGATGCAGCGTGGGTCGTGGTCGCAGGACAGTGTAGCACAAATCCGGTGGTGAGTTATAGAGTGAATGAAGTCGAGATAGCTCTCGGAACAAGTGGGATGACGCGAGTGTGTTCAGATCGATGGGCAGAATGCAAAGTCAGCCAGTAAAGGTCAGTCGCGTTTCGCTAAGTCTTTGTTTACAACTTGATGGTCGTCGCCACCGGACATTTGGTTCCGTCCATCGGTCCCAGGCTTCCCCGTGGGGACGGCCGCCCAATACGTCAACCGCCGTCATGCTCCGCGATGAGATCACAGTGGTCAGCGTGGTATGGGTGCGTTGTTTGACAATTCTCTCTTGCCCTCAACGACATCGCAACTTCACAGCCATGGACCCACCAGAAACAACAACTCAGCAGGAAACCGGAAAAGGCGGAGGGTCGACCGGCTCTAGTTTTCAGAGCGCTCTCACGGCATTGAAGTCCACGCATCAACCTTCCCTCTCCTCGAATCGGAATGCTGGCGGTGGCCTTCCTCCTGTTCCAAAGGCTTGGGCCAACGACTTTCGCACGGAAGGAGAAAACTCAGTGGCTTCCTCAAAGCCTGTGAACAGACCTGCGTCTAGCAAGAATGCAATCGTTCACAGCGTCCTGCAGGTACGTTGAAATGAAACCTGGCGTGCTCGTGCCCGCGATTTTGCAGGCGCTTGCTTGTCCTTGCCCTGCCCGCGAATCCCTCCACTTCAGCATGAGCCCTCACAGAGGTGGATTCTCGAAGAACTGCACTGAAAGACGCAGCGCCGCAACCCCATACTGCCCTTCATAAGAAATGTTGGGCTGGAGATTGGCGATATCGTATGCGATTATCAGGTGGGAGCGCACAATGGGGTCCTGTTCCTGAGGTATGCCATCTGCGAAGCTCTTCTGACGACGAAGCTTGAAGTATCACCGACTGCATCCTGAGTATATCCACTCGAGAATTGAGAAGATGCGCAATGCGTACAATGTCCGCATCCTCTTGATCTTGTGCGATATCGTAAGTGGAACGTTTTTCCTCGGACTGACGCGGACGTCAGAAAGAGCACCAACAGCCATTGCGGGAACTTAATAAGGTTGCTGTCATAAACGACTTCACCATTCTTGTGGCCTGGTCGTGAGTCACCTATAAGCCAGAACGTGCTGACGCAAAGAAACGAGGAAGCAGCACAGTACCTGACTACGCTTAAGCAATATGAGCATAAGTCGGCGGACCCCATTAAGGAACGAGTGCATCAGACATACCACAACCAGCTCGACCATGTTTTGACTTCGGGAAGGAAGGTAAACAAGTCCAATGTCGAGGCGTTGGCGGCCCAGTTCGGGGTGAGTCTGAGCGCTTCAGCCGCAGTACCTTGCCAACTGACGTGCGTAGAGCTTTTCCGCTATCGCGACACAGTCAAACCACGCTCTTGGCACTGTCAAGGGACTCGGCCCGAAGAAGGTAGTCTCTCTCTTAGATGCTTTCAACAAGCCCTTTGTGGCTAGCGGCAAACCCCATGCTTTAGACGTTCCAGCGGCATCAGCGACAGAGATCGCTGAGCCCGAGCCTGAGGCAGAGCTCGACAACCTGCCCCCAACTCCACCTACGCCGTCCAGACCACGAGATGAGGGGCCCAGTCGATCACCGTCTGTGGGACCAGACGATGACCGCGAAGCGACTGGTGCCGTCTGGGATGATCCACTTAGCGATGACGACGACGACAAGGATGAACGCGCTTCGAAACGTCAACGCATGTAACACGGGCATCGGAAAATCAGCAAGGATTGTGCTCTGCGGCAGAACCTTTTCAAGCCAACCAGCTATATCCCTATTTGATAATGTCGGATCTCAGGTCTCGGCCTGGCTCGACTCGGCGTTCAAGGCCTTGCGGTGGCAGCCGCCCCCTTGATCACCATACACATCTGGGGTCTCGAGACTCGACAAGGCTGACACATCGCTTCGATCGTGTTCAATGTACCATCGAGCCACCTAGGCTCAGGAGACAGTCTCAGACATTGTCTTCGGAGCGATAGTGTTCTGGAAATTGGACTTGACATTGCGGGCAATGCAGCAGGAGGGGGCATAATAACACGACACTGACTGTCTGCACGTGCTGGGCTGACAGCAAACCCCAAGGACTTGAGATCCGGCTTTGATGACGGACGCGTCTGAATGCTGAAAAGGGTTCTTCCTCCCTTATCTACCAGCTACGACTCATCAGTCCCCAAGAGAGGTGACCCATGCCATCCTCAATCTCTGTCTGCCGCGGACCACGCCTCGCCTTCGCAACAGGCATTCGGGCGGCGGAGATCAATCACTCCTTAGCGCTTCACCGACTTCTAACCCGGCACCGACTGGGCAGTCAATCGCCACCAGTTCGACCACCGGCACCTGAAGCGCGTGACTGAGGGCGACCCACGTAATGCCGATCTAAGACCCCAAAATGACGGCGGCAGGGCCGTGCACTGCGAAACTATGGACAATAAGAACACGCGACGTCAATGACCGGGCATCATCCATCTGTTTCCCAGGTCTGTTGAGGGATCAAGCTTCACAGTCTCGACAGCGCGTGGCGACAATCTATGAACTTTCCGGAGCTCCGTGGACGTGCGCCAGGAACCGAATTGCGCAAGACCGTACGATAAAGCGTGCGCGAGGCACTGGGTTCCCAGACTGATAACCGGGTCACGCAAGAGCCCACGCCCTCGGATTTTTAGCGATATTCTGAACAGCTGAGCATCATGCGCTCCGGCTTTTCTGATTGCTTGGATAGCCTGGAAATGGTTCGATCCCACCAACTGAGATCGGCACCAGTCACTGCCCCGGTCACTGCCCTAATCAACGTCACAGCCTGATATGTTGAACGAGGCTCGCCGCCGAGAGTCGCTTGCTGGACCAGATGCATCGACGGATATCCCCCATTACTTCGCATGCAGCGGTCGTATACGCCGCCAGGGGTGGTCTCGTCCCGTCCCATTTACGGTCTGTGCTGAGCTTGGACCGCTGGCAGCCAACCACCTGTCCGCGCGCAATGTTCAATGTTCGCTTGCGACACTGGTTTATGGCCAAGACATGGTGCAACGTGTTCAGGATACTCAGGAGTCTGACTTGTTTCCAGAATTCCGCTGAGCGACGTCAATATTGAACATTCCTCAAAATTCATAGATTTCCAAGGAATCCAACACTTAGAGGGTCGAGATGGCGCCGGACGCTGGAAGCACACGCGAAAGCGACTAGGTTGGTACTTCAGCAGCTGATAACAGTACCCCCTCCGCTTGATGAGAAACCATTACAACAAATGCGCGAGGTATCTGTCTTTCTCGCGACTTCCCGGCCAGAGTGCTCTTGACCGCCACCGACGGCAGTCGTGGCCGCGCAGTAAGAGACGTCGGCCGTCGCGGCAAGGACGTGTTCTATCTATTCACATAGGAGGGGTCTGTCGTTTGTCTACATCATTGTCGGGCGTGGAGGCGGCGCTTGGGCCGAGGCGCAACGCGCTTCGCGCTTCGCGGCGCGGGCGGTTGGAGCGTTCAAAGTGAAAGTATGGCATTGCACTGACCTAAAGCACGGTCCTCTCCCTTGCCCTTATGGTTCTGCCAGCATCAGCGCTTCCAGCATCCATCCCCTTGATCCCCTCGGTCGATGGAGCTCCTGTTCAGCGCCTAAAGTTGCGGGGTTCTGGCTGGGTCACCATTGGTTGGTGGTGAGGTTATCTTAGCCGTTGGCCCCTCATCTCCACAGAACGAAGCCCGCTTGCGCTTGAAACCAGCTTGGAGCGGCCAGTCAACCGCACGGGCTGCAAGGGTGGATCCTGACTTCGGCCACACGGACTACGAACGAAGCTCAAGATAGGACGCCTGCTCAACTCCAAGGACTGTGGCCTCCTCGGGGGCCCGCCAAACGCGTGCGAACGGCATACAATGGATTTCTGGATGGATTTTCGATAGGACGCTGGGCAGTGACCGTACCCAGGGGAGCTTGGACGCTCCTCAATAACACATCATGGCTTACGGCTGCTGCGTAACCTTGCTTTCTACAGGGCTGGGTGCCTCATGGCTAGGCTTGTGGCGTCAAAGCACCACCCTTGCAGCCGATGCACAAACCCCTTCCGACCTCGCATCAAGTCCAGAAGAGCCAGTGGTCAGGAGCCGAAGATTACCAGCGGCACCTTTGCAGCTCTATGCGCCAGTAACGCCAGGGCTTGCTGCAGGCCCGGGGCTCAGCTCCAGGAGTTAGCGGCGGTGTGTCGCTGGTTTCACTTTCCATGCTGAAGTGCGGCATGCAGTCGGACAAGTAACTCGGTGGACCGTCTTGACATAACCATTATTCCTTTGATCTAGGAACAAGACACGCACACTGCTGCCATAAGCCTCTCAGCTCACACTCTGAGCCTGTGTGGACACGGCCCCGCGTACATCCCTGTTCGCGACATACTACATTCGTCCAACATCGTTCCGCATACGACCTGCATACCGTCACGACCGGATCGACGGTCTCTTTGAAGACGGCGACGATCTGTGTGGACTGAACGGCGACCACTTCAGCACTTCGTTGCAGTCCCTATCGCCTATCCCCCTCTTCTCTCACCGGCTCGCACCTCGCGCCTCGACCCTCAGACACCGCGCGCGCACGATCGTACTCGAATTCATTCCCACCTGCGACAGCTTCACCACGGCACCCCATCCTACGCTCCGAATTCTCGCTTTCTCTTGCTGCTGTGCGCTCACAGTATCGACGGCGCAGTCAAGATCTCGTTTCGACCTCTGAGTCGGGCGCTCGTTCAGAGGGCTATTCCAACTTTGGTTCTGAAGGACACTATCCATTCATCACCGACTCCCACCGAAACAGGTCTTTAAGTCATTCGATCAAACTCTCCCGGCATACTTCTGCGCACGGCACATCGCCTCCTTCGCTCGGTCACGTTGTCATCCTTCCAGCATCCGGTCCGAGTCTCAGTCGATCGAGGAGAACTTCACCGTCGTAAGTGCCCATCATCGACGATATCGATCTTCCCACATCGATTCCAACAGCAAGCATCATCGAACCGCATCTCGGTGGTTGAAGAATTGCTCTAGATCACAGTGCCCCTCCGTCATCTACATCTGCGAGCGCCTGCTACGCCCGGCTGCAGCCGTTAAAGGAAGTCGCAGAGATCTCAATCAACATTCCTCGCTGTCTTCAGCATACCGATAAGCCGTAGCGAGGGGCACGCGAGATACGATACGTTACTTCTGTGAATTCGGCAAATCGACGGAACGACATTCTCGCAGGCTTCTGGACTTCGGTGGCCATCCTCATCTGCCGACCCGACGCCCCCCTGTCTTCTGGTTGTTTGCCTGCAGCGCATAACACCAGTTGGATCGGAAGCGCACGTACGCAAGTCTCTGACCTGAGCTAGACATTTCCCGGCTTGCCAGCAGCTTTCGAAGGGGTTGTTCGTTCAAAATTTCTCGTTGTGAGGGCTTTTCCGTCCGATCGAGTCGCGGGCTTCTTGGACCTCGGCAGGCTCGGTATTAGGATGGAATCTCTGGGGCCTCAGTGTCTTGAGGTTAGCCTGGTACCGATTGAGTCAATACCCTCGAATGGCAACGGCGGTCGGGTTCGAGAAGGTGGAGCTGGCGAAGGAGCGCCTCCTGGCGGTCAAAGTATCGGAGGAGAAGTGCTAGGGCTGGGATTAAGCGGACCGGCATTGTCCAGTCTCGACCACCATCACCACCAGGCGATTCGGGCAGCGGTTGCGAGCCTGCAAATACATAGCTCGCAGCCGGAGCAGTCCAATCCCCTCCACACACCGCTTTACACCACTGCCCCCCTCCCAGACCGTTCACACCTCCACTCCCAGCACACCTCACGGCCCCCTGCTTCTTCCCAACCATATCAGCCTCAAACTACTCTGCCTCCGTCTTCCACTCTTGTACCCCCTCGTGCGCCGCCAGACACCGCAGGGCGAGGACCGCTTGTCAGCCAAATCTGGCCGGCAGGCGCCGCAGTTGATGGCGACGCCCTTCAAAGCCCGCACACAACTGCGCCCCTCGCACCACACAGCACGCAAGGTCACGGGGCTCCTGGCTTCCCACCTCCTCCATCGCGGACCTCTACGGCCGCTGGCGGCATCGCAACCGTTAGTGCTGCAGGATCGGGAGCGCTAGGAGGTGTGATAGGTGCACTCGATGCGACAATCGCAGCGACGGGCCAGGCAGTTCCACCAGGTCACGGGACAACAAGCGAGATTGCGCACATCGGTTGTGCGCCCCACACACATGAGCATAACTTGGCGAACTCGGTTCCCACAGCAGTCCAGCAGCAGGATAATCTCCAGAGTTTCCTGTCTAGTAGTCTGCAAGGTGGGGGAGTGTTCAACGGGGGCATCCCGGATCATACTGGACGACGCACACAGACGAGCGAGTCGGGATACTCAAAGGCAACCGTATTGAGGCCGCCCTCTGCCATCCCCATCCCACCAATCCCTCCTACCATCACTTCCATCTCACTCAATCTGTCCCAACCAAACGGTGCCCACCCGTCCTTCGGAGTGACCAACGACGGCACTTGCGATCACCACCACACCCACGACCCGGTAAATACGGCAGAGTGCAACACGCCGCTCGTCGACAGTTTCACAAGCCCAGCCAACGTTCGCAACACGGCCAACACCACGGACCAATCGACAGACGGTGCACACATCGCATCTGCGGCCGCCTACCCATATTCCAATTCTCAGACGCAGCCCGAGTCAAGCCGATCTGCCGCCCAAGTCGCCTCATCCAGAATAGCTACGATTGCCAACGTGATGACCACCATGAACCTGCCCGATACGACATCGAGTCCGTCCCTCAACTCGCCAGTCCTCGAGACACCGCACACCGTATCACTTTCCGAACCCACATCTTCGACTGACGATGATTGCATTCCCAAGGCGGAGATCGGGGCTGAGGGGTCTCACGCCATGGGTGCTCCAGGGTCAAGCTCGACGATGTACGGCCAGCAGGACGGCCATCTGATTTTCTCGTGAGTGTGTTTACATCCCTTGTCTGAGGAGTGTCTGCGATGGAGGTCTGCGTGCGTCGGGAAATGATTGGAACCAGCCGGTGAGAAGTCGGCGAGGGGCGCGGAGGGTGTGGAGTGCATGCCTGCAATGCGTCCGCCCCGTGTGGAGTGGCCTGGACGCCTTTGGGCTGGTTATCGTTTGGAGTGGCGGAATCGCCACCACCAGCAGTGGCGAGTTGGTTCCGCCCAACAGATTCTGGATGCCGACGGTGAACCGATCGCAACATCTCGCGGCGGACGGTCACCTTATCGCTTGCATCAGCACTCTCTCCTCCCTTGCATGATGTTGGCGAGGGCCCGGGGTGGAGGGATGGAACGACGTGCGAGGAGATCTGCTGTCGGATGCCAATCAAACAGAGTGGTATGGCAGCTGGACAAGGACCCGAAGAGGAATGTGACAATGAGGGAGGAAAGGACCCGTTGCGCACGGGTGCGACGGTGCGGCGAGCGGGCGAACGGGCGAGCAGGGCGACCCGGGGGCAGTGACCTGATCGTCCGTCGACACCGACTCCGGGGCACCCAAGCCTCCCCGGAACTCCTCACCACACATCCCACTCGACGAAACTCAGGGCTGATGAGACCAGCTTGCCGCGACAGGGAGACCCAACCCAGGCCTCCGCACCCCCCGCACCCCCCGCACCCCCCGCACCCACTCGCCAGATGCCATATTACCCGGCGCATCAGCAACTCACCATTAACACCGCGGCCTCATCCATCGTTCCGTCAGCGTCTTACAACACTCAGTCAGCGCACATCCACACCCCTTCCTCTTCATCCTCTCAACCCTCATCCTTCATCCCTCCCTCCTACCACACACCTCACTACACAACAACCCCTACCCATCTCCCGCCACGACCTACGCCTCCATCCGAGCCGTCGTCGACGCTGCCCAACCAGCCCTTCCCTTCAAACCCCACGACGCAGCTGTCGCACCAGCTCCAGACGCCCCAGTACCCGTTCACACCAGAGGCATCCGAGTCCTCCCGCGCCTACTCGTACTACACGCCGTATCAGTTTGGCTCGCAGCCCGGACAATCCGACCAGTTCACGCCCTACTCCGATTCAACCTACACGCCGACTCCAGCAGCACCCGGGGGATCAGGAGGAGCACTGATCCGCCGCACCTCTTACCCGCCCAGCTACTTCCCCAGGTGGTTCAACAGCGGCAGCACTACGCCAACCGGCCCGCATCCCTATCACTACCAACAGATGGTGCAGCGTCCGGCTGAGCCGATCCTGGCTCCGGGAGAGGACGTCGCGCAGCGTCCGCCCGCATGCTATGCCGCCCTCATCGCCGAGGCTCTCCTCCTTTCCGACCCGCCGCACCAACTGCTGGTGTCCGAAATCTCCGAGTCGATCAAGTCTCGTTACGTCTGTGAGTACTACCACCGCATGCGGCATCCGCAGCCTGTAGCCCCGGCTTGATAAGCGCCTTATCAGTGTCTGTTGTCTTAGCGCACACGCCAAACAATCGGCGGCGAGACAACTACATGAGCTCGTCACACTCAACACTGATTGTCGCCGGCCGAACACATCAGCGGTGTGGGGCAACACAGTGCGGGGCAACGCGGGGTGGCGTCATCAAGTCCGTCGCTGACACACAGATTACCGCCAGTTCCCGTCCAAGATCTACAATGGGGTGCGGCACCAAACGTCCATGTGCAAGGCATTCGTGAAGCTGAACCGGCCCTGGGGCGACCAGTCGGGCGGCGCACGGAAGTGGGCGATCCGCGATGGGTGCCAGAACAGCTTCCAGATGGGTTCGCCGACGTGGACGCTTCCACCGCGCTTTTTGCCAAACGCTCAAGCCCAGCAGGCAGCCAAGCTCAAGGCCAAGGCGCAGAGCCGCACCATGGGCAAGTCGAAGGCGCTCGCCCTCGGACGCGGAGAGGAGAGCCCGGACCGCGAGCTGAGCCCGTTCGACGACACCAACGGCCCCTCGAACGGAAACGCGTGGGACCCCGACCGCGACCCGCACCCCTGGATCAATGAGCCAGCCTACCAGGCTCATCTGGCCAAGAGGAAGCAGGAGCTCGCGCTCAACCCCGAAGAGCCCCGCACGCCACCCAACCCCCAGTACTACCCGCCCAACGGGTACAGCCTCTCGCCCGTCAGCCCCTACTCCTACAATCATGAGCAGTACATGTCCTCCGGCGGCTGGCACCCGGCCTACTCGCCCGAGCCGTACCCCGCAGCGTACCACGACACACCTGCCCCGAGCGGCACGGCCAACCCCTCCCACCTCAGTGGCGCAAGCAACGCGAGCGGCAGCGGAGCAAGTGGCGCCAGCAGCTCGAGCCAGGCCAGGTCTTACCCCGACTCCCACTCGAGCGAGTACCACACGCCCCAGCCACAGGCGTACCCCTACTACGGCGGATACGGCAGCCCGCGCTTTACCCTCCCAACAGTTATCCGCCCGTGAGCCCAACGGCGGCGACGTACGCCGGCCCCTCTGGTCCTCCCCAGGGGTACTATTGGAACAACCCCTACCGTTCAGCGTCCAACGGCAACTTTGGATCCAGCTTTGGGTCTTCCGGCCCCGGCTTTAGCTCGCAGGGAAGCAACTTCAGTCCACCTGGCCCCGGCTTCGGCTCCAGCATGGGCAACAGCCTCAACTCGAGCATGAACAGCAGCTTTGCGTCGAGCAACGGGGGCTTCGGCGGCAGCGGTGGGTTCGGAGCACAGGGCAGCGGTGGTCCTGGCGGCAACGGCAACGGTGGACCGGGTGGGCCCGGTGGCGGCGGATTCAACTCCCATGCGACGGGGAACAATAGCACGATGTACGATGGCGCAGACGAGGACTCGCCTCTGACGGAGATTCCGACGCCGGAGTTCAAGACGGAGCCGTAGAGCTTTCATCGGCCCATACTTGACCTCCAACCGCCAATGAACCGACCAGCCCGAGGCACCTCGTTTCACCATCCAGCAGCACCACAGCAGCACCACAGCAGCACCACGGAAGCGAGGCTTCAAGCATGAGGAGCATGAGCAGAGGAGAGAGGAAGCAGTGCAAGTGTAAGAAGTGTAAAATGTGCATCCCATCCATCCCCCACAATCATCAACGATCGCAACCCAATCCATAGTCCGAAAAACAAAACCTGTTGTGTATATAGTTTAGTCTTTAGTTCTGGATTCGTTCCCTTCTCCTTCTACCCTTTTCTCCTTCTATTTCTGGTCTTTCCTATTCTGCGTTAATCGTATGCATAACGCGTGGACGATATGCATGCTATACTCTTTCTCTCTTCACTTTATGGGCATCGAACAGTGAGGAGGGCAGGCGTGGACACGAAATGTGGAGGCCTGGTCGAGGCACGACAGTGATAACCACGTGCTGTCTTATCTTAGCTCTGAAACAGCGCTAAGGCTCCTTTTCGTGCGCCCTCCCACACCCCCCTGGCCTCCTCACGAATCCTCCACTACTGCAACATCTCGCCTTTGACATCTTCACGATGCATTCGGTGGATTCTAAACGTGTAGGTGCAGAGAACACGCAAAAACGGTCCTCGCCGGGATTTGAACCCGGGGCCACTCCCAATCGCTTCTCAGAGAGATGTTGGAGGCAAAGCTCAAGATGTTATATCACCCTAAGAGAGTATGATAACCACTACACCACGAGAACGTCCGAAGACTTGGCACGTGGATGAGCGCGCCTGCGGGAGCATGTTCGGACGGCTGTTCGTTGGAGTTGTAGAGGTTAGGGAGGGTTATGGAGGGTCGGCGGGTTGATGGAAAGTACGGGAGACCGTATGGTGAGGGTGGGGGATGAGAAGGGGTGGGCCGGGTGGGTAAGTTCGAAGAGCCAGCTGAGCTGGTGCGGATTGATCAACATCACAGCTACTGCTAGTTAGCAATGGAGCCACGGGCGCACTCACAAAGCCCCATGGAGGACCGTTATCTTGCGAGAGGCGGAGGGGTGATGGCTCGGACATGAGGAGGTCGCAAACCTTGTTCCCGAACTTGAGGCGCGCGTCCGGCCAAGTGATGACTTGGATCCTGTCAACCTGTCCTTCGCCACGCCGGGTGCAGGTTTCAAGTGCGGCTTGGAAGGCTGGTTCCGAAATCTGCGGTGTCGGTCGCCGGAGCTCCAAGGGACCCTCCGGGGGCCAGGTGTCTGTGGCGACGACGAAAATTGGTGCTCTTAGCCTACCTTCTTCCGCTAGACTCCCCAGGAAAGAACTGAGATCGAAGGACTCTACCTCGTTTGTTGCTGCTCGTGGTCTGACTCCTTCGGTGTGGTTCTCCTCTCGAGGGTGGAGGACGATGGTGAAGTCGTTCACAGGGAAAGGTGTGTAGCTGTTCGTCACGACAGGCTGCGTTTCGTATCCCCCTTTGGACGCGTACGATAACTTGAAAATATGCTGGTTAATTGGGTATCGGTACAGATGATTAGCTTTATTCTGTTCGTCGCTGGTTCGCAGTCTTTGGCTGACGATGAGAGCTTCGCAACCTAAGCGGTCCAGAGCCGAATCGAGATCGTGACAGTTGTGGGTGTCCGCATCCAAAAGCTGAAACACAACTTCGAAACCCATGGTGTTGATGACTGCTGTCAAATGACAAGCTAACGGGCACTCAGCATCGTCGTGTTCGCACTCCTCTACGCATCTTTCGCAGCGATACAAGCAGAAAGTTGTGGGCGGATGAGTGATGTTGACGACCTCAGTCACTTTGTGGCCATTCGCGTAGGCGTGCGGAAGAGGAGAGTCGTACAGGGAGGAATACAGTTGAGTCTGAGTGAGAATGACAGCCTCAGGTCGAGTGGCAGAGCCAGGGGAGGAGACATGGAGGACGCGATGTGACAGTATGACTTGTTCCCAGAGATCCGTTTCTGCTCTCGCCCGGAGAGAAGAGCATGTCAGCCGCATGGCTTCCAGACCTTGCCCGTCGAGATAATCGTAAATGTTGTCGAAGATATGTGGGAAGAACTTCCAGTCGAGCATCGTGATGAGGACGGGCGGCTGAGATGTGAGCTTGAAGAGAGAGAGGGAAGCGTGAAGTGGTGAAATAAGGACCGGGGAACGATGGACAGTTGACGTGTACTGGGGCGTCCGAGGCGTTCAGTTGGTAGTATGGTTCCGAGGGCTAGCACGGAAAGACTATGAAACAATGCATTGTGCTGCAAGTGCCTTCAAGTGCAACATGCAGGTGTCTTTACTATACACTATGAAAGCCTTCGACCTAGGCCATACTGGGCTCTGAGACAGCGGTCACAGCCTCACATCGCAGGCGGGATGTCCTTCGCCAAGAGCGAGCAAGTCGTCTCTCCGACTTGCTCGCGCAGCTGCTCCCAGGAGATGACGTTGATATTGTTGAAAAAGATCACTTTGTCTGGTTGTGTCGCGCGGTAGCTCTCCTTGCTCGCCTTCAACGCGACCCGGAAAGCCTTACTGGTTGTATGAGGTGTCAACAGGCGGGGACCTCGTGGAGCGTCGGGCGGCCAACTCTCGATAGCAACACAGGTCACTTTGTTCACGAAACTTTCAGTGGCGCATGGTACTATTCCTTCAACGAACGGCTTCACGCCAGAAGGATGATAACAAGCCGACTCGTTACCGCAGTCGTCGCTGCTCTCTGGATATAGAAGCACGATGATGTGATGGATTTTGAAGATCAATTCCTTTATGAAGTCGACAGTGCCAGCCGTCGCCAGGCCGCGAGGAGGATATGCGAGCTTGAAGATGTGTTGCGGGGCTGCGACGTCGATCATGTAATCTGGACCGGAATTTATGAGAGCTTTTAGCGGGAAAGCGGTGATGCACGAGTGGAAGCCTCCAAAATGGCAAGTAAAAGAGAGGTCTGAGCATCGATAGGTGTTGGGATAGAGGAGCTGGACGGCGACTCTGGCGCCAATGGCCGTGCTGATACACTCCAGTATGTCGGCTGTGGGGCAAGCGCTGTCGCAGCACCACTCGTGATCTTCCGGTCTGTCGTCCTCACAATGTGAGATGCCTCCTTTTCCCGCTCTCCCCGGGTGATGGACAACGTTGACGGTCTTGGTGATCTGGGGATGGCCATCTTGATAGGCTCGGGGAAGAGGACAGCCGTAGCGGGTGGAGTAGGTCTGCGGCCTTGTGTACACAAGAGCTTCAGTTCGAGAGTGATGGTCCGAGGTTGTGCACATCATGATACCGTGTGACACCGTGATGTGCTCCCATAGATCGATTTCGACTCGGTGTCGGAGAGTGGTGCAAGTAAGCCGAAGGACATTCATCCCATCGGCGTCGAGGTAGTCGTAAATGTGGTCGAAGATGTGAGGAAAGTACTTCCAGTCGAGCATGTTGGCCGAAGAGGCTGCCAAGCTGCACCGGAGACAGTTCTGAGAGTTTAGACTAATGTAACTTACAAAAAAGGCGGACGCTCGATGCGTATTGACCTCCTGGCCTCGTGGTCCCGTGATCCGTGACAGCCGTTGTGAGGGCGCAGGGCCGCAGGGGATGAACGGGGGAAGGCGAGAAGATGATCAGTTGTGAGTGTCCTGGAAATCTCTCGATATCCCTCATGAACCCATGAGCCTGGTCGTTGGCAGCTGTCAACAGCGCCCACTCAACGTCACCCCGCTGCTCCCGCTAACCGTCCAGTACTGTATCTGTCATGTTCAGTATTCAGTATCCATCGTCCTCCACTTCTCGTGTGCATCGTTCGCCTGACGGGACTTTGTTCCCTACGAGGTTCCAGACTCGCCCCGATCGCCCCTCGTCCACACAAATGAGCTGCGCAGCCGTCTCGACACCGTTCACGATGCCAGCATCGAACGTCACCGTTCCTCCAGTATCCAGTTGCTCTTCCCCTTCTCCGATCGCTGCTGCAGCAAGCATCGCTTGTCGCCAGCATCTCCCAAAGGCCGGCCCTCGCCACACTCCCGACGCCTGTCAAGCCTGATGTCACCGACCTGATACCGTCATGCCCTCCAGCTCGCACTCCACCAGCCCGTCCAACTCTACCGGCAACTCAAGCTCTTCACGCTGGAGAGAACGCCTGCGCCTGCGCTTCCGCCGCCGCCAGTACACCTCTCTCAGCCCTGACGGCTCGACACCCAGCCCCTCCAATGCCTCCACGCAAACTGGCTCCGAAACACGGCACCATGCGGACGACACCAACTCACGTCTCGAGGAAGAAGACATCTGGGTGGACCGGGATACACTGAACTCGCAGGAGCTTCTGGAGTCGAATGAGGGTCACTCCAAGGACCTCCACCGCAAGGACGAGGACGCCCTTCCCGAAAACCTCACCGTTAACGAGATGACCTGTGTCGAGGGCGCCGTGGAGGAAGACCAGTCTCAACGGTCCAAACTCACACAAACGCAACAAGCTGCCCAGAAGGAAGACAGAGACCATGCTGAAGAGCAACAGTCTGAGCCTCATCCAAACAGCACCAGCCCACCTCATCCGCCGATCCCAAACAGAAAGCCCTACCGCTGCCGGATCTGCGGAACGACATATTACGCCCAGAGCCAGACCCGGGGATTGTGCTATATCTGCGCATGCACGCTCTCCCTGTAGATGTAAGCAGCGAGGCGGTACAAAGCGGCGCCTTGATGGATCTAGATTCCAAGGCCTTGACGGTCGGCGCATGGCTTGACTTCGATCATCAGCAGCACCGCCGTGGATCCGGACTGCAATTCGACGAGATCAGTCTTCATTGCCTGCTGTCAGTTTGTCAAGGTTTTCAAGCATGCCCTCACCAAGCACACAACATCGCTCTCCGAAGTCTCAGCGCCACTAACCTCAGCAGCCGTTCCCCACGCATGCCCATCACGTGAGTGCTCGGTTCACCTTAGCGCCGCGTTACCTCCCGCGCAGCGCGTTTCGTGATCGACCGATGTCGCAGCCGGTGCGCGCCGCCTGTCGCTTGGCCTCGGTGGGCAACGATCAATGCACAGATCGCACCGCCGCACTGCAACAGTGCATGCAAGCAGTGTTCATTGTGGTGATCGCCTTCAGCCATTGGGTTGAGCTTGGACAATCCAAGTTCGCTGGGCTACTCAGTGTGCAGGCTGGACCAGGGCTGGCGGAGCTGGGCGTTCTCGGCGAGCGGAAGAAGGCAACGGGACTTGTCTCGAATGCGCGCCTTAAATGGACTCGGCAGCCGAGTCCGGGGCCCGCGATGCTGTAGGCTACGGGGCGAAACAGGCGCTAACAGGGACCTATGGCGTGTCACACTACGAGACTAGCCCAGCTTGGCTGGCGTGCATGCTTCCGCATGGATCATGGATGCATTGGAGGAGGCGTCAGACAAGCGGGACAAAGTCGCAGGGCAGACAAAGAGGTCGCGGCTTGGCCATCGTCGTCATTGCTTTGTTGGTGGTCGCAGCGCGCAGCTGACTGAGTTTCCCAGCATGCTCAGCGCGCTCGGTATGCTCAGCAGTGGTCTACGCAAGTACGCAGCAACGAGATTGGGGTGTGAGGAACAGAGGGGGGACGAAGCGACAGCAAGCCAGAGGCCTGACAGGCCGGTGGAGTGAATCGGTGATTCGGGCAGCGAGTCCCTGAAGTGAATGACTGCGCGTTGGGACGATGCTTGGCGGCAGGCGCGGTAGCGCGGTAGGCGTACAGGCGACGCGGGCTGCGCAGGGAAATTATTGGGCGCCCAGGGCGATGCTCGTCTCCTGTTCGCGGGGCACAGGCCAGTCGCTTCCTGTGCATCCTGGATCCTGTCTGGACCATCAGTCTGCTCTGCTCTGCACGCTCTGCACGCTCTGCACGCTCTGCACAGTAGACGTAGGCTTTGTCACTCTCACTCACCCACACTCTCCAGTACAGACAGACACTCACTTACATCACCCACTCTCCTTCTCTTCATTCTTCCCACTCCGATTCTTTGTGCGTCTGCTGCGCTTACGACAAGCTCTCCCAGACCTCCTCTTTCTCTCCAATTTAAACCACTCGCCCGCTCTTCCACTGCCGCCCTTCCGACAGACCCCGTCGACGTCGTTTCACGTCCCCTTCTCTCCCGGCTTGCCCTTGCTTTGACTATTCCTTGAACAAGCCCTCAGCCACGCCGGATCCACCCTATTGCTTCGCCTTTTGCTTGTTGCTTTAAGCCGCCGGACTCTCGCTTGACACCTCTCACACACTCTCTCACACTTCCTCCACACCCAACACCATGTTTGCGCCCCTCCTGTCGACGGCGCTTCTTGCCTCCTCCGCCCTCGCGGCCGACACGTGCAATGGGCACGCCGAGCTGTGCCAGCGCTCGTACGCCAACGTGACCTACCTCGGTGCGCACGACAGCTATGCCGTCGGCGACTCGCTCTTCGCGAACCAGGCTAAGCCGGTCGAGGACCAGCTCGCGGACGGCATCCGCGTGCTGCAGCTGCAGACGCACAAGAACAACGGCGCGATCCACCTCTGCCACACGGCGTGCAACTTCCTCGACGACGGCCCGCTCGACGAGTATCTCGCCAAGGTCCAGACTTGGGCCGAGGCCAACCCCTCCGAGGTCGTGACCCTCATCGTGACCAACCCCGAGCTCACGGACCCGTCCGAGTTTGGCCAGGCGTTCCAGAAGGCCGGCCTCGACAAGCGCGCCTACAAGCCGCCCCAGGCCACGACGGCGTTCAACGAGTGGCCTACTCTCGGCTCGCTCATTGACGCTGGCACCAACGTCGTCGTCTTCATGGACTCCAAGGCCGACACGAGCAAGGTCGACTACATCATCCCCGAGTGGGGCAACATCTGGGAGGACGCCTACAGTGAGTAATTGTTCTGTTTGTGACGTCGTGACGGAAGATCTGGAAGATCAGGCGGGGCAGTTCGTAAGCGCAAAGCGGTGCGCCCCGCGCTTCTCTTCGGCAGCTAGCGTCGGAACGTAGATCTCGGAACACTGCTAACGTCCAGACGTCGTCGACACGGACTGGGGCTGCGCCGTCAACCGCTCGAACGGCGACACGGCGACGCAAATGTTCATGATCAACCACTACCTCGACAAGTCGCTCGGCAGCCTGGGCGTGATGCCCGACAAGGCTTCGCTGGGCACGACGAACTCCAAGGCCTCGCTCGACAAGCACGTCTCGAACTGCAACATGCTCTACGGGCGTGCGCCGACGTTTGTCCTGCTCGACTTCTACTCCTCGAACGGCAACGAGCCCTTCGAGTGGGTCGCCGGCCTCAACGGCGTCCCCGCGCCCACGAACAAGGTCGAGACCGGCAACATTGACGGCAAGAACGCCTCGCCCCAGGACGTCCAGAACGCCGGCGCTGGCGCGAGCGGCACCGACGCCAGCAAAACGACCCAGACTGGCATTGTTGGAACCCAGGACGCGAACGGCGTCAAGTCGTCCGCGACCGCGCTCAAGGTCGCCGGCGGTTCTGTTGCTGCCGCCCTTGTCGGCGCCGCTGCCCTGTTCGCCCTCTAAGAGGATAGATTATGCCATGTGTCATGTTCTGTATCGGTACATTATCTACAAGCGGCTGCGTGAGCCCGGTGCCAAGCGGTGGGCGATGTGCAGGTGCAGGTGCGGTTGCGGGTGCGGTTCGAGGCGGCGAAGATGGGGTTGGTCGTATTGGTGCAAGAGCGATGCTGATTGAGGAAGGCAGGGGAGGTTAGACGTTGAACAGGTGGCGAACCTCGGCGCTGTCAGGCAGAGAGGCGAAGGTGGTCGTCATGCGCGGGTCGGCGCGGAAGACGAGGACGGGGGCGGGTGCGACAGACGGCGCGGGGGTCGGTTCCCGGCTCGCGGCGGGGGTGAGGAGCGGTGTGGCGGGGGGCGTCATCTTGTGCTGGATGTCAGCTCTCAGTCACTGTGAATAGCTAGCTCAGAGATCACAGTGGACAAGGCGGGCGACGTGGTCTACGTAGCCTGCTTTCAAAAGCTCCGAGATTACAGAGTAGAGAACGCAGATGCTCTCTACGGAACAGCGGAGGAAGAGGGAGGTCAAGGGGCACAGCATATGGGCCTGGGGCGCTGGAGCAGGAATGCCGCATGCCGAGCCAAGCCTGCCCAGCATGCCCAGATCGATAATCTTGCCGCTCTTCACGCCTTCGGCCTCACTGCGATCACTTCCCCTCTAAAGCCTCCCCTTTCCCTCTCCACGGTCTGCACTCTCCTGGGCGCCGCTCGCCGATCCCGATCCCTCTCGCCGCTGAAGGGAAGGAAGGTTTACTCACATGCTCCTTGTACACTCTCGGGCTCTCGATCCCGCCCATAGTGCCCTTAACAGCGGGCAGGGGTGGGGGACGGGCACGCGGCTCCGCCGTGGTCGGGGTACTCGGCAAGCTGGGCGTAGGCGAAGACATGGTGCTGGTGGTGGTGATGTTGTTCTTGAGAGCTTGGCTGCTCTTGTTGTTTCCAAGGGCTCGAGTCTTGGGTAGGAGGCACGTGGGCGGAGATCACCGATGTCCGTGGACTTACACCTCCACTTGTTCATTCGCGCGACCTGATTTTTGGGACGCGATGGGGTCTGTGGACGCACAAACAACAACACGGGAACACACGCGCGAGCACACGGGCGGGCGACGACGATCGGCGACTAGAAGAGCGATACCCCTACAATCCGCTTACGAAGTCCGGATATCCGAGTAGGAAGGTGGAGGACATCGCCGCCGACCTGTGCACACACCTCCGACCTCAGCGGTACCACCATGCCCCCACGACCACCACCCTCCGCCGTGCGGACCCTCGTCTCGTCGGCGATGCACGCCGGGCCCTCCACGACCCGTCCGAATGCCTCCCGCCTCCGCCCCTCGACCGTGGCAGTCGGCACAGCCTTTGAGGAGTACGCGCTCTCGCTCCTGAACAGCGAACTGCACATGCTCCTCCGCCGCGTGGGGGGTAAGGGCGACGGCGGCGTCGACCTCAGAGGAGAGTGGTGGGTGCCCAAGCCGCCGCCGAAGCGGATGCCGTGGCGGGCGAAGCAGAGGGAAGAGCTGCGCGCGGCGCAGGCGACCGAGCCAGCTGAAGCCGTGGAGGAGGACAGCGACGAGACAGAGGGAGATGTAGGACCGATACCGCATCCCCCGCCACCGCCGAGAACAAGTCTCGACGTCGTGGAACCCCCAGCTCTGACGGTAAGGGGCAAGCCGAATCGGAAGAAAATCCGGCCCGCCACAGTCTGGGTACAGTGCAAGGCGGCGCAGGTCATGCTCGGTCCTGCGGTTGTGAGGGAGCTGGATGGCGTGTTGGCTGGACGAGGTGAGTTTCTCTTCGCATGAGACAGCTAGGGAGTCGGAGCATAGCTAACGACAGATCCGGCAGACACGCTCGGTATTCTCGTCTCAAAGTCTGGCTTCTCGCAGCAGGCGCACATTGCCGCCCTCCGCGCCCAGTCAGCGATTATGCTCGTCCACCTGCCATTCGACTATGACTCGTCTCTCTCGACCACCATCTCTTCCTCCCCATTATCCTCCGCCACGATATCAGAGCTGCCTGCTTCCGAAACACAGGGGGATGAGCCGATACCAGTCCTCGGGGCGACGTACAATCCCGCCTTTGGCCGGTTCCTGACCATGCACGGGCTCGAGCTGCGAAGGGAGTTGAGAGGATCCACCCCTGGCGTTGGGGTATGGTACGCCGGCTCGCGGATGGGGCGGTATGGTCCCAGCTCGGTGGAAATGCCGAAGGTCGGCGAGGCAGTGGATGGGAAACGGGCAGAGGGACGACCACGGAAGTCTGCCCCATCTCTCGAGTCGGTTCCGGAGGGAAGCCGGTCTGTTTCCACCTCGACGGCGTCGACGCCAAAGCCCCGGGGTCGACCGAGAAAGACGCCCACGCCTCCCAGTGAGGAGAAGAGCGCTTCTAGACGGCCATGGACACGCTCACTTTCAGCGGGGAGTGAGAGCGAGCCAGATGGTATTTTAGCGCCCCCTCCGCCACCGACATCGCCTACGGCGGCCGTGCTGCCTAAGCGTCCGCGCGGCCGGCCACGCAAAACTCCAGCTGCGGAGACAGTCAAGACGGTCGAGTGATACAACTAGATCGGACTATGTATGAACTATGGGACTATAGGCTATGGGTATCGGTATCGGTGGCACTACTCTATTCTGGTTGGTGGGCGAACGTCGGCGCGCGCTCGAGGCTGCGCCGGAGACGGGCTCGATCGTCTCGCAGCGACCAGGTGGCGCCTGTCTAGCTGCGGAGCTCGCTAACACGCACACTTGTCCTTCGCGCCGACAAACTCGCGGATGCTGATAGAATCCCGTCTTCTGCGGCGGAAGATGCGCGGCGTGTTTGTGTCGGCCACGGCGCGGAGTTGGCGCTCGCCGTACGAGATGCCGCTGCCTGCTGAGTCGGGGTCTAGGTTGCCCTGGTCGATGCCCGCTAATATGGAGCGCGCAGCGAGGTGGAAAGGAAGCGCGGCGTTCTCACCCGTCAGAGACGAGGTCTCGATGAAGGTCAGGTCTGGTGTCAGCTTGGTATCGCTACCGTTCAGCTTGAAGCGGGCTGCAGCGTGCATCGATAGGCTGTCCGAACACGGCTCCCAGCTCGCTTCAATGTACACTCACTGTTATCCCTCGCGAACCGCTCGCCCTCTTCCGTCTCGACCTCGAGGTCCTCGGCGAGATCCAGCTTGTTGCCCACCAGGACAATTTCGATGTGGTCGCTCGCAAGTGCACGAATGTCCTCCAGCCACTTTGTCAGGCCCTCGAATGTTGATCGGCTGGTGATGTCGTAGACGAGGATAGCGCCCGCCGCACCTCGATAGTAACTCCGCGTGACTGAGCGGAAGCGCTCCTGTCCTGCTGTGTCCCAAAGCTGCGTGTTAGCTTCATATCGTGGAGATAGCCCGAGTGCAGCTCACCTGCAGCTTCACGCTCTTGTCGCCTATTCGCAGCGTTCGTGAGGAGAACTCCACGCCGATCGTGTGTGCGCTGCCCTCCTTAACTGATGTTAGCTGAAACGCTCACTCATTTGGCTTACATCGCTCGTGAATGCACTGGTATAAGAGACATGACTTCCCAGTGCCAGCCTCGCCTGTCGTCAGCTCACAGGAGCGCATCGCAACCCACCGACTACGATGAACTTGAAGAGGTAGTCTGCCGTCAGCTAAACAGTTGAAGCTCTTAGCTCACCATACGCCTCAACAAGCTCTGTGCCTCCATCGTCCCAGTCCATTGCTCAGATAAACTACTGCAGTCTTTGTCGGCTCTTCGCCTGTAAGGTAGCCCGAGCAGTCTCGGTTTCGGTCGGTTGAATTGCGGTGGCGAGTTCGGCGCCGGGAGGCGGTCTAGAGTCTGTAGCGTCCCTGCGTGCGTGTCGTGGGCGGTGCGGCCGTGGTGTCGGTGGGCGGCAAATGTCAAGACTAGAGATAAGGAGAAGAAAGAAGCATGGAGCAGCTGGCTTGGATAAGGAGTGAACGCAGAGTCGTGACGCTACGCTACGCCGGAGCTTATGGCGCACGCAGCCCACGCCGCACCAGGTGCCCGGCCCGTGCGTCAATGCGTCACTCCCTCCACCAGCAAAAGCCCCTCCACCCGAAACAACAACAATTGCATCCGGCCTCCACCGACGCCTTCCTCACCGTCGCTGCATCTTCGCACATCGGCACCGTCGACGAGCTACTCATCTAGCATAGAACAATCGGTTTCACTGACAGCCATGGCTGACCCGGCGCCTGCGAGTGCGACTGCCGAGAATGGGGCTCACCTGCCTCCGTTAGAAATATCGACAGCTCCGCCCGACGACGCTCGCGCTGCGACACTCTCTGCCAGCTCAGTATCAGCGCCGCTTGTGCCTTCCCCAGCCTGTCCAGCATCACCCGCAGCTACGACGACGTCTACGCCAGCACTTCCGCTCGGCTCTCAAGGGCATGTAGGCTAGAGATGATGAGCCGCACGCTGACCGCAGCCCATTCTTCTCGTTCTCGTCGGTTTGCCAGGTTCGGGGAAGACCACATTCGGCAACGCGCTTGTGGCGGCGTGTCCGGGATGGGTGCGATGCTCGCAGGACGAGTCCGCCTCCGGTCGGCGACAAGAAGTTGAGGCATCGGTGCGGGCTGCACTCCTCGCCGGGCAAAATGTAATCGTGGACAGAGTCAATTTCGATCCTACGTGAGTGCATTCCTCCTGTCCCCACCGACCTCCACCAACATGAGCTTTCATTTTCGCGCAACAAATTTCCCACGATGATATGATGAGTATCGTGGCTGATTTTACAGACAGCGCGGCCACTTCCTGGCTATCGCGCAGCAAACTGGAGCACGGCCACTTTCGATCGTCTTGAAAGCACCGTTCGACATCCTACGACAACGCCTGCTGGACCGGACAGATCACCCGACGCTTAAAGACTCGGAGACAGCGTTGAAAGTTCTTGGTCGCATGAGGCGCGAGCTGGTCTATCCGCAAACTTACGAGGGTTTCCAGCGCGTGCTTTTCGTTGACAGTGAGGGCGACTGGACGAAGGAGAGGTTGGTGAACACGCTGGAGAAGCTGGAGAGGGAAGGTACGACGGGGCAAAAGCCTCGCCGTGGCGGGTATGGTGGTGAATACAGAGGACATGGGGAGATCAGAGGAGGAGGACGAGGAGGATACAGGGGCACATTCTCCGGGCCAAGAGACGTACCGCCAGCATCCAGAGGCGGCTTGGGCGGTTTTGGAGGACGAGGATACCAGCCAGCGCCAAGAGGTGGTTACCGAGGCGGCCCCGCGGTTGACAGAGGCCGTGTAGCCTACTCCCGAGGTGGGTATCAAGGCGACCGGCCCGCTGGGAACGCCACATATCGTGCACCGGCCGGTTACGATGGCTCGCCGAGGACTGGGTACAGAGGGAACAGGGATGGCGAACTCGCCTTCCCCATCAGCAACCATGCAGCGGAAGTAGCTTGGAACGGCCCGACTGGCTCCAACATATCTCGATACGACGCGGCGGGCTTGCCACCCCGGCCGCCGCATCCTCTGTCCGGTTCAGGTGCTGTGAGTGACTCTGTTCCACGAGAGTAGCTCTGGGAAGTCTGTCGGGCTCTGCCATCGGCCGAACGATGCTCGTGCTCAATAATAAGGCTTAGATGGTCTGCAGTTTGATGTCATGACAGGCAACCATAGCCGCAAGTTTTTCACTTCGTCCCTTGCAAGAGCGCGACCTCCGTTTTGTGGACCGTCCCAGAGCAGCTCAGCAAGCACTTCCGAACCCAACTGAACGAGCTGTAGCTTCGAGCCGTGCGGTGAGTTGGGGCCGAGCGCAAGCACGAGCGAATGGGCATCGAGCGGGAGCGGGCGAGTCAGTTAGGCTGCATTGGTCGGTGATCGTGCTCCAAGTACGATTTCAAAACCTAAAGTTGCGGAAAGCTCCAGCCTGCCCAATAAATCTTTGACTCAATGTGACGCCGTTTGTGAGAGGAAACTTCTTCTGCCTGGCTGCGATCGCATTACGGGAGCTCGTTTCAGCCATGCTTATCGACGACAAAGACGTAAGGCGTGGCACGCTGTCGCTCATCGGGCTTCAGTTGCCGTCACACCATGTTGTGACCTTCTCAACCTTGTTGAGGTACTGGAATTCAGGCTGGAACGAGCTGAGCTCGTTATCAGGAGCAGCCCCTGCAAGGTGGACAATTGTGTCCGGACCGACGTCCCGCGGCACGTCCACAGTAGGCACGTTTGCTCGATCAGAACCAGTGCCGGTGCCTGCTCATGGGTAATGCCCATGTTTGATGTGCGTCCCGAACGGCCAGATCATCGCGCCCGAGCTCACGTTAAGCTCATGTTCGGGGGTGTTTGAGCGTTTGGCTGAGAACCAAAGACGCCAAAGGAGGCAAGGTATGAGCCAGAAACCGATGCCGAGAAGCACGAGCTCGTTTCGGAGCCGCCAGAAGCACCTTAAGGCAGCGTCGCCAGCTGGAAACGCGCACGGAAACAACCACCCCTGACCCGCAACTCGATACCGCTTCTTCCGCCTGTAGGCACTCTGCATGTTCTGGGAATTGCTGGACTGCTGATCACCTCGGTTATGCAGGAGACTGTAACACGCTACCCAGTGCTAACAGCTGTGCTAGTGGTACCAGGCGCGGATTGACTTTGAGGTCCTCACTTGGCCCTCAAACCCACTGCACCCACTACTGTTGGCGGACGCTCCATCCGGAGGCGGATGTCCAGCGTCCGCCGGCGGCACGATGAGCCTCCTCAAGACCCGGAAGAGGTGGGTGCTTTACAGTGCGCGTCGCACTCACATCCGACAGCTGTTCCCGACGCACCGAAGGTAATGCAAACATGGACAAAGTTGGCATGTGGGAGAACCGGCATCTGCAGAAGCGTACGACGTCTGCATACGCAGCACAACAGCTGGCATCGTGTCTCTCTTGGATCGCAAAGCCGATCAATTCGAACGAACCCTCCGCTCGTCCATCGGCACAATTCCATGTTTGTCGATCCTGAAACTGACGTGCGTATGTCAGCTACCATTGATCATGAACATCTGCGAATCTTGTGCACTTGAGGTTCACTTCACTATCGGACAGATACCTCATCCACAGACATGTCACCCAACTCACTCATTTCAGTACGGGACGAGGAACCCGGTGCGCAGTATTCTTCCCGGAGCCACATTTTGGGCACACCGTCACTGCTGGACGGGCGGGAGGTACCCCGAAGCGACTGTGCATAGCTGCGCGGAGGATAGAGCCGCGCTAGATGCGTCTGGACCGAGCCGCCTCATTCGCTCATCACTCACTCCGCAGCATCGGACGCAAACGTGCACTTTGCAGGTGCCATAGCATTGACGGCATCGTTAGAGTTACTCGGTGCTTCGGAAGCACCAGTCAGAGCGGGAGCTCATAGCCCGAGCGAGAGCGTGACGGCGTTGCGCAGCGACGGAGCTAGGAGATCGACAGCCACCCTACTTCGGCGACCGCTGCAACTCCAGAGGAGATGCGATCTTCGGCGGTCCTAAGCAACCTGTACATTCTGGCCTCTTGTCTCACTCCTCTTACGGAATGCAGCGGCTTCTGACGCCAGTGGAGAGAGGCAGAGAGCACAGCACCGAGGGGTGGTGCTGTCGGGTTCTCGAAAGAATGCTGTAATTCAATCAACGACGCTACGGCAAAGAAAGATGAGAGGGCCTCTTATTTGCCCAGTTGCGTCCAGGCGGCCCTCGGATGCTAACGCCTGCGTAGCGACGGGGGAGCCTGGCGGAGCCTTGGGGAGGCGGAGGCCACCGACTGCGCATCATTCAATGTATCTCATTCAACTATGCTGTCATCGACGCTAAGGCAGGAGCATCTCTTGCAGGGCAGGCTAGGGCCGATTAATAGAGTTTCATCAGCAGCCACAGACGCAAATCCTGCACAGATTCCTGCAGGACCCGGTGCACCCTCGCAGCTGTCCTCGAGGCTGGCGTGTGCTGCGTCGATGGGCTGGAAGCGTGCGAGTGACTCACCCTATCAGCAGCGAGACACTGCATGGCATACCACCGGCAGACCCGGACGTTCCTCAGGTCCACTCAGGAATGGGTCTGACTGCCCTACAATGGTGTCAGGAATCGAGTCGCTTAAACGGCCGAAGGTTTTCGGGTCTGGCACGCGGTGCTCGATGTGCCAGGAGCTCGCAAGGTATTCCTCCTGGAATCCCACGACATGTCGCACCGTACAGACCCTCGTCAGGTGGATGCAGGGCTGAGCTCATCGCTCTGTCTTGCACATCCAGCCTAACCCCCCTGCTTGAGACAGCGGAGACGCAAACCCACAAGCTTGTTTATCTTTCATGCTTATCCAGTTGACTGCGCAATACAGGACAGATCGTGCGGCACGGCATATGCCATGCCAAGCTGTTGAAGTAGAGCCGAACAACTCCAAGCCGCTGCAAGCCAATGCGTTCTCAGCCTTGTAAAGGTGGTCTGTGTCCTCTGGGATCCTAGGCCGAGATATTGGGCCGCAAACCAGTGCCTCTGGACTGAGGTGGCCCACTGAGCTTCTCAGTAGTCAGATGACGTTGCAGCACTCTAGAGACGGGATACGAGAAGCTCATGCAGCCAGCGAGCAGCCTGCTGCCGGCCGCCGGTACCTGTTCATGAGACCGCTGGCGGTGCCACTGATCGTGGTCACTAGATCAAACGATATTATGTTATTACCCCTCTCGCCTCGTCTCCCCGAGCGTCATCTACCCCTCCTGGAGTTCGGAAGCAAGGTGTTGCCGTCCATGCCGCGTTCTCATAATGCGACGCGGCGATGGGGCGTGTAGGCTGGGTACGCGTCGTGGCCCGTAACCGTGCCATGCTTGGAGACAACCTTGATTGCGACGTGAGCGGTCAGCGGTCAACGGAGCAGCGGGAGTGTGTGCTTGCTGGCCATCGATTCCAAAGGCCGCCGATTTCACTCTCGGCGGTGCCTAGTGTGAAGCTTGTCTCACTCCAAGCAAAGCTAACCTCAATCGTGAGCGACGAGTTTGCATGTCAGTCACGACTTGAATGCATCCACGCTGGTGAAAGGATCATCGATAGACTCAGCGCTCCGCAGTCAAGAGAACGCCTGGAATCCTGACTGCCTCCTGGAAGGAATGCGAGGTGAGGACCAGCGGAGCAGAGCTGGATATGGCTAGCGGCGTTGGCAGCATGAGGATCGCGGAGCGAGGATCTTGGCCGGCTTAGGCGGCGCGGCGCGCTCACATGGTAGCATGAAGCCCACTGTCACTAGTAGGCTGGACACAGGTCAACTTTGAGGGCTTGGGAGCGGAGGTTTGTTGATTGCAAGGGACGGTGAATCATTTCCAGAGAATGATCGCGACTAGCGAGAGACTGAGCGATGCCGCTAGCGGCTCAACCTGGAAGTACGCTGGAGCAGCCCAGGAAAGACGCTCCGGAGTGGGCACCGAGCGGACGTCGGATTCGTCGGGGGGTGGTTGGGCATTTCGCCGAGCGGTGGGTGAGTCCGCATGCCGCCAGCTGCCGGCGGGGTGGGAGCAGCAGGGCATAGAACAGGCAAACGTGCTCGTCAGGGATGCAGGGCAGATGGCTTCCAAGCCAAAGTGAATTATAAGCTCACCAGGTATTTTACGGCATCCCTGGCTGGCTCCCTAGACCCCCCTGGCTGACAGCATGCAACACACACGGTCACAAGCGCCGGCGGCTGGAAGGCAGGTCCTCTGAGACCGTGCCGTACGTCGTTGCTCACGATTGGCGCCGTTGACGCCATCTAAACGCCACGATAAGAAATCATAAACCTCAAAATTCCAGTGCTCCTGCACCACCTGGAGCCTCGTACCCGCTGCCGCTCCAGTGCCTTGATTGCTGAACAATCTGCAACCTCGCCAGTCCTGCCGACGAGACGACAGCTCTGCGGCAACCGCTCACGATTGTCAACTCTCATCATCCTTCCTCTCCTTAGTCACTCCCTTAAAACCTTTTAGCTCGCGTCAGCCGGGCACCCCAGGTGGCCTTGGTTCATTCCCTCACACACATTCTCAATCGCATCAGCCTGTCATCAATCTCACCGTCGCTCTTGGTCTATTCAAGGGCGCAGAGTCGTTCTCAGGTCTTCGTCAAGCCACGTCCGGCACACCTCACGGGCCCACCTCGGCGGACCACACATCGTGCAGCGCGGTACAGAGTACAGCCTGTCTCGTTCCTCAATAATCCTCGATCCCTCAATCTTCGATCCTCGATTTCTCGATTTCTCGAATCTCGCAGCGGCGGCAGGAGTCTCACTTACACACTCCGCAAGCCACAGGACACTCGCTAGCTCGAAGTGTTAATCTGCAGCAAACAGGCAACCCTCGACGTCGCCATATCTTTGACACACACACAAGTCGACACACACTCGTTCTTCACCTCGATCTCTTCGCACAGTTTTGTCACTCCCTACTCATCGCACGCCCGCACCTCCACGTTCGACGTTTACGACTCGCGCATACTCCCATCTTCTGTCGGCGTACTTCTAAGATCGATCCGCTCTGATCCTCACCTCACTGCCTCCCTCGCCTCCTTCTCACCCCTTATCAGCCACCACAGCATCGACGCTCTTTCCTCGATCCTTGGCGCAGTTTCGTCCGACGTCAACACCGGCCCGCTCTTATAATCCTCAGCCCCGCTGTTGACTTCGCCCCTTCACCCTTCCACCATGATCCCGCGACGATTAGTCCTCCTCTTCTTCGTGCTCCTCGCGACGACAGTCCTGGCGATGCCCGCCGCCGACGGCGGACTATCCCGACCAAAGCGTACGCGCGGCGCCGCGACCAAGGCCGCCACAGGAACACGACTGCAGCAGGCGGCGGCCGCCGCGCAAAAGCGCTCTGCCGCGAAGGGCAAGAAGGCGACCAAGGTGCAGGCTCGCGCACCGCAAGCTTCCAAGCGAATGGGCCAGCGCAAGCGCGCAAAGGTTCAGGCGCCGGCAGCGGGCAAGAAGGACTACTCGTCGTTCCTGTGCCCCGGTGGATCAGTCGCATGTCCCGTGAACGACGCGGACCCGACTGTGCTCAAGACGCAGCTGAACTCGGTCGCCGACTGGTTCAGAGTGGGATTCGAGTGTGTCGATCTGCAGACCGAGCTCGAGCAGTGCGGAGGCTGCCGCGCACTCGGCAAGGGGTGAGTGATATTGACCATCGCACGGACACGATGTGCAAGCGTGCGCCGCTGGGCGCCCTCACATGCCGCAAAAGTGAATCATGCTGACCTCATCAGACAGGACTGCTCTACCATTGAGAACGTCAAGACGGCGTCTTGCGAGCAGGGGCGATGCGTTGTTCTCGCGTGCGCTCCGGGGTACAACGTCAGTGCCGATCGCGACGCGTGTGTCGCCGGAGGGTCTGCCCAGCAGCCCCTTCGCCGGCGGCGATAGTCACCTCGACCTCCCTCAACGACCCCAACTATAGACAACTCCTATCACGAAGGTTAATCGCAAACATTGTAACAGTCACCTGCACCCACGCCTATTCCCAACCACAATCACATCCAACGCAAGCAGGCGACGTGCGCAGTTCGCACATCAGCCAGTAGAGCCCGCATCTTATGGCCCCGGAGCGACGATCACCGAAGCATCGTTCCGTTCCCTAATCTAGACAATATCATGATAGAGCGATACCAGCCTCCCCTCTCCAGCGAAGCGAGAGGGAGCGGCACGCAGCCCATAGGCCAGTAATGCCCATCCAACCCTAGCCTTGTAGACTTATACAGATAGAAAGTGCAGTGCGTGCATTCGTACAGCTACTGCCAGTATTATGCAACACAACGATGAACAAAGTATTCTAGAAGGTCAACAGCTCCACAGGCCGCGTTCCAGACCAGTGGTGCATCGATCGGGTCTGCCGCGGTGTCGAGGAGTGCCACTGCCCTGTACTCCGACATTGACCACCGGTAAAAGCAGGCATACCCGCCAGGGCCGGTGGATACCAGTGGAGATCCCACGACACGGAGTGGGGATCAGGTCCCCGGGCGCAGCGTTGCGAAGCAGCATTGTTCGGAGGGTGGCAACGGCGGCGACGTGGGTGCGTGGGTGCGTGAATCCACAGACCTCGGTGACAAATTGAGGGAGCAGTTGCGCAGAGACTGCGGACTATGACTGGCTATGACGCAAAGATTAGTCGGAATTGATGGGATGTCAGATAAGAAAAAGGGGGGGTGCGGGTGGTGTCAGATACACTGCTGGGTCCGACTGCCCGAACACTGCCCGACTGCCGCGAGACAGCAGCAGCGCTGCAGCAGAGCAGCAGAGCAGTACGGGGCCGTGCCCGCACGTCGACATACGAGTTCTGCGGTTCTGCAGTCGCGTTGCAACACGTCAGAGATGAGTTAAGTTGATCGAGCCGTGTCACACAGATCCCGTCAGCTCCCCAGCTGACAAGGAATCTGCTCCAAGTCGCCCGACATGAGCTGCATTCTAGTCTGTCTATTCTCAGCACTGCTCCCTAACTCATCCGGAACACTCGCACAACAACAACTCGTACACCTCACCACAGGCAGAATCAGCACCGCAGTCTACGCAAACGACAGCAGCTGAAGAGTAGACAGGGATAGCACTCGGAAGGTTCCTCGGAGTCAAGTTGGCCGCGTCTCGCGTAAACATTCCGAGCCCTCCCCACTTCTCACCTTGGCTGGCACATCGGGGCTTGGCTTCTTTCCGACATAGAAACCGGAACCGATCTGAGAACAACGGACATTCGTATCGTCCCGACATCTAGCGACGTTGGTCGTCAAGATCTTGGAGAGTCTATCATTAGACTCTTATATCGTCGCCCGCTAGGTCGCCAAATCGCGCACTCGCCACCGCACCAGACTTGCTGGAACGATAAGAAGAAACTCGATGCGGTGGAGTCCGCTCCTCTCCTTTGCTTCTTGAACGCCCACACCCCCACCACCTCGACGCCTCGACGCCTACACGCCTCCCCGACCCCCACTTCGCATCTTGCATTGTCTGACAATTCACCGCATATCGCCTTCCTTGAGCCGCCTTCCCCGATCTTGCAACCTTGCGACTCTCTTGATTTCTCCACAAACACACTGTTATCATTCTTTTTCTTCAAGATCAACGATCAACCACGACGACGCTCTCATTCAAACACCACCTCCGCCGACTCTCGCGAAGCGACAGCGACAGCATGACCGCCCCGCCACCGTACTACCCGCCCGAGGTCGACGTGCTGTCGCAGCAGCGGCTCGAGCTGGAGAGCGCAATGCAGGCGCAACAACAGCCTGCTGGTGTCATTGTGAGTAGTGCTTGTTGCGCCGTTACACAAATGCTGACGTCTTCCCTTCCCATCATTGCGCCCAAATTCGTCGTCTGCTCTATCGAATGTGGTCGCTACGCCCTCACCCAACATGACGACGATCTCAACACCGCTGTCTACGTCGATCTGGGAACCGTGCGCTGCACTCCCTGGCTTCGCCCTCTCCTCACCTCAACCGCGCCTTCCTCACGCACCCCTTGCCCTTTCGACCCTTGCCTCGCACTCGCCTCGCTGCAACCTGCACTCTGCCTCGTGTCCTCTGTCACGCTCGTCATGTCTCACGGTTTGCTCCCAACTCGCTTCCCTGCGCTGCACTTGCTCCCTGCGCTTGGTACGTCAGAACCTTGGCCCCGTAACACGCTCGAGCCAAGTGACTCGCGCTCTGGGCACGCCCCGCGCCCTCGTCGAGCCCGGCTACGCACACGCCGTGATCACGACGTATACACGTAAGAAGCTGGGTAACCGTACTCGGCATCAGGTCGAGTACAAGCTCGAATGTCTTGAGCGCAAGGTGAGTACATCTCTGGCGGCTTCCTCCGGGCCCTCCACTTTTCTCCTCCACCGCCCACCACCCTGTGGTCCGTGCTCTCTCGGCACTGCTTGCTCGGCGTCGGTCAACCTCTGCGTCGCGAAAAAAGAAGCTGTGCATGAGAGACGACCTAAGCGAGACGCGCCCTCTTGTCGTTGGTCGCAAGCGAAACGTGTCTGCAAGCGTCAAGCACGCCTTGTTGCGTACCTGGGGTTGGCTTGGTGCCCCAATAATCCGAGAAGCCGACGAACCGACCAGGGCCCGTACCTCCACTTTTTCATCCGGTCGGGTCCTGATATCGAGGCGGGGTCAAGGTCTTGGCTCTGCTCGCCGGGTGCCGGTCGGGGTTTGGTCGGCTATGCTCGGCGTGCCTGTTCCTGCTTCATGCTTCAGTGGGAGCATGCAAGCATGCAACGCTCGGGCGAGCACAACGCTTGCTGGGAGATCACGGCGTTGTGTGGAGAAGTCAGAACTAGACATGATGATCAGCGTTGCTGACAGCAGATGCCACACTTCGCCGACGAGTTTGAGGGTGCGCGAGAGGAGCTTGGGCTCGGCCGTTCGCGCGTACTCAAGAAGCTGCGCCCGCCGCCTCCACCGCCGTACCCCGTCATTCGGCAATGCGGGTGTGTGTGCACTTGCGGCGCCGAGAGCACTCGGATCGAAGTTGAGGTCCGCGGACGCGGCGACAGTGTTTCCTCGACAATGACGACGGCGAGCACTCTGACGAACGCGAGTTCAGTATCGGGGGACCACCAACCTTGAGCGGCCGACCCTCGTTCCAGCGAATCGGCCAGCAGCTTCGTCAGCGGCGTCGCACCCTCTTTGCACACTTGCACCCTCGTCGCATGCTCAGCGTACTCTCGGTTTCATTACCCACGAGCCCCGCAGCATGGCCAAGAGACAAGCTCCGACAGCCGAGCTTAATCGCTGGAACATTATCTGAAAAGGGTAATACGGAATTTCCGACCGCAACCACCAACCAACGACCAACCCCGTATTGCACTCGCACCCTCTCAAAGCATGATCCCAGACCGACCACTGACCGACACACGAGACGCATTGAGAGTTTGACTGCTCAGATTGAAGAAGCAGAGAGAAAAAAAAAACTGAAGCGTACGGCTGGACCTGCGCCGGCCCATGTCCATTTATAGATGCGTTCGTTGTAAGCAGCTAGAGGAAGTGTAAATGTACGGATTATTTTGTGGCCGGGGGTGGTATTACAAAGTACTACTAATGGGCCGATTAGGTGACCATGTGATCGGCTCGTTGTGACCGATGCTAAGTCAGGCCAGGCGGCGATGGCCAAAGCGATGCTTGGGTGGTGGATGGTCGCCTGCGTGTGTGAATGACGTCTTGCAGTCTCACTTTCTCTGTCTCATCTCATATCTCCCACTCCAATCCGACCTCGTTCCAGCAACAACAACTTGCACATCCTCCACCTCTTACCGCTCCACGTCCTCAGTCCGGCAGTCGACACCGACCCCGACGTCGATCTCGACAACGCATGCAGGACCTCGCCTTCCTCGGCCCCATGGAGCGCTCGCAACCAGGGCCGTCCAAGTACAATGGCGGCCACCTTCCCCCGGTACCCTACATCCACCGCGCCGAGGAGGTCCTTGTCGGCCTCGCAACCGCCCGCGCGCAGAGCGACAAGGCGTACGCCTTCGCCATTGTCGATGGTTACATTCGCAGCAAGAAGGCGCGAGGACAGGTGCCGTCGTACATCGCATCCAAGATTGAGCTCCTCGAGGCTAGGGTAAGCCAAGCGCCTCTGTCTTTCACCGTGCACCAGAGCTCTGTTTCCGGATCACGGATGGCTGTGGAGGCGATGTGTTGCTTAGAACGAGCGCTGACGGCAGATACCGATGAACTTTGCGAGTGTCTTCATCGACGCACGCGAATGGCACCGCCTCCCTCCGTCACGCATCATCCGGCGGCGGCGGACGCCGTCCGACGCTGGTCCGAGCCGGACAAGCAATGTGGGACAAGGAACTCGACCACAGCGGCCCGTAAGCGCCATCGCGGGTACGGCGGGTGGTCCCGGCGGCCCGAGTATGCCAGGCGGCATGCCGAGCGTGACGCAGATGGCGGCAATGGATCGCCGTCCGCCCGTCAACAGACAGCCCGTGCGACAGCAGACGCAAGAGGACGAAGCGCCGCCGCCGCCATACTCTGCCGAGGATCCCGAGCCCGAGGCGACACGTGCGCTGCAGGAATCCCTTGCCGCGGCAGCGGAGCAGCAAGGTAGCGACTTCACACCAGAGCCGTCCCATCGTCGTGCGAACTCAACATCAGCGAGCATGGTCACGGCACAGACGAGTTTAAGCACGAGTTCAAGGCGTACAAGCGGGGATCGACCGAGACCGAGCGAGTTCCCGGGTTCCCCAGCGGCCAGGGCTGGCAACGCAACATCGAATGGCCCGAGTGCCGTCAGTTCGCCGTCCATTGCGCCAAGTAATCCGACACCCGCCGCCGATGCGCCGCCAGTCGACACATCGAACATGAACGAGGAGGAGAGGAGGGCAGTCGAGGAGAGCCAGCTGGAGGAGGCTATGCGTGCCTCTCGGCAGGCCGAGAAGGAGCGGCTCGAGTATGAGGCCGCCGTGCAGGCGTCGCTGGCGCAAGCCGAGGAGGACGCACTGCGGCGCGCTTTGGCTTATCCAGGTGAATCGCCTGCCGAGAGCAGTACACGGGACCGGAAGGAGCGCAGCAGAAGCACGAGTGAGGAGCGGGACCGCGAGCCGCGCAGTGGCCGGTCGTCGAAGCGCTCATCACTGCACGCGCCGAGTGTGAGCAGCGTCTCGTCCGGCGCGACAGTCCGCCGCACCGGAAGTTCAACACGAACAAGCCTCTCCCGAATCCGAACCCGTCCGCCTTACCGCCCGTACAGGAGCCAGCGAACGAGAGTCTGATGGACATGCTGGCCTCCATCGACTTCAACGCACCAGAGATTAAGCCCATCCAGCCGACGCTAGCACCACAAGGAACCGGTGGTACGGGCGGGAGCCGGGGAAGCTTCTCCGGCGCCTCTGAGGCTAGTATCGAGGCCACGGTGGCCAGTCCGCAGAGCAGCTCCAACGGGAGCTGGGTATCCGGTGGTACTGCGACTGCGACTAACAGTGCTGCGCCGTCGCTGGGCACCACGCCGACCCAGCCGACATACATTCACCACGCGGAGCCGCGGTTGAAGAGCAAGAACCCTTTCCTAGCGCCGGAAGAGCAGGATCCGCCCGCCGTGACGGTGGCAGGTCCCCCGCGTCCCACGCGCTCGCCTCCGCCGCCTCCGCCGAGGAGCGACACAAACGAGACTGCGCGCCCCGAGTCGTACGACCACCATAACCACTCGCAGTACCTCGACCCGTCGTCGGCAGAGTATGACCACTCGGGCGGCAGCAGCCCGCAGTACTCGCCCAACTGGCGCGGCGACGCACACGGTCTCACGATCAACACGTCCCCGCGGTCCGGCACAGCGCCGAGCCTCAGCAGCGCCGGCGCAACAGTCGCCGGCCTCACGCCGAGCACGGGCTCCCACTCGCCGAGCGGGTTCCCGTTCCCCGTCGCTGTGCCCAGTGGCCTGCCGCCGAGTCCGAGGCCAACTTCGGAGATCTCGCCTGCGCGCAACTTGCCCCCGATTCCTCAGTCCCGCTCTGCCGAGAATCTGCCACAAGGTCCCCCGCCGCCGGTTCCGCCACGCTCGAATCTGAGCCACACGCCGTCGGCGTCCTACTCCTCTCAGCACTCGCAGCCTCTCCCCCAGCCTCCGACGCAGAACAACCACTCCGCGGCGGCCGCCGCCGGTGCCCTGGAGCTGTTACGAGCATACGACACCGTCTTCCTCGTCGACGACTCTGGTGCGCTCCGGGACGAAAACTGGGAAGCGGCCGCTCACCTGCTCTGCAATCTCGTTGAGATGGCGCCAGAAGGTCTGGACGTGTACTTCCTTAACTCGAAGCGGATCGGGAAGGCGCTGAAAGAGCGTATCGACGTCGAGGAGCTCTTCGCCGGCCTTGTGCCCCGCGAGGGGAAGCAAATGGGAGTCAGGCTCGAAGGCGTGCTGACCGAGTACATTGACAGACTGGAGCGCGAGGGCGGGATGAGGAAGCTGAATCTGATTTTGGTGACTGATGGAGGTGAGTCGAGGCGCCGCAGGCGCCGTATCCTCCTCGCCTTCTTTGCCCCTGCCTGTAAAGGAGGGGTAGAGGGGTAAGGCATAAGTGAGCAAGCTAACGCCCAGGCTTCGCGAAACCGGTCCTGTCCCGCGCAAAACATGCCCGTGGCATTGCCGATCTCCGTCATGAGCTCTTATCAAGTGCCGGGCCCGAGGACGCCGAGGCCGTGCTCGTGTCGGCGGGCAAGCGGCTCGACCGCGCCGGATTCCCAGGCGACCAGGTGGGCGTGCAGTTCGTGCAGCTCGGCGACGATAATGACGTAAGTGTGAACTGCGAGCGGAGCGAGCACCCATTGCTCCTTTCTCATCCCTTCACCCATACCACGCCTGGATGTGCGGGCGGCAGGGGAACAGGGAGGAACAGGGGAGAGGAAGGCCAGAGTGTAGAGCTGCAAAAGGGGCCATGCAAGCTGACATACAGGCGCGCAAGGCGCTGCAGGAACTCGACTCGCTGGCTTCCGTCCACTCCGTCCGCGATATGGTGGATACGGTCCGATACCGTCCCGACTCTTCAGCAATTGGGCCAGAGTTGGCGGCCAAGGTGCTCCTTGGCGGGATCCACCGGGGTGTAGACGCTATGGCTTAATCGTGCGAGCAACGTGAGCACGCCGTGCTCCAAGCAGGCTGAGTCCGTCGTCGCTGTAGCTGAAGATAGTCAGCGGTAAAGACGCTGGGCTGCGAGCTCGGTGATCTGTCTAGTGACTCAAGGAAGGAGGTCAGAGGAGACGAGAGCAGGAGAATATAGAGCGCTGAGTGAGAAGAGGGGAGGGGTTGAGATCTTTGTATGCATCATGACTTGCACGTCCCCGCCTCTCGCCACATCGCTCCGCTGCCCTATCACGGCCGTCCAGGCGAGAGAGATTAGACTCGCCCGTCTAGTTCACCTATGTCCCACGTTGGCCCACTTATGGGACCTGCGGCACTCGCCATCTGGAGATGAACTCTACACGTCCATGGATTGCATTTGAAAAGGATTCTAGATCTTTACGTTGGTTCTACTATACTCGCCCCTTCACCTCTCTCCCTTCACCGTTCCCTTCCTCTTTCCCTCCCATACGAAATAGCCGCCCTCCGGCCTATCGGCCGTCGGGTGTCTAGTCGTCCTCATCATCCGCAAACGGCGCATACTCATACTCCCCCGGCCGATGCATCTGGCTCGTCACCCACTCCTCGTCCGTATCCTCAATGGCGAACCCCTGACCTCCCGTCCAACTCAACAACACGGGCAGGAGCACCAGACCATGCGCAGCGCCAGCAATGATGAGCACGAGCCACATACGGAAGTAATACACTTCGAGAATCTTGCTCGTCGTAAACGCCAATATGGCGATGCCGTTCAGTTTCGTGATGGTGATGCCGCAGAGAATAGACGCGCCGACGTCGGACAGCGCGGCCCACACGCGCTCGTCCCTCTCTTTATTTGAGGGGGAACGGTCATACCCGCCACTTCCCATGAAGGCGCGGGCTAGGTGCGAGTTGAACTCGACTGCAATGCCCAGCGAAATGACCAGGTTCACGAGACTGATGGCGTTGAGCGAAATGCCCCAGAATCCCATCGCGCCCATGACCGTGATGACGGTCAGGGCGCAGGAGAACGTGACTGTTGCGCCTGTGCGCCAGCTGCCGAGCAGGACCGAGGACACACACAGGATCGCGAGCAGACAGATACACAGCACTTCAAACGTCATGGGGACGATGTACGCGTACTGGTCGAAGAAGACGTAGAAGAGGCTGTACGCGAACACCTTGATGCCTCTTGACGCGAGGTCGGCGCAGATCCGCTTCGCAGAGGCCAGGGCACTGATGAAGTCCTTCTGCGTCCGGAGGGGCGTGTGGAATGTCCGGAAATGCGACGTGTACACTGGGTATTCGGTGTGGTTCGTCAGCGCTAGCGCACTGCTGTACGCCTGCTTCCCGCCCAGTGGACAGTTGTCGTCTGCCGGCGAGGCAAGCCACTGGCGCAGATATCGGTCCACCTCTGTGCCGACGGGGAGGCCATTCATCGTGCTGTCCCACTCGTGCCCCTTGAAGCAGGGCTGGCACAGCCTGTCACTATCTCTCGCGCGGCAGAATTGGGTCGGGTCCGCCTTGCGTACCCGGCAACAACTGTCAAAGGCCGGGTTGGTCCATTGCAAAAAGTCGTCGATCCAGGATGCGGGCGGAGCAGCGAGGTATGACGTCGAGGGCCGCTTGCGCTCCGCCTCGAGCGTGTTCACGACGGACAGCTCCTCGCACGTCGTGAAGCGGCCGCAAAGCTCCTGCTGTCCCCTGCGCTCGGCCACGTTGTCGTCCATGACGACAAAGTACACCGGCGGGCCGACGTCGAGGAACCGGTCCACGTCGTTGAAGTATGGCACGAGGTAGGAGTCGGCGGGCAGGGCGAGGCGCTGGTCCAATCCCAGGTTGATGTGCTGGATGCCAATGACACTGGCGACGAAGATTCCGCCAAAGAACGCAACCACGAGCAACTTGACATGCTTCTTCAGCAGCGTCGGGGCGTAGATCACGCGCACGAAGCGCGTCACGATGTCCTCGGCGGCCGGCGCATCGTCGTATAATCCGACCGGAGGGCGGATACGCACGCACGGTACGACGTCCATCCGCATCGCCTCGGCGCGCTTCAGGTCGAGCGTCATCGCACTCACGAACACCGTCACCTGCATCAGCGCCGCGAGCAGGACCGAGCCCGCAGCGTAGATTGCAAAGTTGCGCACGGCGGGCATCGGCACGAGCGTACCCAGCGCAAACGCGGCGACCTCCGTCGTGCTGCTGAGCAGGATGGAGGGGCCCATCTTGGCCACGGCGCGCGCGGCGCGCTCCTCGGCAGGCAGGCTTGTGCGCTCGCTCACGGCGTCGTCGTCGTCGCTGAAGTCTACGGGCGGGGCGTGGAGGATGTTCTGCCGGTCCAGCTCGTGCACGAGGATGAAGACGTTGTCGACGCCAACGGCCAAGACGAGGAAGGGAATGACCTCGGCAATGATGAGTGTGACCTTGATACCGAGGAGCGAGAAGAGGCCGACACTAGAGGCCACGGAAATGAGTACGATGGCAATACCGAACAGGCCGAGGGAGAACTTTGAGTTGATCAGGATCGAGGCGGGGATGCTCCAGAGCGAAAACTCGGGGAGCGTGGCTGCGTTAGGCGCCTCGACGGGCAGGCCCACCTTGTGCGCGGCGGACTGGATGTGGTGCACTCCGTGCGCAATGAGCGAGTCGATAACGGACGGCGGGATGCCGCGACCAAGCGTTAAAGACACGTACAGGAACATGGCGAGGTAGGAGAGCACGACGATGCGCACGTCCGTGTTCGTGCTCTTGTTCAGCTGCTCCTCGAGACTGATGCCGGTTGAGTAAGACAGCCTGATGCCCTCGGGTACGTGCAGCTTGCCGATAAAGGACTCGAGGCCGCGCTCCCACTTCTCCGGCATTTTCAGGCGCTTGTCGCCCTCCTCGTAGTTGTTCACGACGTAGGTGATGACGAGCGCGGAGGCGTTGAGCCAGTTGCCCTCCGCGCCGCCGAGGACCAGCTTCGGGTCCAGCGGCTGGCCAAAGTCGGGCAGACACTCGGCGGGGTGCTTTGCGCACTGGTCGATGCGCTTCGCCCAGTCGTCGTCGAGCTCATAGCCGGTCCAAGCAGAGATCGACTGCACGACGCAGGCGTCGCCGCCCGGCGCAAAGCAGACCTTCTCCAGCGTGCTGCCCTGGTAATTCAGCTTGTTGATCTGGTCCTCCGTGTCGAGCCACCACTGGATCGTGTCCCGGTCCATGACGGTTGATCCGTCCTTGTGGCTGACCGGAAGAAGGGCCCAAACTCCTTGTCAAAGAACTCCTTCTGCTGCGCCGCCTCACTCGAGGGCGAGACCCACAGGCGAACCGGGTCCGTTTCCACCGAGAAGTCCTTCCAGCCGACATTCAGCGCCGCGATGATGACGGCCCAGATGGCGAATGTGGCGATAGGACGCTTGGCGCAGACGAGACCGAGGCGGTAGAAGAACCTCCGCAGCGCGGCGTTAATCGCATTCTGCTTCGGCTGCATGTGCTCCATGGGGTCTAAGAGCGAGGCGCCACGACCGAGGCGGAAGTGCACGGATCCCGAGGGGCCGGACTCGGAGTCATCGCCGCGGCCGACGAGGCCGTCGAGCCCGGAAATGGTCGGGGACAGCGGAGCGTCGAGCGAGACCCGCTCGTAGCTCGCTTTCCGACGGGACCAGAAGGAGCGAGCCGCGAGCCAGATGATACCGGCGAGGAGCAAGACGGAATAGATGATGAGCAGTGAGAAGGTCAGACACGACACCGCGCCAACAGTGCATTGTCCGTGGCTTGGTGGAGAAGGCAGCGCGGGACAGACGTCGGGGCAGTCGACGCAGGCGCAGTGAGCGTTCTGGTTGTTGACGTCGGCGCAGTTGAGCGGCTCGCGCTGGTACTCTCCTGATCTGGAACGGGCTCCCGAGCCCCGGCCTCTCGTCGCCCATGTACTTCAGGAATGCAGAAGCATTCTTGGCTCCGCCGCCAATGAGGTCCATCGCGAACCCATTCGTTGCGCCAAACTGAACGCTCTTGCAGCTGTCGAAGAAGCCCTCGGCGAAGTTGCTGCTGACGCCATAGTCGACGCTCTTCACTGCGTCCTTGCCCTCGGTTGTCTTTTGCGTCTGCGTGACCTTGAGAAACTGCGCCTGGTCTGGCGAACATGTAAAGTCACAGTAGAACGAGCGGAAGTTGTTGATACAGGCAGGGCAGGAGGCAATCAGCGGAGCAGCCTGCGAGAGCTGGTCGCCGAGCGCCTGCACCTGGTCGACGGTGCAGCATACGTGTGAGGGTATCTCGTAAGATGAGCCGCACACCTGCTTGAGCAGTTTCGAGATGTCGGGGGAGATCTGGGGTCAGCAAGGTCTGGGGATCGACCCCGGAGTGTCTGTGGATTCGCCGCTCGGCCAACTCCGCCAAGCCTTCTGCCGCGGCGCAAACTCGCCGAGGGCCACGGCAGACGGCCCGCCTCCTTGGGTGAGCCTACTCACCTTATCAGCCTTTCCATCGTCGGGACAGGGGAGCTCGGCGCCGAACATGGTCGCGCGACCGCAGTTGCCGCGCATGGCGCAGTACCCGGGTTTGCCCTTGGCGAGGTGGTGCACGTCCTCCGGGGTTGCCGGTGCCGGCGCATGGAGCGCATCTTGCGCTTCAAGCGCGTGCATGGTGAGTCTGGGCGTGTACCGTGGGCTGTTGAGCTGGGTGTCGAAGTGGTAGCTGGCGGTGAGTATGGATGGAGTGAAGGCAAGAGCCAGGGAGAGGGGGTACTAAGCGTTCCGATCAGCCATCGACCGAGCCGGGACTGCAGTAGCGGCGATGACGTACCTGGCCACCGACGATTCGGCCGCTGAACCCCTTGTTCTCATTTCGGGTGTTGATGGTGCCGCTATTATTTCTTGTCAACAAATCCTATTCCCGCATCCGGCAACAACTCGCTGATCTTGATACACGCTTTTCCGCTTCTCACGACATTCCCTCTCTTTCTCTTATCGCTACTCAACTAGACGCTAGACACCATGGCGAATTCGGTCCCAAGAACGCCGAACCGCAATAGCTTCAGCATCCCCGGCACACCATCAAGTTACAGCCCCATCTCCGGCGACGCATCAGTGCCGGAACAGCTGCAGCACCTCGCGACCCAGATTGTTACCCAGACTGTCTCGAACCGCGCCCAGCTCAAGACTTTCGCCGAGCAGCTGAACCAGATCGCCCAGAAGCAGGATGAGGCGCTCGGCATTGCGCGCGCTGAGGAGAGCAGGTGCGTCTTCCTTTTTGCCACCGGTCACGCAGTGACTGTCTGACCGTCACTGTGTGTGCACCGAAGCTGCGATGTCTGGGACTATGTAGCTGACTGAACAGGAGACAGAACCGTGTTCGCTCGATTGCAGAGCAGCCGTTGCTCCCCGTCGTCCGACCTGGAACACAGATCCCGAATGGGCTTCCGGTGAGCTGAAGGTTCGACCCTTGAGCTGACATCTCAGCCGATCACGTCGCAGACTGCGCTTGAGAAGATGTCAATGCAGGACCTGACCAGCTGGTACGCCTACTACACCAGCTCTCGCCCGGACTTGTCCCGAGGGCAACTGACGGCGGCTCTGTGTGCTGAGGTCGGCCTCTCTGCGCCGCCCTCATACATGCAGGCCGTTGCTGCTCCCTCGGCGTCTTCCTCCGTTATCGTCCCGACGCCTACGCCCTCTGCCGCCCCGGCAAAAAATTCTGTTGCGAAGAAGAAGAAAAAGGCCGTTGCCCCGCCGGCGCAGCGGACAGTCACTCTCTCGCCGACCGCGCTCAAGTTGATTGGCATCTTCGTCATGATTGGAGGTCTGCTGGCGCTTAGTGTGCGCTACTCGGACAACGGCAACGTGCAGCAGATGCTTCAGCAGATTCTCAACATTCTGGGCCAGTACGTGCTCAAGTCGGGCCTGTTCGTGTACCAGTCTTCCCTAAGGCTGCTGGACAAGGCGGAGGACTACACGAGCGACTTGTGGCAGCATGTGCCGAGTTGGGGCAGCAATCATGGGGGCGAGTTCAAGACACAGGTGATCTAGAAGGATTTTTGTGGATCTGGAGGGACGATGGGATCGATCTTTGGGCAGAGTGTGTAGATAGTTTGATAGATGGCATGGCACACGGACGTGTTTGTTGTTGACAGGCCTGGTGCTGCGCGAGAGTGATGTCTTCCTCGTCTTTAGGTGGCAAGAAGCGATCGACATTTTGTGTCAGGCAGAGATGGTATGGGTTCCACGTGGTGTTTGTTATGATGTGTGATGAGGGTGACACTGGATGGGTGCCCTGTCGGTCACAGCCTGGGCTCTACTGCTGTGGTCGATATCACTCTATGGTTGCCCCGAACCCTTTGCTTCGCCTATCGCCCTGTGCCAGCTCTGCCCCTGGATCTGCTTGCAACCACCCACCACCGCTCTCAACTTTAGCTTCCAGGTCCCAACATGCATCGTCCGTCGCTGTGTGCTGCAACAAATAATTATCCACTCTCAAGTAGAGTTTGCCACGGAGGAAATCGTTGCTTTTCTTGCGACAGCTACTTTCGTCCCAACACTTTTTCTTGGCGAACAGAACAACACTCCGTCCTCCATAGACTCACCGTCTCCCATCGACACCCAGAGTATTTATTCACTCAGGCTCATCTCCTAATCCTCTTGCCTTGTGCACTTTTGCCTCGCGAATAATCACTCACTCATCACTCGGCCCTGAACACCACCGCTCTCCTTCCCACATTCACTCACTTCACACTTCCCTCGTCCCTTCAACCCACCAAAATCCCGACTACTCACCGACTTTGCGACGCCTGCGACTCCGTGTCTTCTTTCTTCATTTTACCACACACCTTCTGTCCAACGCCGCTCCCTTGCTATTTTCGATACCGACCCCTTGCTCTGCACCGCCGAAAAAAGCAAAGACTACTGAGAGACTGCAGCGCCCCCTGCGTCACGCATCTCACTCATCGCGGCACGCACACGCACACAAGCACGATCACGACTGCGACGACAACACGACTTTGGGACATACGTGCACCCAACTTGCACCGGACACTAGACTCATCCCACGCACGACCTCTTCCGGAGCACCGGTAACCCGACAGAACCCACCAACCCCAACCTCCCCCCTCCCACTCTCCAACCCACCATGCAGGCTTGGCAAGCCCCGCCCCAACAGCCCGGCAACTTCAACGGCCCTCCTCCGCCGCAGATGCAGATGAGCGAGGAAGGCCACCTCGGACCGAACGGCTTCCCGCCGGGCGGCTTCCCTCCTGGACCCGGCTCGACGACATCAACACGCGTCAGCGCCGCCCCGCCCCCCCTGATGGACCAGTGTGAGTGGCGAGGATAGCGTGCGCGGAACGTCGCTATATCCTCGGGCAACAACGCCAAGAGCCTACGCGGGCAGGACTGACCTTTGCAGCGCACCTGCGACCAGGCAACTCAGCCTCGCTACTGAGCCACAACCAGACCATCGAGCTGTACCGCGAGAATGCAAAGAAGACCAACGATCCCGAGCTCATCTTTGAGTTTGCCGTGTTCATGATCGACGCCGCCAAGCAGATGGTGCCCCCTCCGAACCCGGACGACCCGGCGGACCCTGTGAACCGGCCGCCCGCGGCCGCCGTCGACAAGCGCGACGAGCTCGTAAAGGAGGCAACGGCGCTGCTGAAGCGCCTCGCGGACCGTGGATACCCAGACGCACAGTACTTCCTCGCCGACTGCTTCGCCAACGGCATCGGCACCACGCGCGGCAAACAGGACTTCGATAAGGCGTTCCCCCTGTTTGCGCTCGCTGCGAAGCACGGCCACCCCGACGCATGCTACCGCGCAGGCACCTGCTGCGAGCACGGTTGGGGTACGCGGCGTGAGAGTGCCAAGGCGATCCAGTACTACAAGTGAGTTGACTGCTGCAAGCTGTAGCTGTCGGTGCACTGCCTTGCGCCAGCTAAGAGATCGTTCCCTCTAACGCCCACAGGAAAGCTGCAGTCGGTCTCCACCCTGGCGCGATGTACCGCCTGGGCACTGCCGAGTTGAACGGATCTCTCGGCCTGTCCAAGCGGCCCAAGGAGGGAGTCAAGTGGCTGAAGCGATCGGCGGAGCACGCGACAGAAGAGTTCCCGCACGCATTGCACGAGCTGGCGCTCCTGCACGAGCGCGGCATTGACAATATTCTCTTCGTCGACCTCGACTACGCCGCCGAGCTGCTCGCCCAGGCGTCCGAGCTCAACTACGCCCCGAGTGCGTTCAAGCTCGGCGAGTGCTACGAGTACGGCAAGATGGGCTGTCCCCTCGACCCGGCGCTGAGCATCCATTACTATAACATTGCGGCGCAGCAGAACCACCCGCAAGCGTGCTTTGCACTCACGGCGTGGTACCTCGTTGGCGCGGACGGCGTGCTCCCCCAATCCGACACTGAGGCGTACCTATGGGCGAAGAAGGCGGCCGACCAGGGCCTCGCCAAGGCGCAGTATGCCCTGGGATACTTTACGGAGGTGAGTAGACGAGCGAGCGCGAAGGCACCGCAGGTGGCTGAGCCAGGTGGCCGAGGCTGCCAAGCTCACAGAGTGTCGCGGCTCCCTCGTATAGCTGTCCACGTATTGGGGTGATAGCTAACTTCCAGACCGGCGTCGGCGTCGAGGCCAACATGGGCCAGGCGATGAAGTGGTACCGCCTAGCCTCCGAGGGCGGGGACAAGCGCGCGGCCCGCCGACTCGCAGGCGGCATGAACGGAAACGCGGCACTGAACCGCCGCGTGGAGATGGAGGCTCTTAAGGAGGGCAAGGCGGCGGGCAAGGGGGGTGACAAGGACGGCTGCGTGGTTATGTGAGCGGCGAGCGAAGCGAGCTTGCGAGCATGACGAGCCGTCCTCCCACCCATCACCTCTTCCACCCAACAACCTTCCCATCGCCTCCGGTTCCCGCCTCGTCTCTACCTATCCGAGCTCTGTGTAGCGCCGTTATACACTCGAACAGCTGTCAGGAGAGAGTCCGAGGAGGACACTGAGGAGTAGACGGACACTAGCGTGTCGACAACCCCTTATACATACTTTTTTCTTTCGATCACAGATACCCTCGACAAATCCCAAACACCAACACCACAGATAGAGTTTGGCCAGAGCTTTTTGGCCGTGTAGCAATGATGGATCTACTTGCATAGAGCAGGCCGCGGAACGAGCGAAGCGAGTGGAGCCGCGAGAAAGTCGCGAGCGAAGCGAGCTTGAGTGGGGTGAACGTGAGCTCTGGTTGCGTGGAGTCGGAGCAGCGAGTGAGACTGTAATGAGTGAGAGTGAGAGCGCAAGAGAGCGCAAAACTGTGATCGCAAGAGAGAGTAGACTAAGCAGGAATGAGTGACAATCGCAAGGCTGCAGCCCCGACAAGCCGGCATGGCAAACGAGGAAAGCAGAAAAACGTGTGCATTTACAACAAAGCTAAAACTCGATACTCTCGCTCTTGACGCGTTTCGCGTCCCTCCCCTCTTCTCCCGCGCGCCTCTTCTCGCTCAGGTCGGCGACAATCGAGCGGGCGTGGGATTCGAGCATCTCGACATACGGCTTCAGGGAGGTCTTCTCCCATTCTGGGCGTCAGCTTATTCTCCTCAACCTTGTAGCTTTCTCTTCTCCTCTACATTGTGGCTGTGTCTGTTCCGTCTCCTGTTCCGTCTCTTCCACTCCCATCCTACTTCCATTCCCTTCCCGAGACTATTGGGGTGAGGGAGGAGGGAGGCGCGGAGAGGAAGGAGCGAACGAGGAGGGAGGAGGGGGATTGGGGGACTCACCTGACGCCAGCTTTGAGGCCGGCTTGACCTCGCCCGTGGCTCCAGAGCCGTCGCCCTCTTCCGTCTTCATCTCGGCCGCTGTGTCCAGTTCGCGCAGCAGCTGGCCCACACTCGGCACTGTTGCTGGATCGAACTCGTGCGCGCGCTCCGGGTCCACGGGGACACACACCCGACCTGATTGTCAGCTTTTCCTCTCGTCACGAAGACCCAGCCCAGGTCACTCCGCTCGCTGCGCTCGCTACGTACCAGTCCCGGGGTGCACACAGAACGGGCTCTTGAGCAAATGGTTCCTGTGCTTGGACACTTCCGCGTCGATGCGCGGATACGTGTACTGCAGAATCACGTCCTCGATTGCGTTCTTGTACTTTCTGTACGCCGGCGTCCCCTTGCGCGGCATGTGGGCCATGAGCTGCTCCCACCGCGTCGTGCTCGAGGCGTCGGGCTGCGACTCCCACTCGGCCCGCAGCGCGTCCTTCACCTCCCGGTCGGCGGGGAGGAGCTCGAGCAGCGTGTGCCAGCCCCGCTCGGAGCGGAAACATTCCTGGTCTTCCAGGATCAGACGGCTGAACTCGTACTTCAGCGTCTGCAGGGCTTCCCTGTTTGTCAGCTTTCTCAACCGAAACGACAGCTGGCAGGAAGGAAGGAGTGACAATCTCCACTTGAATGAGCACCCTCGGCCTGCGTCCTCTGGATCGGACCACTCACTTCAGCGACGGGTGCAGGTCCGCATCTCCCAGCCCCCGGACGTTGACCTTCTTGACCTGCTCCTTGCCGCCCTTGATCACCTCCAAAAACATAGTCAGAGCGCGCCTCTGGTCATCCGTCAGGTCCATCGCGAGCGTGTCCGAAATCCAGCAATGGATACCACGACGACCAGAGTACACCCACAGCAGGTGCTTGAAGCCAAACGTCTCGCGGAGCGCCTTGTCGAGCACTTTCACGGCCGCGGCGATGAAGCCCCAGCACCGCGCGCAGATCGCCTTGTCACTGCAACAGGTTCGGATCTCGTCGTAGTCGGTCATATCAATGTCGAAGACGAGCTCGCGGCGTTCCGGCTGTAGCGCGCCGGCGGGGAGCGTCTTCCTGTCTCGGGGCTGGGGTCAGCTCGGCTTCGCACAACACCTAGCTGGGGACGGAGGCAGGACGTGAGGGCACTCTGATGCCCTCGACAACTGAACAACCCGATGGTCACCACACTCGCTTCGCTCGTGTACCCACCTTCGCCGAGTACTGCGGTCCGATCTCGAATCGTGACGGCAACAGACGGAGCACCTCCTTCTGGAAGTCGTACGCTGTGCTGAACGACTGGTATCGGATGTAGACGTCGTTCTCGATAGTGAACGCAAACTCGCGGTGCGTCCATAGCTTTCCGGGTACTGCGTGTCAGCTTTCCGACGCAGGTACAGCTTCTCTCTCCGACGATCGAGCTCACTCACCATCGCCCTGGTTCAGCCATCGGTACACGGCCTTGTACGGAAAGAGACGCTTGTAGAACGCGCGCATCACCTCGCGCGAGCTCGGGCTGGGGTCAGTTAAGCAGAGGAAGTCCCAACGCACTCATACTCCATTCTGCGGTCAGCTCAGTTATCCATGGAAACGTGAACTTACTCTGTGACGGCCATGGTTGCGCAATGTTGCAGAGCACCCGCCGCCGAATGTTATTGCTTTCGTGCAGGGCGAGACGCGACGCGTCTGAAATGGACCTTGTTCCGCCCACCCAGTTACACACGCGAGGATCACGTGCCTGACGTCAGGACCGAGATTATTTTGGCTGACCCTGCGATCGTCCAGAAAGTCAAGAATTCCTGGCCGCAACTGGACGTCTGCACTGCACACCCGGTCACCATGTCCTTCACGATCCCCGCGAACATCGCGCCGCCCTCCGACTCGGGCTCGGACTCGGCCTCCGACGATGGAGGCTGCTCCGACTGGAACTCGACGCTTGGCGACGCTCTCTGCACCCAGGCGCTCTTCGAGGACACCGTCTACCCGACCGCGCAGGAGGCGCTTGCCGCCGATGCTGCCAAGGGCTTCGACCTCGCTGCTGTGTCTGCCAAGCTCGGCCTGGACCTCTACGGTCGCATGCGCCTGATCAACTGGATCCGCCGCGACAAACCTACCCCCGCCGACGCCGCTGCTATCGCCAAGGACGACCCGAAGCTCAGCGACGATGCGCTCCTCCAGCCCGTCCTCGCCGACGACCCGCTCCTCCAGCTTGAGTTTGACGAGGACTGGTCCGACGATGAGGAGGCGCCCAAGGCCGAGTCCTCTGCCGAGGTCGAGAAGCTCAAGGCTGAGATTGCCGCTCTCCGTGGTATGCTCGACCGCACCATGGTTGAGGAGGTCGACACCAAGGGCAAGGGCAAGGTCCGCGACGACGACACGCACTACTTTGACTCGTACGCCGAGAACGACATTCACGAGATCATGCTCAAGGACACGACCCGTACCGTCTCTTACGCCCGCTTCATCCTCTCCAACCCCGCCGTCTTCCGTGACGCCGTCGTCCTCGACGTCGGTGCCGGCACGGGTATTCTCTCCAGTGAGTGGTGACAGCTTTTCGAAGGTGCGCTTAGCTGACGGACAGTGTTCGCTGCTCGCGCCGGTGCCAAGCACGTCTACGCTATCGAGGCGTCTGGACTTGCCAGCAAGACTCGCGAGAACATTGCCGCTAACGGCCTGCAAAGCAAGATCACCGTCATCCAGTCCAAGGTCGAGACTGTCGAGCTCCCCGTCAAGACTGTCGACATTATCATCTCCGAATGGATGGGCTACATGCTCCTGTACGAGAGCATGCTCGACTCTGTCCTCGTCGCCCGTGACCGCTTCCTTGCCCCCGGCGGCCTCATGGCCCCGTCGCAGACCCGCCTTGTCATTTCTGGCTCAACCGCCACCCGCCTCCAGCGTGAGCGCATCACGTTCTGGGAGAACGTCTACGGCTTCGAGATGAGCAATGCCATGACGACGCCGTACTACGGCGAGGGTCTCGTCGAGGTCGTCGACAAGGAGGAGGTTGTGACGAGCGACTGCATCGTGCGCGACATCAACAGCCACACTGCGACCGTGGCGCAGCTCGAGTTCAACGCGCCCTTCTCCCTTGTTGCGACCTCGGGCAAGACGGAGACGGTGCGCGCCTTCCTGACGCACTTTGACACGTTCTTCTCCCCGATCGCCGGCGAGGCGGGCCACGTCCCGCCCCACCAGAACGTGCACATCCACGAGTTTGCCGACGACCTCACCGAGAAGACGGTCGAGCCCGTCAACAACGCCGAGGCCAACCTCGTCTCCTTCACGACTGGTCCGCGCGGCCAGCCGACGCACTGGAAGCAGGTGTCGTTCCTCCTCCGCGAGCCGTTTGAGCTCAAGCCGGACCAGACAGTCAAGGGCCGGTTCTACTGCAAGAAGGCGTCGTGCAACTCGCGAGAACTCGAGATCGAGATCCACTACGCCGTGTGCGACCCTGGACAGGAGCCCGAGACCTACAAGGTCCACACGTCCAAGGTTCAGTAAGGGTTGAGAGTTATCTTGTACAACAATGCATTTCTTAGACTGGATGGTTTGGTCGTGTGGCAGTCGTGGGAAACCATGAAACTAGGAAAGGCGTCCTCCGAAGCCGGGTGAGTAGAAAGTGCTTCTTCGATCCTGCGAGTGGGTAGAGGACACCCGTGGGAAACGTTGAAACTAGCGAGCTTGACCTCCAAAGCTGCTCACATGCTCACCGTGTCCATCGCCCGTTCTTGATCATCACTTGCTGAGGTAGTCGTGGGAAACCTTGGATCTGGAGAAGGCGTTCTCCGACCCTCGCCAGCATACTTCTTAACTGATGACGCTGTGACAGCCGTGGGAGATCTTGAATCTAGCCAAAGCGACCTCCGACTCGTCCTCGGTTTCCGTAAACTTCCTTCCTGTCGATGACTGAGGGCCGCGGCCGTGGGAGAGCTTGAATCTCGCGAGGGCGCTGCCTGAGGGGGAGTGTCACGTTCGCTCAGTGGTAAAGAGGAGCTGGAGGTCATCGAAGAGTTCGAATCTGCAGAGCAGCTGTCAGTGACGCAATCACGAACCGGAGTCTGGCATAGCCCAACTGTAGGGCAACGTACTTTTCCAACAACGCATGCTGCGGAAACTTGGTTGCTCTGTTGCACCTGCTGACTATCGCTTCTCTCTCTGGGTAGTGGGGGTTACGTGGTCCCGTGCAGCCCAGCGCGGTGCCGCTAGGCATACCACGGCTGCGCCCCAAGCACATGCACATACCTTACAAGAGCTGTGGCACCTCCAGTCTCGTGCTCAAGAGAAACTTGGAACCTCCGCGCCGGCTTCTCTCTCTCTCGCAGGCCGTCGTCTGGGGCAGCCACCGAGCCCGTATGAGATGCCCTAGTGGCAGCCGATCGAGAGCGAGAAGCATCGTTCTCGCCCCTGCTGTTATATGTTGTTCTTTGTTGTTATTCTGGGCTGCACACCGAAGTGCGAGCTTCTTCGCCCCCTCAGCAGCCTCTACCGTTCGCTTCACCCGAGAGCATACTGTACTCCTGGAATCGATGGTGAATCGGTTTCTCAGGGCATTCGGTATCTGGAATTCAGCTGCCGCATCATCCAGTCCACGGGCAGGCTGACGGATGGCTTATCGAAACGCCAGTCCGTGCACTGTTACCCACTCTGCAGTACTCCGCCAGCATGCTCATTCGCTGTCTCCACTCGACTTCAGTCAGCGCAGACGCCTCCTCGGGCAGCAACGTCGGATACCCGAATCATACGACAGCCGCACAACAGGCCCGCTTTAGCGATCGGGTCAATTCATTGGCTGCCGCCGTCAGCCGCAGGTTACCGATCTCGAAGTCTAAGTCTCAGCTCCCGTACCCGCGCTTCGGATTTTCTCGTGGATCGGTGTTCACCGCCAGCCCCATCGCTGACCCCACCAACCGCTGCCAATGGGCACCGGGTACGGCGTAAATATTGACTCTGGCCCGTCTTCATCGTCGGCTTTCCACGCAGCGATGTCAGCAGTGGCGCTCCGGCGTCTGGGCTTAACAACCAGATCGGGAACTCCGCTCGCGGGCATTCCCTGCGGACGACCATGCATTCCCCAGGCCTCACGGCCTGACCGCCACGGGGCCCACCTGGACCCATAAGCCAACAATGCAGGGAGCCGGGCGGCTTGGACGGGAGGGCAAGGGCTCTCTCGCTCGGAAAGTTGATTACTCGAGCCGGGAATGTAGCTGCGCTAGTCGAAATCTTCGCCCATCTCCACAAGGTCGTCTGACACCCGGAAAGTCGATGCCCATCTCGATTTCTGAACAGGCAAACTTGACTCCGCACTAACCAGACGCTAAAGAAAACAACAAAGATGTCGGAGAAGGACCACGAGCTCGATGTCGAGAACTCTCTCAAGCCGCAACCGGATCCCAAGGCGCTGAAGAAGGCGTTGTTCAAACTCGACTGCATCTTCCTCCCGGCCCTCACGCTCATCTGGTTCCTGAACTTCCTTGACGTGAGTGATCAGGCGACCTTTTGCTGATGACTAGCGCGCGAATATCGGAAATGCGAAGGCTGCTGGTCTCATGGAGGACCTCGGTATCAACAGCACCCAGTACTCGATCGCGCTCACCGTCACCTACGTTCCCTACATCGTCGCCGAACTGCCGCTCACTCTGGCCATTCGTAAGGTGTAAGTGGGCCACTGGTTGACTAAACCTGCGAACTTACTGACAAACGCAGTGGCCCGAACATCCTCATCCCCATCCTGTGTATCTCCTGGGGCCTCGTAACGACCTTCCAGGGCTTCATCCACAACTATTCCGGTCTCATTGCTGCGCGTTTCTTCCTCGGCGCATGCGAAGGTGCCATCCTGCCCTCGTCCATGACGTACCTCTCCACGTTCTACCGCCGCACCGACCTCGGCAAGCGTGTTGCGTTCTACTTCTCCGCGACCTCGCTCGCAGGCGCCTTCTCGGGTCTCCTGGCTGCGGGTTTGCTGCACATGGACGGTCTGTCCGGCAAGCGCGGTTGGCAGTGGATCTTCATTATGTGAGTGTCCTCGGCTTTTGGCTGTGGTACGAAATTGACTAATCCTCAGCGAGGGCCTCTTCACCGTGGTGTGCGGCGCTGCAACCTTCATGGCCCTGCCTCGTACTCCCGAGACTACGTGGTACCTGAACGACGACGAGAAGACTGCGCTCGTTCGTGCGCTCGACATTGACCGTCCCAAGGCTCAGGACGAGGAGCCCCTCACAATCCGTGCCATCCTGTCCGCGCTCAAGGCGCCTCAGGCCTGGCTCATGTTCCTGCAGTTCTTCTCGAGTGGCTGCATGCTCTTCTCTATTGCTTACTGTGAGTGCACCCCTTACCTCTGATCACCGTGTACCTCCAGAGGTGCCGAGGCATGTGATGAGTAAGAGGAGTGGAATGTGGGACATGAAAGTGGCGGACTTTTCCGGGCGCCAAAAAGCAATGCTGACGGACAGTCGCGCCAACCGTCGTCCAGGGCCTGGGATACAAGGGCACCAAGATTCAGCTGTACTCCGTCCCTCCGTACGCCGCGAGTGCCTTCTTCGCTCTCGCTATGTGCTACCTCTCCGACCGCTGGGGTTACCGCGGACCTTTCATTATCCTGGCTGCGCTCATCTCTTGCGCGGGCTACGCCATGTTCCTGGGATCGACCAACTACAACGTCCTCTACGGCGCGCTCTTCCTCCAGGTTATCGGAACCTACACTATCGCTCCGATGCAGAGTACTTGGATGCGTAGGTCTGGCTGTTAGGCGAGATGAACTGACGAGATAAGCGAACAATCTCGCGCCCTTCTACCGTCGCGTGACCGGTATCACTATGGGTTTCATTGCGACCAACTCGGGCGGTATCCTCTCGACGTGAGTGCACCCGCCCCTACACCACCCCACGCACCTGATACACACCGAGATTCGGCTGCCTTATCTCAACCCGGCGTATGGTCGAGACTCGCAGACGGGGCATTGAGGGCAACAGTGCACTGGGAGCTTGCGAACGCAGACTGACATACACAGGTGGCTTTTCCCCGCCAAGGACGCGCACAACCACTATCGCCGGGGCACATCGGTGCTTCTCGGTCTTTCAGCCGCGATTGTCCTCTGGGCGTCGCTGAACATGTTGTATCTGGGCCGGGAGAACCGGCGTCGCGCCCGCCTCGGAGGCAAGGACACCGGCGGCGACGACGACCTCGAGGCGGGCGACAAGTCGATCCACTTCAGGTACCTGCTGTAAACTAGAGCAGAGGGAATCTCTATGCAAAGTCATGAGATTGTGCAAGTCGTACGGCGTGCGGCGCACTTGGGAACAATGGACGCGAATGGAGGTGAGTGCGGCGCGCTTCGTGTACTGCGGCGTGCCCTGTCGCCGTCGCGTGCCCCAAGTCTTCGAGGCACACAGACTCCGCACGATGTGACAAGGAGCATCTCCCCAGTCTCACACTCACGAGCTGATGCGACTGCGAGCACACACACCAGGTGCACTGGCACGACGACTGATGAACTCACTACCGAAACACGTTACTTAACTCTCTCAGCTCCATCAGCGCTCACCTTCACTCTGACGAGCAGCAACAAGGTAGGTGTTCTCGGCGGCCTCAGAGCTTACCGCAGTATGGCCCGGTACGAAGTTAAAGCACGCCGCTACACCTTGATTCCCGACGAGCCTTTGCGCCGCCGCCTTTCATGGCCTCCCCGCAAGAACACCAAGCCTCAGGTCTGGAACCCGACCCAGGAGACCTACGATCATCTCCTACTGACGATGGATCCGAACGTGCCCGCCGACGACCCCGGCTACGATGCCGACATGGAGGACAACCTCGACCGCGACCCCTTTATGGCGTGTCTTCGCTGGCGCCGCCTCGCTCTGAAGCGCGACCCGACTCCGCCCCCCACTCCGCCTCCCGAGGAGGGAGCTTGGCGCTACAAGTCATTCATCTATGGCGAGTAGTCCTCCCACTCACCCACACAAGAGTCAAGTCCGCACGAACCAAGACACCACGCATCCCATGGACCACGCAAGACATGTACACTCCTCTCCGCACCTCAACAAGTACGCACGGCTGCACAGCCCGGGGTTCCTGGATCCCCACATAGTACGCAGAATGTATCGTATCCCCTCTAACGAACGCCGCTGCTGGCCAGGCAGCGGAGGATCTCGCACTGCCCAAGGGATACACACACCTGCGTGCTGCGGGAAGGTCACGCGCCAGCTCTGGCAAGATAAGGACCACTGACAGACGGCGAGGGGAGGCAAGGACGGACAGTATAAGAGCTGGCAGTCCGCCCCCCACGTCTTACATTCTCACCATCCTCATCCCTCACCATCGCCCTCGCATCAGTCTCAACTCTCATCGCCCGATCGCTCCTCTTCGCGACACCCGAACTTCAACTGCAACAACATGACCATCTCTCTTCAGACCCCCGCCACCACCGCCACCGCCACTCCCACCAAGGAGTCGCCGCTCAAGAAGGCCCCCTCTACCGACAGGGTCAGCGACTTGGACGTCATTGCCAGCAAGCTGAACGGCCTGAAGCGCATTCCCTCCTACGAGAGTCTCAACAAGGTCATGGCGATTCTCGCCAAGAAGACTTCCCACCATACTTCTTCCGCCGACTCCTCTCCTGCTCAGTCCATCAGCGACAAGGTGTGTAATGACACCCAAATGACCGTTGACGCACTTCTAACACCGCGCAGTCCGTCAACGACAACCTCTCCAACCACCAGGGCACCCTGCACAAGCAGAACGAGACCGAGACTGAGGTCCTCGCCGACGACGCGCTGAACGCCTCCGCCACCGACCCCACTCCCGTCACCGAGGCGGCTATTAAGGACTCCGCTGATACCGGCAAGACTCCTGACATGAACACGCCCGCCAAGAACACCGCGGTTCCCACCATGGACATTTCCACTACGGGTGTCAGCACCAAGGACAAGGTCACCGAGACCACCGCCCAGACTCAGACTGAGACCAACGACACCGACATCCAGGAGACGTTGGTCAAGGAGACCGACGATTATGTCGCGGACATTCCCGACGAGGAGCTGGAGCACCTGGCCGCGATGGAGGTTTTCCCCTACCTCCCTCCCGCCACCAGCGGCTCGTCGGTCAGCATTGACATTGACAAGGCGTCGACCACCGCCCAGCCTTCGGCTCCTTCTTCGTCCCGCGCCGCTTCGCAGATGACCATTCACCTCACTGTCACCACTGACCACCCTCCTGCGCCCCCCAACACGCGCTCGGCCTCTCCCTCGGTGAACGACACCAGTGTGCACCAGCCCCTGCCCAACCCTTTTCCCCACTTTAGGCGCTCGTCGTCTATTCAGTCAATGACTATTGAGTCGAATGAGCGCGGTGGCGTCACCTACCGCATCGTTCTTGTTCTTTCGCGCATCGGTGCTTGGCTGAAGCGTAAGATCCTCCGCCGCCGCGCCACCACCCCCGCCAGCGTTGCCACCACCTACGCGCGCCACCAGTCGGCGATGCAGCGCCGCAACCATCTCATCGAGTATGAGTCCTGACCCCAACAAGCCGGCATGCAAGGTACGCTGAGACATCCTGAACCGCGGCCGATGCCAGAGTGCGGTTCAACTTCATTTCCGGGTCTTTCCTCTCTGCTCCCCTCTAATGAACATTTTTATTCGAGGATAAAAAGTGAATTTACTAGTTGTATATAATTTTAGCCATTCTCATCGGCAGCGCTCCAGTGCATGCATTATCGTGGCCAAACTTGGTGACCGGACGCCCTCACTCACCTGCGCGACTGGTTCCAGCGAAGTGCCAACCTCCCTATCCTGATCCTGACACCTGATCCAGTCTCGGATCCTGACGAATGCCTTGCCACGCCCTGCCAAGGATGAGCACACAACGCACAGGCCGCGCAGACTCTGCAAGATCCGGCGCAATGATGTACAGCTCCATCCGCGGCGGGCGACCGTTTCCTCGCCATCTGCCTCCTTGACATCAAGCAAGCGCATCACCGTGCACCTCCGAGCGAGCAGAGCTCCTGAATTGAATGACATTCTCAGGGCAGGGCCCGCTACCAGTGGTGAGCACGGCCCAAGTGGCGCCGGCTTCCCAGCATTCCTCATTTTCGAGCAACAATCAGGCGCGAGCCCCCTCTCATGTCAGACATCGTGCCAGTCTCGCGCCAACGTGTCCACGCCCCGCTCGCACCCATTATTCCGAGTCTGAGACAATGAGGACCGTGCCATGGACACCTGGGCACGGCTGCTGCTGCCCTCTGGCATTTCTGGAAAAACCCGATCTGGTCTTGGCACCGCGAGTGATTGGGAGGTGAAGGCAAACTGCAGCTCGTCGCCGAGCGTCGCGCTTTTCTCGCCCCTCCGCACTGTTTCTGATCGTCTTATCGTCGCATGCTGCGTACCGGAAGGCTTGGGAGCCGAGGACGGTTGACCACCTGTTCACCAGCCGCCGTCCACGTCCGGCACACCCGGAGGGCACGGCCTCGAGCTCTAGCTCCTCTCGCCATCAGGTAGCGACAGCACACAACTAGCAACTCGCTGCACACCCAGATCCTCTGCTTACCCGCCCATGCTACCTGACTTAAGAGCACACCGCCTGATCCAACGGCGCCCGGCCAGCCTGACCTCTCGTGCACACTCGCACTCGTCCTTCTCGATGTGACGACGCCTAGCTGTGTGCATCAGTTCTCACAGCTTCAGCTCGCTCGCAAGCATGCCGCTGCAAGCAGCACTGATGGTATCCACAAAACACTTCCAGCAATGTACTTGCTGTACCCATCCTCTCCTCACCGACTTCCCTCTCCCTCGCCATCAGTCCGCGTTACTCGACGACCAAGCCTCTCACAGACTCTGCGTTACACGGCAGCGAAGACTCGACATCAACGTGCCACCGGCCGCCAGCGCTAAGGATGGGTATCCTGGGCTACTTCTTCCACCTCCCTCGTCCCGACATCCGCGAGAACACGACCCTATTCAAGCATGCGGGCAAGGAGCCGTTCCTCGTCCGCCGCCCCGGACCCAATGCGCACACCGAAATTCTCGGCGTCAAGCCCTTCTGGTGGCGCAAGGATCGGACGGTCTGGCGCAAGAAGAAGATGCCGTGGGGTAACGACCCGGCGCTGTTCAACAACCACAGCAACGGGTGGCCCGAGGTGCCTGCCGTGCGGCGCTTGACGGCGCAGGAGTGGCTCGCTCGTCCAACCAACCCGCCCACCAAGGACAAGTGGGGCAACGTGTGGTACGACGCAAGCGAGGACATCCACGGCATCCCGATCGCGTGCGGGCTGTGGCTCATGTGGCACCCGTTCGTGGACTGGAAGGAGTTCGACTACGTCGTGCAGCTGTTTGCTATGGAGCTCGCTGGCCGACGCATGCCCGAGCTCCACTACATCCCCTTCGAGGACATTCACGAGGCTATCCGCGCCATGGACCTCGAGGCATGGGGACCCCGCTGGGCCAAGGCTGCCGATCACTCAGTCGACGTCCAGGAGATCTGGAGACGCATCCTCATCGTCATCCGTAAGTTTGACAGGCCCGACGTCGTTGCCTGCAGCGCCTTTGCCAGCGCTTTTAGGGGGTTCCCCATGAAGACCCAGCGTCAGGCTATGATGCACTGCCTCCGCACGGCGCAGAGGCAGCGCGACATCACGGAGGACACGGGTAACCACTACATCTGGATGGATCCCGGCAACGGATTCCAGCCCTAGCTGTGCCCAGCACACAGCCACCAAGGACATTATAGTATTTATGTTTGTATCATATCTATGCACACCTTATATCCCGCCCGCTTGACGCATGCTCTGCGTGCATATCAGATTCTTGAGAGAAAAGCGCGAGAATGGTGCGAAATCAGGCAAAGTGCCACGTGATGGTGGCGGAGCGGTGGATTGGACTTGACCCCTTTACCCCTCTGGTGAACACTGATGGGCTTGGCACCATCAACGAGCGAGCGGCGTTGCCGAGCTTCCATGCTAGTGGAACATGCCAGAGCTCCCTATAGCCAAAAATCAGGCAGAACCGCACTGCATTGGTCTGCAATCGCACGCTCGCGACTCCATCATTTTCAATCACGACGTTGAAACGCCTGCCTGAGCCCCAAAATCGCGCAGACAGTCTATGTCTGTTCCTGAGATCTGGGGCGCCGTATGGATGCCATGGGTGCGACATGCTTGCCATGTTATTCCTGACTCCCTCGGAGTGGAGAGAACCGGAGAGTAAGATTCGCTTGACGGCCCGCGGCACAAGTCAGTTACACCTAGGCACAGGGGGCCAACCTGACGAGCAGCTGTCCAGCAGGGCTGAGGATATCTGAATGGGAGAGCAAACGAGGAGCCCTGTCCCTCACAAGTTCCCCCAATCCGCTATTGCGCACAGTCGAATAGCGCCGAACCTTACAGTGACTGCCCGGACGTCTGTGCGGGCCCCGTGACCTGTCTCGCACCTGCGAAGCCTGCAGCGCCCGATAAGGGGACCCTGAGGGTGTGTGGCTTTCTCGAGCTGATGAGGCGACACCCCTCGTCTCACGCCTGAACTTGCTCATGGTGAACACTGGGTATTATCGGAGACTAGCACAGCCTAAAGGTTGAACCACACACGTACAGCGCGGCTGGACCCGAGCGAGCTGTCGTCGGCACTCTGCTCTGATCCCCTTGCTTCCCTCCGAATCACATAACGCCGTCGCGAATGACCTCTCCACACCTGCGCACTCGGCCCGCTACCACTCAAATTCTATCTGTCTTCCTGTCCATCACTCATTCCCCCACCTCTATCGACGTTCTCCCTCGAATTGTCACCTAGACTCTTCCGCGACTGATCATTGCTCAACTGTAATCGCTCTACAGCACCTGCAGGCCCCATCAGTGAGTTCAAGAGACACAGATTAGACTGACACAGCAGGCGCGCTCCAACGTCACAACGATGGACAGTCTGAAGGGTGGTGCCGCGCTGGACGCGGCTCAACACCACCCCGTTCACGTTGCTCACGGCCCTCAAGCTTCAACTCAGCAGAAGAACCCCAGCCCCCACATCAACTGCTCACCTCCCGACTATTGGAATGTAAGTCGAGCATTCGCAGGCCGTATCGCTTTCTGTGCGCTGATGACCAGAATTGCACTCACTCCGCGGATGACGCCGATGAAAGTGCTACCCCCGACAACAACCAGCACACTATGATTCTGAAGAAGGCTGTCCGCGACATTCTCGATCACCATCCCATCGTTGTGGATGCCCAGCGAGTCTGGTCAGCTCCGGCCTCGTACCCTAATAACCGCGACCGCGCCACTGCCATGCTCTCTGCTTGGACCCAGAACCTGGAGCACCAGCTCAAGTTCCTGACCTCCAAGTTCGTCCCTGGCCCCTCGTTGGTGGTCGATGGTGGGAAGCCGGTGTCCTTCTATCCTGTTCCTGGCACGTTCCACCTCTTCGCGCCTACCAACACAGTTCCACTCTCGAGGCGCATCAAGTATGGACTTCAGAAGGCAGACTGGGTACCCACTCCGCAGGCTCCCGCCAGCTTCGCACCCAAGCCCGGGCTCCCTCCCTCGGTGCCCAGCGCCGGCTCTAACAACGTCGCGTTCGCCAACGCGGTCAACGAAGAGCAATCTGAGGCAGTTAAGGTCACTGGCAAACAAGTTAAGGTCACTGGCGAACAATTCATTCCCACCCTGGCTTCTGATGGATCCTTGATCCCGGTCTACGACTGGGACGCCATCTGCGCCGCCGGCATCGACCTGCTCTCACTGACCGAGAAGCCCCTGGTAAGCTACAGCAACAGCAGCAACGAGCTAACTTTCAGTTCTCCTACGAGTATGTTCCGGTCTGGAGCGCTACCAAGCGCAAGTACAAGTTCTACGCGCAGAAGACGGCGTCGCCACCTCACCCTCTCTCGCCTTCCGGCTTCGGCCCGCTCGGTCGCTTCGATCCACTCCAGCTCCTCGAGACCGACATCTCCCAAGAGCTCTACAGCATGTCGTGCACAGGGTACTGCTGGCTCCCCGACGGCATTGCGCTGATCCTTAGTGGCCGACACGATCTCTACCGCCACTTGCCGCAGGGTCCTAACGCCAAGCGCTTTAACGCGACGTCGCCGTGCGCCCACTACCTCCACCCAGTCTACGACGGACCCATCCCTAACGAACTGAAGGGTGTCGCCTACTTTGAGCTGCAGTTGTGGAACAGGGGAGGATCTGCTAGCTGCGACAGCGGGCTGACCGCCTCTGCCTCCGTCGTTGACGGCGACGACAACACGGGCAGCGCTGGTCAGGAGGCTTCGGGATCGAGGTCTGCACCCGAGAAGGCGTCTCAATCCCAGCAGTCTGCAGATGACCAGTCTTGGGGCGATGACAGTAAGGAGTCAAACGATACAAACGGAAACCGAGGCAACTCGGGTGGACAAGGCTCAGGAGGAAGTCCGTCCGAGGACGAGTTCGACTCGGACGACAGCTTCGATTCCCTGTCTTCCTCGTCGGACAGCAATTCGGACGTTGAGGAGGAGCAGCCACTTCCGCCTCGTCGTCTTCCCCCTGCCAGCGAGATCCGCAGGGCCATCCATCGCCGACTCCCTCCAGCCTTCACCGGCCCCTTCTACCCCAGGCGCGACATCCCACCTCGCCGCAGGAGCCCTCTGGGTGGGCCCCCCATCACTCCCCAGGATCTCGCGGACGCCTCAGACACCGATGCTCCCGAGGAGGGTACGCCAAACCTCCGCCGCTCGGTCAGTTGGCCTCATCTGGGTGGCACACCCAGCTCCACCGGCCACGCTAGCTCCAATAACTTGGCTCCCTTGCGCCGCAAAAAGAACCGAATGGGCAAGCAATTCGCCCGCCTTTGGAATGACAGGCAGTTGCTCCCGCCTGCAATCATCACGAACAGCGGTACAGTTCCCCCCGCCAGTGGAGGGGGCTCGACTAGTCGACCCGCCGATGCCAGCATTGCCAACCTGGAGCAGTCCGAGTCTCTCACCGTCGCGACGACTTCCGATGTGAACTCCCCGTCAAACCGCGGGCTCCTTAGGCATGCTCCGATGTCGTTCACCACTGAACTCGCCCGTCAGCTTGAGCAGGCCGTGGATCTGTACGCCTCGCTGATCGGCCCTTCGAACGGTGTCCGTCCTCCTGCCAGGAAGGTCCCTGCGGCTACCAGCAGCCACCAGTCCGCTGGTGCGATTGAACTCCCCTCCGCCAACGTCGTCATTGCCGCCGGCCCCCCTGCCGCTGGCCCTTCCACCACTGGCCCTTCGATCGCCACCCAAGCCGTCGACGCCACCGACGACTCAGTTGACGATGCAATCCCCGTCAACCCTCATGGCTTGACCTATCCGCCCACGAACCCCACTCCTTACAACAGCCCTAATCTCAACCCCACCACCGCACACAGCGCTGCGTCCGACTCTTCCGGTGCGGGCTCATTTATTCTCGTGGAGGAAGACCATGACCCGCAGTGCGAGGTCGCAGTTCATCGCTTGCTGGGTCTCTCTGGTGGCGAGTGCTCCTGTTGGAGCTTGGTCGACAGGCGTCCCAGCGACCCGTCTGATTACGACGGCGATACCGAGTAGCCTACAAGAGCGTGCTCTTCGTCCTTCTGCATCTTCACCACTACATGCTGTACCATCATCTCCATTACCCAGTTTCGAGCAGGCCACCAGGCCTTTCTGTCGCTCAGTTCGCCCCCGGTTGCTCGCTTTCGGAGTCCTTAAAGCCAGCAGAGCGTATTGTGTTGTTGTTCGAGTCCAATGCCGCCCTCCTTAGCACATTCACTATCAAGCCGGTTTCGGCTGAGCCGGCGTAGTTCTATCGCTTAACTCCCATTTGTAACTGTGCATGCAACATCGTATACCCTACGTTCGCTCGCAAAACCAAGTTCCATAACTGATATGCATCATGGAGAGAAGGAAGGCGGTCTGCACGCGACCCTACTGCGACGCGCGGGGTTCAGGCATCCGGGGCGCGGGCCGTGCCTGAATGTCTTGTGCGCGTGCCAAGTCGTCAAGGATCTCGTCGCGGGGAAGTTGTCGTCGACACATCCTCCACTTCACTCTCTCTCTTCCTCGACAGTCCCCGCTCGCTCCAAAGCCGGCATGCCCAACTAACATGTCCCCCGGCTACCCCTCAGAGAGCTCCTCGGCGACGCGGCTGTCGTCTTCCTCGCCGCCGGCGAGCCTGCGCGCGCTCGAGCTCGAGCAGGGCCCCGCGACCGGCTCTCCGCTCGCCCTCCGCCGAACGGCGACGTTACAGTCCATCTCCGGCTTTGAGTTCGAGCACGCCCTCCTCCCGCTCAGCTTGAGCGGCGATGAGCCGCAACACGATGGCGAGCACAAGCATGTCGGTCTCCTTCATGGTGAGTTGTCGGGATAGATGAGATAGCTGACAGCCAGGCATGGCCCTCGTGGTTGGCATGCAGGTCGGAAGCGGCATCTTCTCATCCCCCGGTGTCGTCGTAGCGAGTGTCGGCAGTGTTGGCGCGAGTCTTTTGGTATGGCTAGTGTCCGGCGCGCTGGCATGGACGGGCGCCAGTTCATTCGCCGAGCTTGGCTGTGCGATACCCCTGTCGGGCGGTGCACAGGCGTATCTTGCGTACTCGGTGAGTCTACAGCACAGCGCATGTCGGTGCTGCTTTCAGCTGTGCATGCCCATCTCTCGAGCTGACCGCAGTTCGGACCCATGGCGTCTTACCTATTCACGTGGAGCGCAGTGTCTGCGCTCAAGCCAGGTTCGGCGGCGATTATCGCGCTCATTTTCGGCGAGTATGTGAACCGGATGATCTGGCATGCGTTCTGGGCCGACGGATCGCCTCCCGAATGGACGTTCAAGGTGACTGCTGTCTTCGCGATCATTGCGATCAGCGGTCTGAACTTGATTTCACCATCTTCGGGAACCCACTCTCAGGTTGTGTTCACGGCAGTCAAGATCGGCGCTCTGCTCTTCGTCGCCATCCTTGGCCTACTGCAACTCGTCCGCAACGGCCCGGGACCCGCGTTTCAGGGCGATGTGTTCGCGGGTTCCTCGAGTTCGCTTTCTAGCTACGCAATCGCGCTCTACTCTGGTCTCTGGGCGTTCGACGGCTGGGACCAGTGCTCCTTCGTTGCTGGCGAGATGACGAATCCGACACGAGACCTTCCTCTCGGTCTGCACCTCAGCATGACGATTGTTGTATCGCTCTTTCTCGCTGCGAACGTCGCGTACTTCATTGCGCTCGACCCTGGCGTCGTGGCCGCGAGCAATACCGTTGCTCTCGACTTCGGACGCGCCACAATCGGCCCCATCGGCGCCGCCGTCTTCTCGGCCCTCGTCGCCATCTCGTGCTTCGGCGCCTTGAACGGGAGCTTCTACACAAGTAAGTCTCCTCAGTTAACTATTTCTGTGTTCCGAACTGACATCCAGCCGCTCGCCTCATCTTCGCAGCCGGAAGGGACCACTTCCTCCCGTCGGTATTCTCGCGCGTCGACCCGAAACGCAAGACGCCCGACAACGCGCTCTTCCTGAACGCAGGACTGACAGTGCTGTACGTTGTCTTTGGCGGCGGCTTCCGGAGTGAGTATTGGCTGATGAGCTCCCATGCTTCAGCTGACCCGCAGCACTTCTCAACTTCTTCTCTGTTACGAGCTGGACATGGTACCTGACCACGGTCATTGGACTGCTCTACCTGCGCGTGAAGGAGCCGCACCTCGAGCGGCCGTACAAGACGTGGATCACGACACCGATCACCTTCTGCATTGTGAGTGCGGCTTCTTTGCCTCCAACTGAGCTGCGAGGGTTTTCGTGAAGCTGACCGCAGGTTGCAATGTTCCTGCTCCTGATGCCGATATTCGCCGCGCCATGGGAAGCGCTGGCCGCGTTCCGTGAGTCTGCAGCTGCTCAGCGGGGACCAAGAGCTAATGGCAGTGTTCATGGGCGTCGGCGTGCCGATGTACTATTTGACGGCGCACTCGCGCGCGGCCAAGGTCGGGTCGGCGTACGTTGATCCCGGGGCCGTCGCAGGCGGCACTTCGGGCTTCAAGGCGACCGCGAGAAGTGAGTACAAAGCTTGAGTCTAGCTGTATTCTCGAAGTCATAGCTGACATGCAGCGGCTTGGACGACGTTCGTCGAGGACGTCAGCGGCATTATGCCAGCGCGATTGCGGACACTGCTCCGGCTTCGGCCAGCACACCAGGCGTACTCGGAGGTGCAGTATGGTATGCTCGAGGACCACGAGATGTCCGAGCGCGATAGGCGGTAGCACGAGGTCTCTGCCTCAGGGATTCAGTAATGACATGATACGAAATAGCATAGATGCAATCATTGGCATAGTTTCTGAGCAGTAGTTCTTTCGCGCTCTCCGAAGCATCAACGAGAGTTTCTATCTGCCCTACTAACTGCTCGTCGCCCCCATCCCTTGGCTCAGAGACGTTCACTGCCAACTCCCACAGACTGCAACGGAGGGGCGCACTATCACGTGACTCGCCACCCACCTCCACCTCCACCTTCACTCTCCATGTCCGCGCCGCTTCTGCGCTTGTCTCACTCAACGGTCAGATTGTGCTTCCTCTCATTGTCTTCCCCCGCGCTGCGCATCACACACACGCGTCCCTCAAAAGATAGAGCGCTGCTCACTGCCGGGTTCGAACCGGCGATCTCCACAGTGCGCTTTGCATGCCTTCGAGAGGCAGCAGCGTGAATGTGGCGAGTTCACCGCTTCTCTAAGCGAGCCCTACTCAAACTGAGACTTTGCGGGTGGTGCGCCCCCAGAGGGGTTAGGTACTGTTGTTTCTGATCTTATGCATGCAGCTGGTACCTACAAGTGCACTGCATACACTTCAGTCACCTCTCCGTCCTCATACCCACAACATCGATCCACCGAGAACTTCCGGACAAACAATGACGATGTCAGAATGTCGTAAAGCAGGCGCATTCGGCACGCCTTGCACGGAATTGAACAGCTGTGCCCTGCCAACGGCTGATCGTTACAGTGAGACTCCCTCTCTAACAGCAGTCACCGAGAACCGCAACCGCTGTCTTCAGCCCGGAGAACCCCTGCCCCAACATCACAACCGAACAGGGGCGCTCCCAATTGAGTACGCTTGCCCATGTTCAGGCGTTGTACAAGATGATGCATTGTGGGATCTCTATTATGTGTGCGAATACATGCAGTCTACTCCACCTCCATGACCTCGTTTCCGAACAGACCCCCGTCCATCTCACTGATAGTGTAGTCGAGGAGGTAGCTCTCTTGGACGAGGCGGTCGACACGGCCCATGTGGCGCTCCGAGTACGGGATGAGGCCGTCAAGGAGCTCACGCATGGAGATAGTGGGCGCCGTGGCCTTCTTAGCCTTCTGCTTGACCTCGGCGTCGGGGTCCTCGTCGTCCATGTCCTCATCCTCGTCCTCGTCCTTCTTCTCCGGCTTGGTCGCAGCCTCGAACGCGGCCATGATTTCATCGGGCGTCTTGAGCCTGAAGATGGCGTGGAGGAGCGCCTGCGCGACGGGACTCGTCTTCGCCGACGCGTTCCAATCACGCACATGCTTGAGGAGACGCACGAGGTCGAGCGACGGCAGCGTCCGGATCACCTGGTCAATCTCGGGCACGCCGCAGCCGTCGTCGTCGCCAAGCTCCCTCTCGGTGTTCTCGGCGCCAAGCAGGACGGTGCGGAACAGGTGCAGAAGACGGCCGGGCTGGCTCATCGCCAGCGCAAGCAGGATGGCACGTCGGTAGTCCTTGACGGCGACGTAGTTATTGAAGTCCTGCTCGGACTGGACCTGGGCAATAAGGGCCTCGTTCTTCTCGGCCTGCTCGGCCTCGGTCGAGTCCTCCCAGAACGTCGCGACCGAGTCGCTTCCCGCCGAAACGATTGTCGACTCGTCCGGGCTGATGGCAAGCGCCCACACCTTGTCCTCGTGGTTGTCCAGCGTCGCCGCGCACTCCTCGTCCTTAATGTTCCAGATCTTGACGAGACCGTCACCGGCGGCCGAAACGAGCTGCATGCCCTGCGTCATGAAGTCGACGCGGAGGACGGAGTTCGTGTGTCCCTCAAACGTCTTGAGACACGTGAAGTCGTCCAGGCTCCAGAGCTTGATCGTCCTGTCCGCAGCGCCGGAAGCGACGATACGGTCCGTTCGCGAGAAACGCACGCTCCAAACACCTCGGCGGTGGCCCTTGCACGTGCCGATGTGCCGGACTGAGCCGGCGGGGTCGACCTCGAAGAGCTTGACGAGCTTGTCCTGCGATCCAGAGGCGAGGAAACGGTCGTTCGGCGCAAGGTCGAGCGAGTTTATGTCCTTGTCTGCGACGTGGAGCGTGGCCATTGAGCGCGCGAGCACGGGCTCCTCCTCGTCCCCTGTCACGCCGGACAGATCCCACATCTTTACGGTACGGTCCTGCGACGCCGTGAACAGGAACGGAGCGCCCTTGCGCGACATCGCCAACGCGCCGACCGCCTCGGCGTGACCCTCGCATACGGCGACACAGTGCCATCCTCCCTCGCGTGGCGCCCACACGCGCGCCGTCCGGTCCTTCGAACCCGTGACCAGCCATCGTCCATCAGCCGACTTGTCGAGACATAACACCATGTCCCGGTGTCCCGAGAGAAGGCGGGCGTCGAACGTCGCAGTCGAGTATATCCTCACGAGAGCCGAGTTGGTCGCAAGCGCGAGGTGCGTGGCCTCTCCCTCATCAGTGGTCAGGTAGGCCGCATCGACAATGTCGTCATTGAATCCGACAATCTGGCGCGTCGTTGCACGAGTCGCGATGGAGTGGAAGATGATGTTCTGGTCCGCGTGCACGCTAACCAGGCTGCCGGAAGATCGGTCGTAGAGCACCGAAACGACGCCCTGCTGCTCGTCCTCCTCGCCAACGACCTCGTCCACACCCTCGACACCCTTCATGACGCCAACCTCGGTCGCCTTCAGGGTGTCCCACAGCTTGACGTTGCCCCCGTCTCCAGCAGTGTAGGTGATGAGCCGCCCGCCCTCCTCCTGGTCGAGGAGACCGCACGCCTCGACCTGCTCATTGACGAGAATCGTCTCAATAACGTTCGGCTTCTTCCGCATGTCCCAAACAAGCACGACCTTGTCTCGTCCACCGGTGATGGCGATCTTGCCGTCGGCGCTGACGGCAATACCGCGCACAGTGCTCACGTGCCCGTCGAGCGTCGCCTTCGCCTTGCCTGTTCCGCTAGCGCGCGCCGAAGCATCCCGCAGGTCGAACACGCGCACCTTCGTGTCTACGCTGCCGGTCCAGAGCTCCATGCGCTGCTGTCCCTCACTTTCTGGGAACGAGAAGTAGAGCGCTGACACGGGGCCACCGTGTCCGCGGAAGATGTGCGTGACGTAGCCGCCGGCCAGATCCCAGACCTTGACGACACCATCACTCGATCCCGTAGCCAGGAGCGCATTGTCGGGAGACACGGCGGAGACAAGGATCGGAGCGTTCGAAGCCTTCGGCAGAGCGCGCACGTACTGAAGCGTTATCGGCTTCGCCTCAACCTCTTCGGGTAGCGGGTAGTAGCGGATCGTATTCGACTGGTGGCAGGTGATGAGCGTCGGGGGAGAGGTGTGGTACGAGAGCGCGAGCGACGTGATATCAGTCGTGTCCTGGGGTCAGCTACGTAGACGTATGAAAGCTCACTCCTTTGACTTTGGCGACTCCCCGTCCTGTCCGGACCTCAGTCACAAGCACCTCCTCGCCCATGGTAGAGATGAGCCACTCGCCATCGCGCGTCAACAGCACCGGGCCACCGGTGTACAGCGGCCGAATCGAAGTTGGTGATGCTCGGAAGCTGCCGTCAGCTAAGACCTCTCCATCCAGCTATTACTCACCTCGTTTTGAGCTCGCGCTTGTTGCCGTTCATGTCGATTGATGTGGAGAACTCGTAAATATGCGGCTCGATCGGCAATGACTTCGAACTTTCTCGGTTACCAGGGGGGCTCGAACAAAATCTTCCCACTACGACATTACCAGGTGATTAAGGAGATAAGAGATCCGTAATGGGTGAATAGACGCCTCTCTGTAATGCGAGGGCTAATCACCGTGCCTGGATCGTGCGCGGCGACGACCGTGACAAGGTGAGCATCGTGTCGGGTGCCATGTTGCAACCCCCAACTCACCATGTTCGCCGCAGCGTCGAGCCTCTTTGGCAAGTCCTCGACTCTTTCGGCGTACACTCTCAAATCCGCCGGACCGTCGCCGAACGCATCGTCGACGAATGTTGCCGGCCGCGGCTCGCCCGCTCCGGGCGGCCCGGCAGGGAAGACGTTCAATGTCGGGCTTTGGAAGGTCATTCCCGCGACGCACAAGACCACTGGTAAGGACGTCAGCGTGTGGGTTCTCGAAAAGCGGGTGCTTGATGGCCTGCGTGCTGGAGGGCGTGATTTCGCCATTGAGCAGCTCAAGAAGGAGGTCAGTTAAGTCTTCAGCGGATGTGCAACTGACGTCAGGCGACGGCGCTGTCGAGGCTGCGACACCCCGACATCCTACACATGGTCGAGCCGCTGGAGGAGACGCGATCGGAGCTCACTTTTGTCACGGAAACAGTGACTTCGTCGCTTGGCAACCTTCTCGCGGCCGCTAAGAGCGGAAAAGGCGGGCGCGATGGAGAGGTCGACCTGGACGAGGTGGAGATTCAGAAGGGCACGCTGCAGATCGCGAAGGGTCTCGCTTTCATTCACACCCAGGCGAAGAGCGTGCACCTCAATCTGAACCCGGACGCAATCCTTGTCAACGCCAAGGGTGACTGGAAGCTCTCGGGCCTGAACTTCATCACGCCGCTGCAACGTCCGGACGGCAGTGCGTCCAAGTATGAGTTCCCCGAGGTCGACCCCCGCATGCCGCCCCAGGTCCAGTGGAAGTTCGACTATCTTGGTAAGCTACGATTTGCTCGTTCTAGCTGACGTTAGCGCCCGAGTACGCCCTTGACTCGCAGCTCACGCCGGCGAATGACCTGTACGCTCTCGGATGCGTGCTGTACGCCGTGCACATGGGTGGACGACCACCGTTCTCGAACCGCGGGTCCATGCAGAGCTTGCGAGAGAACGCGGAAGGAGCACTTGCGAGGAACGAGTATGCGCGAGGTGTCAAATGGGACCGTGCAAGCAACGAGCTGAAAGGTGAGTGCCTTCTGTTGCGCAGGGCTGACGGCAGATCTCCTGCCGCGACTGTTGACGCGACGGCCTAACGGGCGTATCTCGTTATCGTCGCTTACGACGCACCCGTTCTTCTCTTCGCTCGCCATCTCGACGCTCAACTTCCTCGACCCGACGACATTCGCTTCCAAGCCGAGAGAGGAGAAGGCGACGTTCTTGCGCGGACTTGTGCGCGTGCTCCCCACGTTCTCTGACCGGCTGAAGAAGGGCAAGATTCTTTTGTCGTTGCTCGAGGAGATGAAGGACCCGTATCTCCTGCCCTTCTTGCTGCCGAACGTGTTCGAGATTTCGAAGACGCTGAACAAAGAGGAGTTCGCCCAGGTGCTTCCTAAGCTGCAGCCACTGTTCGCCATGAAGGATCCTCCACAGAACATGCTCAGTAAGCTACCTTTAATTGCTGTGGCTAACCTCAGCTCTGCTCGACAACTTGTCACTGTTCGAGGAAAAAACAAACCCGCAGACGTTCCGCGAAAACGTCATGCCGCTCATCTACAACTCGCTGGAATCAGAGCACCTTCCCGTTCAGGAACGAGTACTGAAATCGGTCCCGCATCTGACGGAGGTGCTCGACTATGGCACAGTTCAGAATATCCTGCTGGTCAAGGTTGCTGTGAGTTCAGGGCCACCGCGTTCAAACTGACATCAGCTTCTGTTCACTCGAACACGTATCTTGTCCATCAAGGTGCAGACGCTTGAGTGTTTCCGAGCAATGGTTTCGACCCTCGACGCGACGACGCTCACCAGCAAGCTCGTGCCGCTGCTCGCTAAGATCAAGACGAAGGAGCCTGCGGTCACGATGGCTACGCTTTCGGTGCACGAAGCGATGGGACAGAAGGTGTCTCTTGACGCTATCGCGACACTGGTGCTTCCACAGCTCTGGGCCATGGCGATGGGACCTCGTAAGCTTTCTGACTGCGAAGCCTAGCTGACTCCAGTGCTGAACACTGATCAGTTCGCCCGGTTCATGTCTGTCATTCAGACGCTTGGTGCTCGGGTAGAGCGAGAGCACTCGCAACATCTCCGAGAAGTCCGCAAGATGGAGGAGCAGACGGCGACGATGAACGTATCGAACGGCGACAACCCCTTCGACTTCAGCGGGCAGTCGCAAGAGGTCGACTTCGAAACGCTGGTCAAGGGCGGAACACCTTCCGCCAGCACGCCTGCCGCCGCGTCCACTGCCGATCCGTGGGATATGGACAACTGGGGTAACGATGACTTAGTGAGCTACCTCGATTTCCGCTGTCAGCTAATGACAGAACTCTATCCCTGGCTTCGGCGCGGCTCCGAAGGTATCGACACCAACGCTTGGTCGGCCGGCAATCAGCACTCAGTCGTCGTTCACGCGGAGCACGTCGCCGCCGCAGGGTAAGAGCCCGCGCGCGGGCTCGTCGCGTCTTGGTGCACGACAAGTGTCGTCGTCGTCCTTCAACAGCGCTGCGTTCGAGTCACCGAAGCCGTCTGCATTCCAAGCTCTGCAGCCTCAGTCCTCCACCCTGGCACCGTTGCAGCCGACGAGCTCGTCGCTGTCTACGCTGTCACCGACGCCGCAACGACCAGCACCCCAACCCGCCCAGCCAGCTTCCGCCTCCAGCGCGCCAAACTACAACATCTCGCTGCCTCCGATGAAGCCGAAGAGCCCGCCCGGCTTTGGAGCTCCGTTACAGCCGACACGCGGCATGTCTCCGAAGCCGTATCAGCCAATGCAGTCCATGCAGCCGATGCAGGCGCAGCCCGCCGCGTCCGCTGCTCCGCCAGGCTGGAGCAACGGCGTGATGCAGCCGACGGCTGCGCCGAAGCCGGCATGGAATGCGTCCCAGGCTGCAAGCACAGACTGGGGCGACTTCGACCCTCTCAAGTAGACGTAGTGCAGTGCGGTAGTGCCATACATGGATGTATTGTCATAGAGTACAAGTGTGATCATGCTGTGGTTTGTGTTTGCTCCGTTGTCTCCGCGTCAAGCACCTCCGTTGCCTCCGCCGCAACCTCAGGCGCTTCATCCCCGGTCGAAGCCTCCGTCACCTCCGTGACCTTCGCCGGCTCCTCATCGACAGCCTCTCTCTCGCCGACAACTGTGATTTTGTTACGCTCGCGCTCCCTCTCGTCCGCTTCGCCCGCGTAAGCTTCGACGCCTTGAAGGAAGTCGTTAGCAGCTAAGAAGCGGATGGCCTGCGTGAGCTGGCTAAGCGTGTTTTCAAGGGGGACCTCGAGCAGCTGTTTAGGTCAGTTACATATCCCCAGTCGGTCAACTCACGTCTCCAAGCATACTTCCGCGTGCGAAGAGATTCGGCTTCTTCTGCATCGGCTGGCGCGGGGGTGCCGGTTTCGGCGGGCCTACGGGCTTCTTCGCTTCGGAGGGGGCGGTCGAGGTGGCGGACTCGGGTCGCGTGTGCTCGAACCGACACTTGGCGCCGTGTCTGCACTTTCCAGTGCGGGCGAAGAACTTGCACACTGGCCGCGTCGGCTTGGGCTCTTCTTTCTTCTCCTCGGGCTGCTCATCCTCCGCATCCTCTTCATCTTCCTCGGCGTGCTTCGTTGGAAGTTCAGGCAGCTCCCCATCGACATCGCTGTCAGGATCCGAGTCGGAGTCAGACGAGTCACTCGAGGACGAGTCGCTGGAACTGTCGCTGGACAACTCGCTCGACGCAGTCTTGTGCGGCTCGACTGCGCCCACTCGTCCTCCTCTTCCCCTTCCCCGTCCGCGCTCCTGGCCCCTCCCTCGACCGCGCCCTCGTCCCCGATCAGTCGTAGTCCGCTCCGCAGGCCGCTCAACCGGTTCCCGTCCCCACTCCTCTGCAGCAATAGCAGGGTCCATTTTGCGCTTCTTGCGGGGGTTCTCGCCTCGCGCAATAGCTTCGGCATCTTCCTCGGCCTGGTGGTCAGCTTCAAATCACTCCCTTAAAAGCTCATCCCAGCGGGGGTACTCACCTTCTCCTTCGCCCTCTCCTTTGTCGGGAACTTCTTCTTCCTCTCCGCAATCCACTTGGCGACGTCTTCGTCCGTCTCGAGTCGAATGCCAGTTCCCGGAATCATGGGCGCGCGCCCGTTGCCTCCGCCCAACCTCCGCGCGGCCGCCTCCTCTTCCTCGCTGCGCTGGCCGGCCGGCGCAGGCGCGAAGGCGCTCCAGTCGATCTTGCCCGCTCGACTGTTGGGGTTGGCATGCGAAGCTTCGTGTGAAGCCATCTGGTCCCCGGGGCCGGCGAAGGAACACCCGGCGTGCGAGCAGTTGCGCCAGGCTTGCTGCTGCTGAGGATAGGCCGCGTACGCAGGGTACCCGCCAGAGGCATTGTATCCGCCAGCTCCGTAACCATAAGCACTGTAAGCGGGGTATCCGCCAGATGCGTTGTAGCCGTATCCCGGATACCCTCCTGCTGGGTTGTAACCTCCGCTCGCATTGTAACCCCCATATCCTCCAGAGGCCGGGTTGACATATCCGTAGTTGGCATTCGCGTTGGAAGTCGAGGACGAAGCCGCCGCCTGGCCAGAGTTGTTCCGCCGGTTCCCAGGTCGGGGAGGGAGGGGGTGCTGGTTCCTCCGCATGTCGTTGCGCTTTCGGTGTACTCCAGCTACCGATCGCACCAGAATATTGTTGTTGGCTCGAGCTGCGCGACGCTCAACTTTCCAAACGTCATGTCGTCACGTGACTCGCCACTCGAACGGAGATCATCCGGCTCCCGGCTTCCTCGGCGTGCCTGGAGGATGAAAGAGTTCGGAATCGGCCGTCGCAGACCCCGGCGAGCTTTGGTCCGGACATTTTGGCCACCACTTCTCATCCTTAGCGCAGCCCCAAACTCGAGATACGACATAATGGAAGCCCTGTCACGCCGCGAGGAGGAGGAGATTGAGACCGCCGCCAAGACCGAGGCGCTGAAGCTGTGCGATGATAACGTCCGAGGTGAGCTTTTCGGCAGTAGTGAGCTGACGGGCAGCGTTCGCTGAGTGCGCGAGCGGACGGACGTTCACGACGCCGTTCGTTTGTCGGGACGTCTTCAAGGCGATGAACGCTTGTGTTAAGGAGCAGTGAGTTGCCGTTTTTGCCCGCGGTCGTGTCTTCCTCGCCTTCCCTTCCCTCCATGCTTCCCTGTTCTTGCTTCAACCCCCTACCAAGTTTCCTCGTCTGCAAACACACACATGGTCAGACCGGGGGAAAGAGATGCGTAACCAAGAGGGAGAGAAGGGCTCCAGATAGAAGCTGCTGCAGTAAACACCTGTAAGCGAAGCTGACCCTACAGCATGCGGACAGAACGCATTGACGAGCTCAAGCTCGAGTACATCGCCCAACGCTCCGAGAAGGGCAAGCAGGCTGTCGAGGCGCTCCTCGCCGCGCGGAGGGAGAAGCTCCTCAAGATGGCCGGCCTGAAGGAGGTGCCCGTTCTTCAGGAGCAGAAGAGCGAGAAGATGGTCTAATCTGCCCTTCCTTCTTTGCCCCCAACTTGTTCTGTACTACTGTGAGTTTGCTTTCGGTCCGCGTTGAACTGACATCTCAGCCCCACTCGTAGACTGCATATTGCATTATAGACATCCTGAGTTATCTATGGACGTATCTCAGCCGCTTCAAAGCTACGAGTTCATGGCGGCCTCCTCGGCTGCGGCGTTCATCGCGGCTTCCTCGGCGTTCGCATTCATCGCCGCCTCCTCATCTACCGCATCGAGGTCCATGCCTTCCCCTCCCTCGGACTGACTAACGTCCGCACTACCAGCCGCGCCCTCCTTCATGGCCGCCTCGCGCTTTTCTCTCCGCTCCTTCTTCTTCTCCGTGTACTTGCGCTGCGGGATAACGGCCTCGAACGCCTTGGCCCAGTCCCCGAGCGTGTTGTACTGCAGCAGAATTGCGAACACCTGCTTGTCAGTTTCGGCTGCTGGGTGTCCGAACTCACCTGGTTCACAGTCAGGACCTTGCGTGTCGGCAGGTTCTCGATGTACTTTCCGATCGGCAGGCGTGCGGTGCGGATACCCATCTTCTCAGCCTTGTTCTGGCACAGCATCTTGTGTCGGTTGTGGTCGACGATGCCGCCGATAATGTAGATCTCCTCCGGGCTCAGTGTCTCGAGCTCCTCCTCGCTGTCCGCCGAGAGATAGACCAGCTGCCGCCCCTTGCTGAATCCTGGCGGCAGGTCTGAGCCGCATAGGAACGTTGTGCGGTCCTCCTCGTTGCACTCTTTCTCCTGCTTCTCTGCCGGCTCCTTGTCGTCCCCCTCCACGCTGAGAGCGGCCAGATCGGCCTGCACAGCGTCGATGTCCTCGGCACGGAAGTGCAGCCCGTCCCATTTCGTCCACTGGTGCTTGAGCATCTGGGCCCAGAGCCTCGGCGTCGACTCGGGGCTGAAACCCGTGAACAGCACGCTCGAGAAAGGTCGTGCAGCCGCGCGCGTATCCGAGTACACATACTGGATCTGCGACGCCATGGAGCGGAGCTCGGCGTCCAGCATGAGCTCGTCGAATTTGAGATCGATGACAATCGCACCCGGGTACGGCTCCGGCTTGTGTCGTCGCGCGCGTTTCAGCTGCAGCTTGTTCTCCATGATCTCGCGCTCCTTGGGCGACAGCGTGCCCGCCTCATAGCCCGCCTTCAGGTAGGCGTTGCGCTCCTTGCGCCGCTGGCGCTCCTCGGCACGCTTCTCGAGTCGTGTGGCTTCATAGTAGGCCTGAGTGTCAGCTAGAGGTAAACAGCCAGATAGCAGGACTCACCCGCTTCGCCATGCGCTTCTGCGCTTTCTTGGACAACGGCTGGCCGTCGGGACCGAGAGGGGTTGTCGAGGAAGACGCAACGGAGGAAGGACCGGCGGAGCTTTCGGCGACGGGGACATCGGTGGTGGGGGACTCCGTCACGGCCGAGGCCTCGGAGGCGGGAGCAGGGGCGTCTGAATTATCGTCGGCCATGGTTTCCGGGTCTGTTGTTGTTGACGAGCATTTGCATGACCGCAATGAACCCAACTTTTGGCCCAGGTCTCGTGCAACCTTCCCACGGGTGCGTCTGATCTCACCTCTTGGTACCGTGCCTGGTCCCCTGTCCCCTAGTCACGATCGAGCAGTTATCGGGTGACTGAGTCATGGTCCTTTCCGCGCATTGTCGTTCCTACGTTCTTGCCACTCACGCACTACATCAGCACTACATCAGCACTACATCAGCACTACGACGACCACTACGGAGACCTTTTTAACATCACCTGAACCGATCAGAGAACGAGCAAGATGTCAGACGCTAGGCTGAGGCGAGTCCAGAAGGAGATCAAGGGTGCGTCCTGCCTCGAGGCTTCGAGCCGTTTCGGCCATGTGCGATCAGTGCTGACGTCGAACTGCAGCGTGTCGCGATGACAAGACGTCGCAGATCTCCATTGAGCGTGAGTTGTAGGATGGCGCGCTCTTCAACTAACTGCAGTCGTCGACGAGAACCCGTTCCACCTCATCGGTGCCTTCCCCGGACCGGTTAGTGCCGCTTCGCTTCGATGACGGTCGTACGAAAGCTGACGACAGTCCGACACGCCATACGAGGGAGGATACTACGAGGTTGACATTGTCATTCCAGATGCCTACCCGTTTGAGCCGGTCAAGATGAAGTTCATTACGTGAGTTGCGATTAGTGTCGTTGAAACTGACTTGCAGGAAGGTGTACCGTATGTCTAGCCCAAGCCTTGCCCGTTGCTTTCAGCTAACCCGCAGACCCGAACATTTCCTCTGCGAGCGTAAGTGCTGAGAAATACGGCTACCTCAGCTAACGTCAGGGTGCCATCTGTCTCGACATCCTGAAGGACAAGTGGTCACCAGTGTTGACGCTCAAGTCGACACTCATCTCGCTGCAATCGCTCCTGTGCTCTCCTGAGCCTAACGACCCTCAGGACGCCGAGGGTGAGCTTCTAAACTGCGAGACATAAGCTGACCCCAGTCGCCAAGCACTTCCTGGCCTCCCGCGACAGCTTCAATGCGACGGCACGACACTGGGCGCAGGCGTACGCGCAGGCCCCGGGGAAGAAGTCGGGCAAGGATGGAGCTGCCAGCGACGCCGAGCTCGCGGGTCTCAGCGAGGAGAGCGTGTCCAAATTCGCCGACATGGGTTTCGAGCGTCCCAAGGTGATCGCGACGCTGAAGCGTCTCAATTACCGGGGTAACAACGTCTCGAACATTAACGAGAACACTGTGAGTACCAGCTTGCCTGCCCATGGACGGAGCTGACAAAACAGGTCATCGAGGAGCTGCTCAAGTAGACAACCCGGTGTCCAGGGGTAGACGTAGACTTTGTACATTTTTGCATGAGAGCATGGGATGAGAGGTGACATACGAGATACAGACGAGTTGGTACATTTATTTCCGGGGAGGGGCGGCTTCGCCACGCTGTGCGGCCGCAGCCTCGAGCGTCTTCTGCGACCGGATCTCAAGCACGCGACGCTTGTTGAAGTAGTCAACCTGGCGTCAGCTTTGACGTCCGGAATAACCAGCAAGGGAAGGAGACGTATCCGCTCCCGGTCGGGTAAGGAGGCCGCACTGGTCCGCAGCCCCAAGATGCAAGACTCACCCAAGACTTTCCACAAGCCCCCTCGTACGCCTTACGGAAGTCCTTGCAGACGCCGGCTTTGTCGCCGAGCTCGCCGTCGTCAGCCTGCATGATGCCGTTCTGGTCCAGACAGGCAAAGTACGCATCGCGGTTCTCCCAGCAGAGCTTGCGCTGCGCGCGCGTCGGCGCCTGTCCCGGCTCGATGCCCTCCTTCTGGCTGCTGCCGCCGAACCAGCCCATGTCGTTGAAGTTGCTGTGATGTGTGCGTTCAGGGAAGAGTTCCGAGAGTGTGCGAAAGCCGACAGTAAGTGCGTCGGTGTGTCGGCGTGCGAGTAGTGAGGTGAGAGCGTGGGGTGTAGCGGAGTGGTAAAGGAGAAGGAAGGGAAGTGGAGGGGTGGCCGGAATCGACGGCGAAAGTCGAGGGACAGAGGAGCGTCATTACGAATGGCAGTGGCCACCGTGGGAAACTGGCGGCCAAGCACTGCCTGGGCGGCGACATGACCTCTTGAGGCACGCGCAGGAGGCCCACACACTCATGCGCTCAAGAGATCTGGGGTTGTCTCGGCGTGCGTTTTCTCGCCCACACCACCAGCAATGTCGACTCTGGCCCCACCGGCGTCGGCGTCGACAACGCCCTCAACACCGTCAACGCTCTCAGCGCCGACACCCCCACAACCCTCTCACAGCAACGTTCCCGAAGTTGTCACCGTGACCTCCACCGCCCTACCCTCAGCCTCCACCGACACCCAGCCGACTCCCTCAGAGCCGCCAACAGATACGAAGGGGAAGAAAACGGCCACGAAACCAATCCTGGAGCTCCTACCCCCGTCACCGACCCATCTGTCGTTCTCCGACCCAGACCCAGACCCAGAGTCCAGCGTCGAGGAGAGTGACGTAGACGCGCCCCGTCCGTCGCCCATTTCGGAGTTGGTCCGGATCTGTGCAGGCGGAGGAGCAGTCGACCGAGCAGAGAGCGTACGGTCTGCACGGATAGAAGTCGAGACGGAGGACGGCACGATTGTGCGCCCCAGCTCACGATTCCTGGGCATAGGCCTCAGCTCTCCGTTCGGGTCACCGAGCTCGCCGTCCAGCACGAGGTCAGCGGGCTCGAGCAGCGGCGGCCTACTCGGATTTGGGAAGGGCGGAGGAGTCTGGAACTCGGGCAACGGCAGTGGATCGGGGACAGGTGGAAGACTATTGCGGCTGGCCTTGCCGTGGAAACGGAAAGACGTCACGGAGCCGATTCGCGTGACGACGAGCCCGACGCCGAGCGCGCGCGATGCCCCCTTCGCGAAGGAGGTGGAAGTGAAGGGATGGCAGATTGTGGGCGGGCGGAACTTTGACGACAAGGCCAGAGTCGGGGCATATGTTGGTGCGTCGGTGACCCTAAGCTCTGGAGAAACTGCTCAGCTGACAACAGTCTACGACATAGAGCTGCAACTCCGGAACGGATCGACCGTCACCATTCTCCGTCGATACACCGAGTTTGTACGGTTACGCAAAGAGCTGCAGGCTGCGTATCCTGTAAGTCTTCTTTCCTGCAGCTGCGAGATGCGAAGAGTTCAGCTGACGCCCAGCACCTCGGCCAAACCATCCCTCCCTTACCGGGCAAGAACCACATGCGCAAGTTCTCGCCCGAATTTCTCGAGGACCGCCGCCCGCGCCTGCAGCGCTTCCTTAGGACGGTGGCGCTGCATCCCGAGATGGGCGCTGGTGGGGCTGAATCCGTGTTTGGGCAGTGGGTGCTGGGATACAAGGACTCGCCGGCCGAGTCGCGGCCGAGCGCGTCGAGTGCCACCACTGACCCGAGAGCCGCGAGCCATGAGTAGTCTGCGGGTTGTGAGGATAGTTGTTTTGGGTGCCAGATCCACTGTTGTAACAGGATATGTACAATATGCCATTTATTATCTACAAGTCTACTGCCCCGTGATGAAGGGGTGGTTCAGCGCCTCGCGAGGCGTGATGCGTCGGAGCGGGTCGAGGGCGAGGCACTTGTCCAGTAGATCGATGAACTGCTGGATCTGCCTCAGCTCAGCCTCGGGCATCTTCATCTGCGCCGAGCTCGAGGGCATGAGGCGGCTCCGGAGGTCGCGAGACGGCTTGTTGATAACAACAGTCTTGACCACGTCGGCACCCGTGATGCGGTCGCGCTCGACACTGATGAAGTTCATGTTCTCGTCAAAGTGATCGTGGCCCAGCGACGCCTTCTTGATTAATCGGTTTGGGATCTTGCCCTTGGTCTCCATCATGCAGAGGAGCATGTGGTTGTTCGACCGACCCGGGAAGAGAATCTTGCCCGTGTACAGCTCGTACAGCGTACAGCCGATCGCCCACATGTCGATGGCCGTGTCGTATGGAAGGCCGAGAACTGAATGTTAGCTCGATATCAGGCGAGGATCAGCTCACTGATTTCGGGGGCACGGTAGAAACGGGACACGAGATACGGCGTGATTTCTCCGGCGGAGACCTCAGCGGCGGTACCGAGGTCGCACACCTTCAGAACAGCCTTGTTCTCGGACACGAGTACGTTGTCAGGCTTGATGTCGGCATGCACAATGTTGCACCGCCGCATGAGCGACAGCGCCAACAGCATCTGGTGTCCGTAAGCGCGAACGGCCTTCATGTTGAGGCCGACGTCCTTGCCGAAACGCTTGATGACGTCGCGAAGGTTCATGCTCATGCTCTCGGTGACGATGCAGAAGTGCCCGCGATGCTCGAACGTGCGGTCCATGCGCACGATGTGCTTCTTGTCTCCTGGGTCCGCATGGTTCAGTAGCTTGAGCACCTGCGCCTCCTTCCGACCGGCGACGTACATGCTCTCCTGCGAACGCATGAGCTTGATCGCGACTTCGCGTCCCACTACGTCTTGGTGCCGCTCCTGGCCGACAGCCTTCAAAACCTTCGCCTTGACGACAGCAGAGAACATGCCCTTGCCAAGCGTCACCGTGATCTGGTATCGTCCATCGTCAAGGATCTCGCCGGGCGTGATGCGGTAGTAGCCCTCAACGTCGTCTACGTTGTCGACGACCTCGAGCGCAGCCGCAGCAGCAGACTTAGGCTTCTTTTCGATGTACTCGATCGCCTCAGTGCCGTTCGCTCCCTTGCGCCGGCGCACCTTGACCTTGCGCTTCTTTTTCGGCGTCTCCTCGTCACCAAACGCAGCAAACATGTCCATCTCCTCATCGTCATCATCCGACACCTCGATCTCAACCTCCTCCCACTCATCCTCCTTCTTCTCGACATCGGCGGGCATCTCCTTGTCGCCACCCTTGGCACGCTCATTATACTCGGCGGCCGAAACGCCGTCCCGGTCGCTCTTTTCGGCACCAGCGGGCTTCGCGAGGTCCTCACCTGCAAACGGCGTCGGCGCCTGAGACGGGTTTACCGTGTTGGGTGACGGCGCATGGGAGCTAGTAGCGAGGTTCTGCATGAGGGGCGTCGCGCCCGTCTCCGTGTTCGTACCGGTGCCCGGCCCGTTACTAGCAGGACTCTGGGCTGCAGAGTGCCGGGCGGGTGATCCCGGGATCGACGGCTTCGGGCCCTCTCCTGCACGGAACTTGGCCAGAAGCGCCTCACGCTTCTTCCTTCGCTCCTCAATGCGCTTCTCCTCGTCCATCTCCTCCTCCGGTTCTGGCTCTGGTTCATCAGCAGCAGGGGCGGGCGGCGGCACAGCGATCTTGACGGGATCGTGTGTGCGCCCCGACTCCTTCTCCTTCACCCGCGGGTCACTTGGGATACTGACCGGCTGACGGGCCGGAGAACGAACCGGCGACTTGATGGGCGAGCGATGGGGACTGAGACGACGAGCGTCGCGCGGCGGCGACTCGATTCTAGATGGTTAGCGACGCAAAGCCTACCTCTAGCGCGACTTACTCTCCCTCCTCCCTCTCATGCGACCTCTGGGGAGTGCGATCGTGCCTGCGGTCATCGCGGCGGTGGTTTCTGCGGCGGTCGTACCCTACGTCTCTGCGCTCTCTGTCGCGGTGTCCGTGGGCATGACGATCGTGACGATCGCGTTCATCTCGCCGGTGACCGTTGCGACTCGACTCGCGGTCTCCATCGCGGTCAGCGAAGTGTGCATCACGCCAATCGCGAGGCCTGTCTCGGCGTTCGTTGCGCTCGTCAAGGTGCGGCGGGGCAGGACGCTTAGTTCCTGAGCTGGGCATGGTGTGAGAACAGTCTGGCACACGGAGAGGGGGAGATTACAGGATGGAGTGGGGTGGGTATGGCTTGGGCAGCTGGGCCGTGTGCTTTACCTGGGTGGGTGCGGCGGTGATGTGCAGCACGAAGGTAAGGTGTTTGTTGAAGGGAAGGAAGGGTTGTGCGAGGATGAAAGGAAGGTAGAGAGAGGTCTCGTGAGTTCGCCGCCAGCTGGAATTGTTATCGTCCGGTAATTGGAACCGTGCGCCGTAGCTGCACCAGCGCAATGGACGGAAGCAAATCCATCGAGTGGAGGTCAGTCCACTCCGTGCCTGGGGAGGGCGATTGTTGACATCGAGGGATCGCGACGGCGACGACGCTCCCTAATTTGGACAACATACTAGAGGACGACGACCATGGCGCCAAAACTCGCCCCCGCCGCCAAGGTGCAGCTGGCTCATGATCTGCGCACGACAGTACGGGAACTGAAAGATCGGGGTCTGCTCGTAGCGGCGAAGTGGTGAGCTGAGCGACCGTCTTCAACAGCTGACAATAGGGCGTCGGAGCTGCTGATGTCGTTGCCGAAGGAGTACCGTTCCGCGCCGTATCTCCCCTTCTCGCCACCTCCACAAGATACGTCCCTAGTCGGTGACTCGCCGGTCGTTCGTCCACGACCAAGTTTCGGGGAGCTGCAGGACAGTCCAGCCGGTTTCGACAGCTTCGACCTGGGTGATGCGCGGCCAGCGATGACAATGGCGGTGGGCGAGGCCGGCCCGTCACGCGCGCGAACACGACACGGCATTGAGATTGAGGAGGAGGAAGACGTCCTGGAGGAGGATGACTTCCAGCTCGCCAAGTCGTACTTTGACATCCACGAGCTGGACCGGGTAGTGCACACGCTGCGCGCGGCGCGGGGAGCACGCTCGCGTTTCCTGCGCAACTATGCCGCCTACCTGAGCGCCGACCGGAAGGCGCAAGAATCCCTCCCTCACTTCCTGGACACGAAACAGGAGCGCCTGGCCCTGTTTCCGGCGCTGACGCAGATCCTCGCCGAGCTGCAGCCCGAAACGGACCCGTACCTCGTCTACCTCCGCGGCCTGGTGCACATGCGGCTGGAGCAGCGCGACGCCGCCGTCGAGTGCTTCGTGACCTCTGTCCGCGCCAAGCCCTACAACTGGAGCTGCTGGAGCCAGCTCGCGCAACTCGTCGATTCGGCTGATACATTCATCGCGCTGAAGGAGCGACTGCCTAGTGGGCCGATGCTCAGTTTCTTCGCCATCACAGTCATGCTGGACCTGCACACGGCTACGGACCTGGTGCTCACCATGATTGGCGAGCTGCAGCAGACCTTCCCCGACAGCGTGCACCTCAAGGCGCAGCGCGCCATGGTGTACTACCACATGCGCGACTTTGCGACGGCGGAAGCCGAGTTCGACGCCGTGCAGGCCGCAGACCCCTTCAGGATGGAAGAGGTTGATATCTACAGCAACATGCTGTACGTCATGGACAAGCGCGCGAAGCTCGGCAAGCTGGCGCACGAGTACGCCGAGCTCGACCGCAACCGGCCAGAGGTCTGCACCCTCATTGGCAACTACTACTCCAGTCGCGCCGACCACACTAAGGCCATCACGTACTTCCGCCGCGCCCTGACGTTCAACCGCGAATACCTGCCCGCGTGGACGCTGATGGGGCACGAATTCGTCGAGCTGAAGAACTCGCACGCCGCCATCGAAGCCTACCGCAAGGCGATCGACGTCAATCCCAAGGACTATCGCGCGTGGTACGGTCTCGGACAGGCGTACGAGCTGCTCGACATGCCAATGTACGCGATCGAGTACTACAACCAGGCGACTTCGCTGCGCCCCTACGACTGTCGAATGTGGACCGCGCTCGCGACGGTATACGAGGGGCTTGGACGGCTCAGCGACGCCATCTCGGCACATACCCGCGCGCTCCTGGGCGCGGACAAGACACAGACACCGACCATCCTCGCCAAGCTCGCCAGCTTGCACACCACCGTCGACGGCGCGCGCGGCATCAGTCCCAGCCCCGACGCGGTCGGGTATCATCGCAAACTCCTCGCGCTGGGCGAGCGGGAGAAGACGAGCATTGTCGAGCTCGCCCCGAGCTATCTGGCGGTGGCGGAGTGGGAGACAGCCACGGACAAGGGCGACTGGACGCTCGCCGCGCAGTACCTGGAGAAGGTCGCTGCTAGCAATGCGCACGAGCGCGATCGGGCCGCCGAACTCCTCCGTGAGCTGAGGGTGAAGGAGGCGCGCATGTAGGGCATGTAGACATGGATGCAGACTTGTACATAGAGCTAGGTTGGGTAGATGCAGTGCATGGACAAGAGCTGAGAGAGTTGTAAAAGTTGCTACAATGAGATGTGTCGCTGGGCTGTACGTTGGAATTCGTACAACTTTTCTCCGTGGTTCGCTTCAGGTTGTTTGATCGGTCTCTCTCCTCCTTCCTTCTCTCTTTTTCTCCTCCGGCAGTGTTACTCGGCAGGCTGGGGCGGCGAGAAGATACGCGTAAAGTCACGCAGCACCTCCTCCTTGTTTCCCTCCTCTCCCGGCTCCGCGATCTGGGGCAGCAGCTCGCGCAGCCTCGCGATAGAGCGCAGCCGGTATCGCCACGAGGTGATGTACTCTGCGCTGGCGGCATTGCTCGAGTTCTGGACGTGCTGGAAGCGGACCGCCATCGAGTGCGCATGGTGAGCCATCTGCCGCACGAGGCTCGGCAGGTTCTTCTTCGACACGAGCTTGTACTCGCCAATAGGGCTGAAGTCGGGAATACCTGGCGCTCGCTGCAGCGTCACCTTGAAGAAGTCCTCGCTGTCGCCGCCCCAGTCGTCCAGGCCGCCGGCCCCGCCGGCTCCGGGAGCGGCGCCGGGCGGAGGCGACGTCGCGCCGCCGAGTCCGGAGGGCCCCATAGGCCCACCCGAACCGTCGGCGACGTCGCGCGTCGCGTACGGCGAAATGACAATGTTGATGAAGTTGAACTGCGTACGCAGCGTGTCGAAGGCATAGTCCTGCCCCGACTCGTTGTACACGATGCGCACGTAGTCGTTGCCGACGAGACGCTTCTTGTTGTTGAACTCGGGGTCGTGCGGCAGGTTCGGCACGAGCGTGACCGTGTGGAAGATGATCTGCGCCAGATCGTCCCACCACGCGTAGGCGTAGGCGCCGTCCGTGTCGTTCACGCGGTCGAGCTTGCCAGTGAATACGTCCATCTGGCCCTTCAGCTTGATCACGCGTCCGAGCCCGGCCATGAAGTCGAGATAAAGCGGCGAGCCATCCGTGTTGCCGAGGATCTCGCGCTCGGTCGTCTGTCCGGGACCGACGTAAAGCACCGCGATAGACTGCGCATTGATGACTGGCGTAGCCTCGATACCGCGCAGAGCACGGTCAAACTTGGGCTCTTTCGGAATGATACGACCGCGAGGAATAGCTGCGGAGCTGTTCGGGTAAGAAGACAGAAGCTGCAGCGCAAGATACGAGGGCTCGATGACGACGTCCTTGCGGCGCTGGGACGGAGTGACACCGGACCAGACGTAGGTCTCGGGCTCCTGGGCGTCAGACTTGGGCTTGACGAGTGCGATGGCGCGCGCGGGGTCGATGTCGCCATCAATCGCCTTCTCGGCGGGCACCTCCGGCTCCTTCTGGGTCGACACGTCTTGGTCCGCGACAGGGTCAATGTTGACGTCGCGCACGAGCTCGCGATTCGCCATGAGCGTCGCAGGAAGCGAGGTCATGTCGGCATTCGCCTCTCCGAGGTCTAACAGCGGTACATTCTCGAGCTTGCACACGACGGCGGTCTGGCCAGTAGCGCGCGTGGTTTGGGTCGTGGCCCAACCCGTGCGCGCGTGAGCCGTGATGGTGATGATGGCGCCGCCGAGCAGCCACGACTGGGAGCGGGGAGGGGTGTCGTTGTCTCCGTTCTGCACCATGACCATCTCGTTCAGGAAAGACGAGGCAGGCTTCGGGTCCGCGTTGCCGTAGGTGTAGCGCGCTAGCCAGTCGAAGCACACCTCAGTGCGCTCGTCGACGGGAGCGCGCTGGCTCTTCGCATGAAGGAGGCCGCGCACCAGCTCGCTGACGTGACGCTGACGCTGCGGGATCTTGAGCGTCAGGAACCATAAGTAGATGGCGTGGTACGCGAGGCCGATCACATGCTGTGAGAGAGTGAACGCATCGCGCGCGCCGCTGAAGTCGACACTCTGATCCGAGCGCGTGTTGTGCTCGGCGATGTAGCCAATAGCGACGGCGAACACCAGCCGGTACTGGTCGTCGGTGAAGTTGCGGTAGAGAGACGAGTTGCCGAGCGCGACGAGGAACTCGAGAATGTGCACAGCAACGGCGGGGGTAGAGAGAATCTGCTGTGTCTTCTGAAGAATAGCGAGCATGTTCTTGGCGACATATCCCTCCAACTCGTGAATACAGATCGTGAGCGCCTGAAGACACGGCTTGGCGAGAAGCGCGTTTCCCTCAAGTCCGGCGACGAGCGACTGCACGAGCGCATCGCACTCCCCGCGGTCGAAGGTAGAGCGGTACGAAATCAGAATCGAGAGAGACTGGTATGCAGCGGAGTTGATGTGCGGGCGCTTGATGAACGAGGGAGTCTGGAAACGGCGCTCCCAGCGATTGTCCGTCTCGAGGATACCCTCGCAGAGCACGCGGAGCAGGCCCTTGACCTCACGCGTCGCACGCGTGCCGTGGAAGAAGTGCTTGTTACCAAGCTGCTGCGGCAGGAACGTGAGCACGTACGAGACGAGCTCCCAGTTCGATTCCCAACGCAGCAGGCCGTTCAGTGCCCGCACGTATTCCGATACGGGCAGCCAGACACCCTCGACGAGCGGCGCGCCCTCCACCATCAGACTGGGGTGGTACGGGTCGTATGTCATCAGTCCTTCGGAAGGCTGGTTGTCGGGCGGCGCTTCGAAGTCGAGCGTCTCCGGCACACACCACAGGGGGTTGTACTGCTGCGAATCGATGCTAGCAGTACGCAGCATGGGCCCAGCAGCCTTGGAGCGAGAGCGCGAACGGGTTGACGGCTGGTCGGGACGCGCTGTACGGCCGCGCTCCTCGTCCGCTCCTCCAGTCGAGGCGCGTCCACCAGCAGGCCCCTGTGAGCGCATGCGTTTGCGCTGCTCCTCCTGCTCCATCGCCTGGCGCACGCTCTCCTCAGTCTCCTTCGTGCGATACAGGATCGACGCAAACGGTGCGACGAAGCGGTTGATGTCACCGCGGAACAGGATACGGTGCTGTCGGTCGGCACGCAGCCGCATAGACCATTGGAGAATCGTGAGACGAGCACGCGGACAGCGAGCGGGCAGCTTTGTGATGCCCGGCGTCTCGGACAGTGGGAACAGGAGACAAATCAGGTCGCGGTAAACAACGATGCAACGCGCAGAGGCCGGTGTGCGGATCGGCCGCTGACCATTGACGCGCGTCTGCGGTGAGGTGAAGGCGAGCCTCGTGAATATCGCAATCAGCGCCTTGACGGCGTGCACACTCTTGCAGTCGGTGTGCTGGTTGCCCTTGCGCGCGGGGATGATCTTCTTGCTCTCCTCACTATCCTTACTATCCCTGCTTTCCTTCTCCTTACTGATATCCTCGTGGGCGACCGAAACGTTGCTGCTCGAGCTCGGGCTCGGCTCACGTGCAGGGGACAGAGTGCGCATGAGCGAGCGGAGACCAGACTCGCGCGGCGCACGGCCTCGAACAGGGTTTAAGGGTGGGCTCGTCATCGGCTCGATTCCGGGCGACAGCGGCGACGTTAAGCGAGACGTGACCGCTTCGCCTCCAAAGACTTCCTTGCACGCCGGCTCGTTTGCAAGCTTCGTGAGCAGCTTGCGGATCGCATCGAAGCTGCCACTCTGCATCTCCTCTTCCATCTGTTGGGTTGGAAGGGCATTCGCGTCCTCCGCTTCAACGTCAACCTGAGCGCGGTTTGCACGCTCGCGCCTACGCTCGTCGTCCTTCTGCATCGTCTCGGAGACCGCAGCACGAACGAGCACCTCGAGGGCATCGTGCAGGAGCTCGTCGTCCGTTTCCTCGGGCAGCCAACGCTCGAAGTACGGCACGATGACCTGCTCAACAAGCTGCTCGCGACTCTCGGGCAAATCCTCGACATACACGTAGACATCGTTGTAGAGCAGATGTGAGACACGCTCGCGCGCAATGGGCAGGTCATTCGAGAGAGCGAACGCCTCAAGCAGCTTCCAGATGTTCTTGATCCATTCCGAAGTGAACGGAAGACACAGGCACTCCCGCTGGTAGTAGTCGATGATAATCGCGCCGGTCTCCTCGTCCAGGTTCGGACCCAGGTCGAGTAACAATTCAATGTACTTCGGATGGTAGAACGAAGGGTCGGACTGCGCCGCCGATTGGCTGGTGTGAAGGCGCGCGTGCAGCTTGCCGACCGCGTGCGGGACTCGGTGCACTAGTGTGCTGAACAGTGACACGAGTGGCACGTTGCCCGTCTTCAGCAAGCCTCGTCCAGAGTCAGGGGCGTTCGCCTGCACGACCGCACGGAGACCGTCAAGAACCTCAGCGGCAGCCTCGCCCTCCGTCCACGCATCGACGTTGCCGGTGGCAGATCCGTCCTCGAGGGCATTCAGGTGAGCCTCAACCAAATGCAAGATCTCCATATCGACCGGGTTCCAGCGCGCCCACACGTCGATCCTATCGTTTCCGGGGTACCGGGCGGTGGACTCGGCGGCGACGAGTGAGGAAGCCAGTGACGAGAACGAGAACGAGCGTGTGCCGAGACGCGCCATGAAGGCGGCATCCTGAATGCAGATGCGGACAATCACAACGGCGCCACGGGTCACCTTGCGCTCAACGTCAATGTTCTTGCGCGCCTCGTTCTTCGTGATGATAAGCCGGCCCTCGAGCGCCTTACGCAGCGCAAGCTCGCCTCGACGTCCACTCTTTGCTCCGAGCATCGTCTGCACAAGCTCCTGCGCGACCAACAGCAGATCCGCGCCCAGCATCGTGTCGTCCTGTCCGAACGCAAAACACAGCAGCTCAAACACGCGGTTGAACAGGTCATCGTTTATCGTCGTCGTCTCGAACAGCATGTGAACTAGCGCGCACATGGCCTTGAACGGCGACTCCCACTTGGGCGGCCGCACAATGGGCGAGCGAGAAGGCGACTTGGACGGCTTGGCGGGGAAGGGCTCCACGCGTCCGACAGTTAAGCTCGAGGTACGTCGGGTTTCGGCGCCCCGGCGGACGGCACTGATGGGCGAGCCGTGCTTTGAGTGGTGGACCGAGGAGTGCGTCGAGCTGGGGCCTTGGGGCGAAGTTGCGCCCTCCGGAGAGGAGGCAGAGATGGTGGCCGTGATGCCGGCCCACAGGTATTTGAGGATCGGTCGGACGACAGCGCTCAGGTCGTTGGGTGCGAAGAGGGGGAGGCGGTTCTGAATGATAGACGAGAGAAGGGCGATGATCTCGCACGCAGCCGTCGCGGGTGATGCACTCTTGATGGGACCAAAGGGTGAGTCGCGACTGTCGTCGAGCACACTGTCGTCCGGCTCCGCACACCATGCCACCCAGTCGGGCTGCAGGTCGATCAGCGTGCGTGTCAGCCAGCCCGCGATGCCGTCCATGCCGTCCATATATTGGCCGTCTCGCGTCAACGCCTTCAGGGCGCCGACTTCAACAAAGATCTGGTTCGTGTGCGTGGGACCCGAACCTGGAGAGTTGGCCGATGGCGCCGTGATAAGTCGGTACAGCGTCACCTTCGTTACGGTTGGCGGGAGATAGGCGGGGGCAGGGTCGAGGGCAGCTTCACGCGGGGGCATAGCGCCAAGCAGTACCGCGAGCAGCCGCATCGCGGCAGTACGCAGGGCGTACTCGCTGTTCGGGGAGCAAAAGTCGATCGCGTAGCCATACAGTTTCCGCGCACCCTCGGCATCGAGCCCCATCTCCTCGAGCGAAGGCGGACTCGAGCCATGGTGGTCAAGCAGAACGTTGGCGAGGTGCACGCTCGTCGACTTTACGAGATCGACGAGCTCTGTGCTTTTCTTTTCCATCGTCTCCATCGACGCCAGTGCCTGGTCAATCTGGAACGGGGCAGACGACCCGGAGGCAGCGGGGCCAGAGATGCCGGGTAAGGGCACGGTGCCTCCGCGTGGAGAGGTGAGTCTTGCGGCGTCCTCATCGAACTGGTCGCTGGTAGTGACGCTCGAGCTGGGAGTCGCTTTTCGTGCATCGACCTGGTTTGAGGTGAGGGCTAAGGAAGACTTGGACGAGGACGACTTGTTGCTGGTGCGGCGCCCAAAGAGGAGGGACGTCAGAGACGTCGCATGACTCTGGGGCCGTTTGTCGGCCATGATAAGGGTGTGTCCACGGTCTCAGAGATGAAGGTGGAGTTTTCGTGTGGTCGGTACTATGTTGACATGCGTTTTGGAGATCGATTTGCGGGACTGGGACGGTCGATGAGAGATGATGTCGAAGTGAGATGGTAGAGTTTATGTGGTTGTGTCTTGATGGATCGTGGATTCGGATTCAGTCACGGCGTGAACGCTGTGTCTACTACGTCAGGTGCGTCATCCGGGTCGCCGATTAGCACTTTTCAACCGGGAATTAGCCTGCGCCGATCGGAATGTAATCGGTCTTAATCAGGCATTAGGATCTTGAATTCGCCACCGAGCCATGCCAAGCTTACGCCTGCCCAGGTGTAATTTTTGCAATCCACAACCTCCACCCACCTCCACCATCAGGAGTCCGAGTTTCTGGCAGCAGGCGACCAGGAGAGCCGTAACTAGCAATCACAACAACACCAACCACACTTCACCTGAACAACCATGCCGAAGCGCTCAAACGTCAGCCTCTTGACAGAGGGCGCGGCCTACATACAGCGCAAGAAGAAGGCTCGCCAGGACCAGGTTGAGGAGATCAAATTCGACGATGAGGCTCGAAGGTAGGTGTCCAGAGAGAGGGAAGACAAGCGACTCCAAGCTTCCTGGAACGTCTGATCGGAAGGCAAGCTAACACGATAGGGAATGGCTGACGGGCTTCTCGAAGAGGAAAAAGCAGCGTGTCGAGGAGCGGAGGAAGCGTGCTAAGGAGCGTGACCACCAGGAGCACCTCGAGGAGCGGAGGAAAGCGCGGCAGGAGCTGAAGGAGCGTGCGGCTCAAAACGTGAAGGATGTGCGTGCGGCGCTGGGTCTGCCGGAACTGCAAGGTATGTTTCCCCTCACTGTTGCGCCTCGTCCTGTTCTGCGGGCTATTCCATCAATCCCGCAGTGATCGTCCCATGTCGCCCAAGCCTTCATGTTTGTGTTATCGGAGCTAACGAGACAGAATCCGACGACGAGTCCGAGGAGGAGCAGGAACAGATCGAGGAGGCGTACTCGGATGACGACCAGGAGGCGCTCGTGACGATCACGGAAGGCTTCGACCCGACCTCCGAGGCGCGCTCATACCACTCTTCCTCTGATGAGGAGGACGAGGAGAAGATGGTGAAGAGGAAGAGCGGTGTCGACCTGCTGCCTGCCTCGTCTAAGCGTGCCGAGGCCAAGGCCAAGTCAAAGGCGAAGGCGAAGGCGGAGAAGGCCGAGGCGAAGAAGAGCCGCAGCATGGAGACGCCCGCTGAGCGCCGACGAGCGAAGGAGTACGAGGCACGCAAGCGCCAGAAGAAGTTTGAGAAGGAACGCGAGCGCAACGGCGGCGAGATTCCGCGGTACTCGAAGAGCAGCAAGGGCAAGCCGGGGAAGAAGGGCGGCAAGCCGACGAAGGGCAAGAGGAAGTAGAGCCTGTTGTACAATATGCTAGAGGGTGCTTAGAGGTGCCGTGCTGAGCATGCTGAGGGTGTTAACTCGCAATCGTGCGCTGATTACCTACTGACAGCTGACGCAGAGGCAACTTCCCTTTTAGATCTTGGGCTCTGTTGAGCATTCGTTCGCGACCTTTGAGCCGTTCAATGCCCAGCCCTTGAGACGTCTCTAGGATCACTGGCTGCAAATGCCTTCCCTCGGCCCTCGGCCTGGCCCTCCATGATCTAAACTTCAGGACAGGTCCAGACGCAAGTTGCATGATTCAACTAACGCCCCGCGCATCAACCACACGTGGAATGTCTCACCTCGACACACACACTACACACGCTAGTTCTTCTTCTCCTTTGCGCCCTAGACATTCGCCCTGCGCGCCCTATACACACCGCCGATCCTTCACTTAACACACCTCCACCCCTCCGTTTCTGTGTGCTCATCAGCGCTCTCGCTCGATCGTTCTTTGTGATCTTTACGATCTCCTTAGCTCAGTTGGTTAGAGTATTCGCTTTACATGGTGAACGCGAAGGGTCGACGGTTCGATCCCGTCAGGGGATATCCTTTTGGAAGTGCTGCTATGCGAAATAGCGATGCAGAAATGCGCTCTTCCGGGCTTGGTGGCCACTTTTTCGAGCTGAGCCGGTGGAGGTGACGCCAGTGCAGATCAACGCTGGTGCGCCGGGCGGCGCCCGTCAGGGTCGTTTCGAATCTGAGCCTGAGTCCCGCCTGCGCCCTCTGCGCCCGTGCGCCCAAGCAAAAGCAGGCTATTTTCGCTAGGCTGCAGGTTTTGATCCCGATCGGTTATCAACGATGACGCGTGGGCGCCGGGCCGCCAGGCGCGTCCTGGTATGCAGCTTGGGTGAGCCTGGCCGTATCTCCGCCACCCTAGCGGCCCAGCGAAAGTCTGGCCACACTAACCGTAGTCCGACTTTTTCTCCATCCGACAACATCACAACAACCCCATTACACTCCTTTTCACCAGCACACGCGCGATGCCTAAATCGAGGAAGTCGCGCGAAGCCTCCGCCGCGTCGGCCGCTACTAGCGACAGCGCCGTCAGCGCCAGCGCCGGAAGCGCGCACAGCTCGCGCTCATCAACGCCGACCGTAACTGTCCAGCAGACGACGGAGCCGGCGAAACACGTCCAGATTGAGACGCCCGATCGCACACCGAATGGAACGCCTCCGCCGACGGGGGAGAGCCGGCTCCGCCAGCGCTTCAAGAGCGTGCGCGAGGAGCTCGGCAAGAGCATGGACGACATCAGCGTCCGTATCCGCAACAAGGGAGACGGCAATTACAAGGTGGGTGGCGTGGCGGGATGAACGCTGACGACAGGTTTTGGCGCCGGGAACACCGTATGACGAGCTTGGTGAGTCACCGAGGGGGCGACGGACTCGGCCGCATGTTCGGCAACGCCTTTGGCGGCCGTGCGCCTGCCCGACGGTCTGCAGCGATAGGAAGCTGACAGGCAGAACTGCACCAGCACCACAAGGGACACAAGCACCACGAGAAGGACGAGCGGGGGTGGAAGAAGTGGTTTGTCGGGCGGCGAGCGTTGTTCCCGATTGCGTTCGTGCTTGGCGCGGCGGCCGTGTGGCTCACGACGGCGCCGGACCTGCTGCCCGCCGACCTGTCCGACGTGTGGCCGATGCTGCAGTCGGACATGCGTGACTTCCTCGGCAACCTGACGATCACGGATGCTGTGCGCAAGAACATCTTCGAGAACCGCGACTTCACGGTCGCCGACGACCTCATTGAAAAATACGGACTGAAGGCGGACCACCCCATCGTGCTCATGCCTGGTATTATTTCGACTGGACTGGAGAGCTGGAGCACAGAACCCGTTGCACGCAGCATGTTCCGCAGCAGGTTGTGGGGCACGTCGACCATGATCCGCACCGTGCTCACGGACAAGGAGAAGTGGACCGAGGCGATCGCGATCGACCTCAAGACCGGCCTCGACCCACCCGGGCACAAGGTGCGCGCAGCGCAGGGGCTCGACGCTGCCTCAGAGTTCATCCAGGGGTATTGGATCTGGCAGAAGATTGTGCAGAACCTGGCTGCGATCGGGTACGACACGTCGACGATGGACATGGCGGCGTATGACTGGCGCGTCGCGTTTTACAATCTGGAGATCCGCGACTTCTTCCTCACGAGACTGAAAGCAAAGATTGAGATCATGCGCCAACAGACGGGCAAGAAGGTCGTGCTGGCCAGCCACTCGATGGGCGGCTCGCTCGCGCTCTACTTCTTCAAATGGGTCGAGGCGGATCCGAAGAAGTGCGGCGGATTCGGCGGCGGCGGCGGCCCGCACTGGGTCGAGGAGAACATTGACTCCTGGATCAACATTGCGGGCACGCTGCTCGGAGTGCCCAAGGCGATGACGGCGTTCCTCTCGGGCGAGATGCGCGACACGGTCGAGATCCACCCGCTCGGATCGTACATGCTGGAAAAGTTCTTCTCGCGCAAGGAACGCGCCAAGCTATTCCGCAACTGGCCCGGCGCGAGCAGCATGTGGATGAAGGGCGGGAACCGGATCTGGGGCAACGACACGTTTGCGCCCGACGACCCGGAGAACACGACGGACACGTTTGGCCGCTTCCTCTCGTTCCGCAACACGACGACGGAGCCGGTCGACAAGGAGCTCACGAGTCAGACCGTCTACCCCAACCTGACTATCGACGACACGGCGCCGTACGTGCTCGAGCACACGAGCACAGACTACCAGCGCATGTACCAGGCCAACTATTCGCATGGGTTCGAGGCAGACACGAAGCAGCTGAAGAAGAACGGCTTCGACCCCGTCAAGTGGTCGAACCCGCTCGAGGTGCAGCTGCCCGACGCGCCGAGCATGAAGATCTACTGTCTCTACGGACACGGCAAGGAGACGGAGCGCTCGTACTGGTACGCCAAGGGCGAGTGGATCGAGGACGAGAACCGCGGCGACGCCGTCGGCAAGGAGGCCATTTGCGAGGCAGACGACGAGGAGTGTCTCCGCACACCGGGCGATTTCCCCATGACGCGCGACCAGTGGATCGACACAGAGGTTACGGACAAGGGAGCCACGCCCGAGGTCCGCTCCGGCGTCAAGTTCAGCGACGGCGACGGCACCATCGCCACCGTCTCGCTCGGCGCCATGTGCGTCAAAGGCTGGAAGGGCAAGACGCCGTGGAACCCGGCGGGCATCGAGGTGATCACGCAGGGTGAGTGTGAGCGAGCGAGCCGATGCAGGCGGCGAGCAGTGCGCGTGTGGCGTGGCGTACAGCGGGCAAGCCTGCACGCCGTAAGCTGCGCGATCAGACTGCAAGCGAGCATTCAGATCTGCACCTCGCCGGAGCCGAGCTAACAAACAGAATACAAGCACCAGCCGGACAGCTTTGACCTCCGTGGCGGTCCTCTGACAGCGGACCACGTCGACATTCTCGGCTCGTCGCCTTTGAACGCGGCCATTCTCGAGATCGCAGCTGGAAGGGGCGACCTCGTCGAGCCGACTATCGGGTCGAACATTACGGACTACGTCGAGCGGATGGACTGGGGAGGAGCCTTCTAAGCGACACTGACAGTGAATGCTGGATCCATTAACATCGAGGATGAGATAGATGGAGGGGGTGGAGGTACAGAGAGGGGGAGGAGGATGAGGAGACCGGCGTAAGCTCGAGAAGTTATCAGAGCCACGCCTGCGCACTGTGCGCACACACATTCACTTTATCATAGACTTCTAGCTTTTCCTTCGGAGTAATGTCATGTCAGCTTTTTGGTGTTGTTGCAATTTGGTGCGGGAGCTGATGGCATACGTCCTTCCTATCTCTCAATAACGTCTGTGCGCCGAGACACTGCCTGTTTGTTTGTTTGCGATTTGCCACTGCTCCGATTGCAGTGTTTGTTTGTGTTGTGTAGGCGGCAACGACCACGGCGGGGTGGGGTTATCGGTGGTGCTCGGCGGGCCAGACGCCACACTTGATTGTTCAATGGACCACGGGACCTGGCGTGTCGACCAGCGGGCGTTACTATATTCCGCTACAGACTTTTCC